TTATCATTTTTAAAAAATATATTAAAATACACCAATAAACAAATGCAAAAAAAAAAGTACTTTATATTATTTTATTTTTCTCACAGTTGCTGGCAATTAAATCAGAGTGACATGAATGCTCAAAACTGACTAGTGAATCTATATAGTGATGTAGTGCAAAAGCTATTCGCTATATGGAACACTTGTTATCACCTTTTCTCTCTTTTTTGGTGGATACATACATATTCTATAATTAGAACCCAACTTTCATATAAGATGTAACAACTGATATAAATAGGAAAAGCAATGGGTAAAAGAAATGATGGAGAGGCAAGAAAAAGGGAAGTAAAAGATAATATGGTTTCATAGAAAAAATAAAATAAAACAGTAGGCCAACATTTACTTTTACTTTCCTTGCAAGAACAAAACCCCTATTGCAAGATTAATGACAAAAAGTTGGCTGCAGATTAAGAATAGCAATGCAAAAAAAGAATACGATCGTTTTACTGATGTATAGACAAATTTAGACGATTTTACATTTGATAAAACACATAAAATTTCCCCCGTACCATTTTTAAAAAATATATGTAAGAGTCTAATTTATTAAATGAATTTTAGATTTTAATATTACGTTTGTTAGATTTTAATATTACGTTTGTTTTGTTATGATGCTATATGATAAATTAGACATTCATATATAATAACAAAAATGTAATACAGTATAAGTCAAATTGTTAGACAGAAAAACGTAACATTTAAAAAGGAATAAATTGAAAATAGTAAACTATTTTTTTCTTACTGTCATTCAATTTTACTTAATTTATATCTGTAATTTGTCTAATTGTCAATCACTTAATATTGATTATAATTTTAAACCAGTCAACGTTCTTCTTTAAAGCTTGTCCTCTTCCTTTAACCAATGAGAATCATGCTTAAGACATGACAGTCTCTCTGTCAATCACCACAGTCTTTCCTATTATTATCACACGAAGCAAGATTTTGTAAGCTAATGACTTAGAGACAAAGTACGGATATAGCAAAAGAAACACAAGCAAAAGCAGTTTAAGGTAAGCAAGAACTCATTTCCCCTTTTAGCTTCCTACTAATTAATAATAAACTCATGCACCAATTAAAAAAACATATAGTTAGTTAAACTCTCTGAGTTTGGATCCTCATGGCTACGCGAAGGAGCCCGTTAATGGGGTCTGCAAGAGAAGAGAGACTGATCAATTAGAGAGGAGACAAGAGCATGGTCGGCTCAAGGTGCAAATGCTAGGGTCCATGCCCATTTTGATAAACAAGAGCCATTTTCTGCCATATAGATTCTAAGACATTTGAGTGAACCCGGGGGACAAAGAAGTACCAACAACTAAGTAGGGCTGCTATAAAGAAGGTGAGGGCGACCAGATGTGTGTCTTTTTTTTTAAATGTGCGTTAAGTATTATCTCTTTCTTAACTACTATGAGTGAGAGAGATGAGTAGGATATTGCAGGACCCAACAATGCTGAAGTATAAAGGACAACCATTGGACATGGGTTTTTGTCGCAAATAGTAGTTCCAATTAAAATCCTCTTATTGATCCACTATAACCTGTTCATGCTTTTCATATCCTGTCTCTGGCATTATTAGGTGGAGGAGGAAAGAGAGCTTGTTCTCTTACCTAATCACACTAAAAACTGGGGGGCATAGATGATCTCAAACAGATCTGTTTTTTCTCTTGATTTTTCTTAGAAAATGACGTTACTCCATCCCCAATTAATGACGCTGAAAGCATGTTCTCACTGTTTAACTATGGGGTTTATGCTAATATTTTTTTAGAAAAAAAAGGAAAAAAGAGAGCATGAGAAAAAGAAAAAAAAAAGTCTTTAGTCACCAAGAATCATGTACTATATGCCACAAAAGCCCAGGCAGACTCATTTTATACCAACCAATCTCCTGCTTTTACCTATCTATTTTTGCATCTCAGCTGATTATATTTTAGTATGAATCTATACAAATTAAAGACGTTTTATTTTGTTATATAAAACATTTAAAGTGGCTAACATGGAACAGCACTGGATGTGATTCGATCCATCATAACATAGACCAACATAACGACGATCTTTAACGAGTGGAGTACTACTTCAAGTTGACAACGAATTTATAAAGTAATAGTATTATAAACTGAAAATAATTACCTTTAAAATGCCAAAAATTCTGTAGATTTCTAAACAGAGGGGAGCAACACATGTGCAGTTCCTCAACCTCAAGTCAACTTAATCATGCAACTTTTAAACTGTTACTTGAAAATAAAGGAAAAGAAGGATTTTTTTTTTTTTTGCTTGTTTACATATACGAGTCTCCAGTCAAGGAGTGCAAAACATTTTCGTAGAGCATATTATGGGTTTATAGAGGACCTAGGAATTTCAAGTCTCTCATCATAAGATTACCACTCATTCTGTAAGTTGTGTGTGTGTGTACGAAATATTTGATTTGATATATGTGACGACCTAATAACATAAGATATTATGTGACTAAAGTTGTTAAGAGAAGAAACAAAAATTATAGGGTGATGGTTTGTGGGAACATTTCAACCAAACCTAGCAATATGATATATTAGTTTCACGACTGCTTTGTTGTTTGGACATATCCGTCTTCAACAATTCTCAATCCAGATTCTCTAAACCCTTCAAAGTAACTCAGTAAATTAAGTAGTTCGCTTGGAGGGACGAAATGGTAACTAGGACTTGATTGAACCTTCTTTTTCATGAACTTGATCCATGATTAGGTTGGATACTAATTCACACCTTAAAATTATGTTAGAGGTGAAACTGCTATATATATGTGTGTGTGTGGTTTGTGAGTTGGAAAGATATGGTGAGTGTGTGTGGATGCAGCAGTAAATAGATAACCAATGCTTAATGACATCAAGAAAAAGAATATTAATGTAACCTTGAAATAGGAGATTTCTAGGTTGTTTTCTCATCTCTTTTTCACTTGGTAGATGATTCTTGAAAGAAAAAGACAATGGAAATGAATGTGTGTGTGTGGGGTTATAATGGATGTCTTACTTGTACCATATGGAATGGTCTCTAAAATGTTATTGGGGGATGGTTTCTATCATGGAAACTGGTCAGTCAAAAGATCCAACGAAAACCCGTCCGTACATAATGCACCTCAATACTCACTTGGTCTCGTACGAGGAAAGTAATATATATATACACCAATCACCATAGTCATAGAGACAAGTTGAGTTCTGTTGTGGCCTCCAATAACAAGCACAATACAACGTTAAGGAGGTATACTTTGTAGTACAGTGGCAAAGGTTTTACGTAAAAGAGAAAAAAGCTTTCGATCGACTCTATGATTGCAACAATCATTCATAATTTCTTGGCATGATTTTTATGTTTTTTTAATTAAAAAAAATTAAGTGTACTAGGACTAGTTTCATGTAATGTCCCAATTCATGCTTTGATACCGAAAATGCAAGATCTGAAACGAGAGATAAATCAATATTAAGGTGAAACTGTTTTTGCCCAAAAAACAAAAGGTGAAACTGTTATCCATCAGAACTAGAGAGAGCTTAACAATGATACACCCCTTGTCTAAAACGAAGCTCGTGAGCTGCACGTGAGCTCCTCTTCTGTCTCTCCTCGCTTGTAACTGAGAACCTTCCATACGAACCAGAAGCTCGACTAGATCAAACAGTATGGATCGAACTATTACTAATCGTACCAAAAAAAGGGCAACATTTATTTTTCAAATAAGGTTGCATAGTTTTATGAATAGAATTGGGCATTAGCGTTCAAAGCGCAGAAAAAGGTAATAAATCCGACGAATGGCAAGGAAGAAGATTCTGATAGTACGGAAAAGAAGTAAAGTAAACTTAGTACCTTTCCTCTCTGTTCAACGTTAAAACTTAAAACACTAATTTCTATAAACAGTTTGCGTCAGATATAGGTCGACCAAAACCAGGGCCCCTATGACTACGTACCGACTTTAACTTCTTTAGATTTTCTTGTAATTTACCTTCTCATTCAAATTTGACCAAACTCTCTCTATCTAAAGAAACAAAATACATGTACGATTGATTGCAGAACGTTCATCTCACGGCGTTTAAAAGCCAAAGTTTGAAAGAAATGAAATCATACCGTAAATATAACGTTTCATTTTCAATAAAATGTCTAAATGTTAAAAGACTGTGGGGATTAGTCCGTGACTTGGCCTGAGATTCTTTAATTATAAAGAAGAAAGGTCTGAAATGCATGTATTCCTACAAGTTACAAGTAAGTACGTAAAAATAAATTTTTAAGAGTAAAGTTGAGCCAATGAACTAAAAGATCTGTTGCACGTTGAAACTGAGCAAAGAAAAGTGAGACAAGACAAGTCTTAGTAAATGCAAAGACATTGAAGCTCTGCATGACTTCACACATCCAAAAACGTTTGAAACATGTGGCCATATTGTAACTACCTATCACTGCACCCATGGAACAAAGGTTATACGAACTCACAATTCAAAAAAAAAAAAAAAAAAATAACTATTCTTGAAATTCCCAAGAAAAATCTCGACAACCTTAATTACTTTTAATATGTAAATATCAAAACTTGAAAACCCAAAACAAAATGCAGAGTAGGGAAACATGAAGTGTGGTTGGAATTATATTGTAATACTCAAGTTGTCTCTTCTCAGAGAGATGCGTGGCTAATAATATCATCATCTCACTCACCTTGCATCAATTTACTAGTATAGTTTATTTTTAAAATTATTTCTGTCACATTTTTAAATATATTTTACAATCCTCCGCTCGATTATCAATGCAGTACATATATATAAAGTTACAGGGCTGTCTCCGATCACTCTCTATCAGGTAAAAAAGCTCAGAAACTAAATAAGATTGGATTTTTATTTGCTCGTGCAAAGATCTTGTTCTTCGACTTCTTTCTTCTTTTTTTGTCAGTCCATTTTCACCCACCACTTGTCATTATACGTAAGATACGATCACAGAAATAACACAAAAAGAAACAGAACTTTGTCTTAACAGAAATGGGAAGAGAATGGTACAATGGAGGCATATCCATTTGCTCCTCTGAAAGCAAGAGCAATTCCAGTGAAGCTAACGGCTGCATCACTGCTCTTTCCCACTTTTTTCATTTCCACCATTTTTACTTTCCTTCGCGTCACCATCACCACCAACCTAGTGTTGACTCTCCCTCAAGAAATCTTAAAGGTACGAGCTTTCTCTCTCCCTCTCTCTCTCGCTTTCTAGAACCTGGTAAGCCATTTGTGGGTTTCAAACATGCATAGGTTTATTGTGAGATAGACCTTTGCAATTCAGTGAGTAACAGCGAGGAGTGTTCTTGCAGGCTTGGTTGCTCCGCGAAACAGCTTGGAGTTAACAGAGGAGTCTCCGCTATCAACAAACTACAAGGAATCAGAAAGCTTGAACATCCATGTAAGTCAACAACATTAATGGTTTCATTTTATTTGAAGTGTAACTGATGGAGCTAAGCGACAATTCAAATGCAGGTGGGCGGGAAAAAGCCAAAACTTAGAGCTATTCTCGTCGATACATCCTCTGATATCTGCAACTCACCTCGCACCAATACACCAAACGTGGTGGCTAGACTCATGGGTCTTGATCTTCTTCCCGATAACTTAGACCTCAAGAGATCATCAAGGATCAGTGTAAGAAGACAGAGCCTCTCCGGGGATGGCTCAGGGACAAGATCTTTACCTGAGAGCCCCAGGGTTTCCTCTGCTCGGAAATCTGATTCAGACATTCGTCGCCTATCCCTGCAGCTAAACAGAGAGAATAAGCATGAAGAGTTTGGGTCTTTGAGGCTTAAAGAGTTGAAACAAGATGAGGAAAGTCGAAGTCCTACACATAACGGAAGGCAGATAGTGAGACAAATAAAAGAGAGGGCCGTCACTAGAAGACTTGGCATGGATATAACAAACTTGCTTGAGAAGAGAAGAGCAGGAGGAGGAGCACAAAACCCGATACAGCATAAGGAAGCGAGAAGCAGGTCTTCACAGAAAGAGAACACATTCAGCTCCAATCCAAGATTTGTGTTCAAACACGATAAGAACTCGCAGAAACTAACAAAGGTGACTTCTTCAAAATATTCCAAGGAGAAGAACCTCAAAAGAGTGACTGAACAGCCGCAAAGACCTATCAATGGATGGAAGAAAGCGGATAGTAAATCAAGTTTCTCACTTTATTCAACACCCATTAACCTAAACAAGCAGAGAAGAGCTTTCATCTCTACATCGACAAACTCGAGATCTGATCGCTCTGATACTTTAGACAAGAAGAAATGCAAGAAGATCCAAATTCCAAATGACATTCTCAACATCTCAGTAGCATCATCAGCTGTCTTCTTCGCCAAAGAACGTCCTCGGAAACAGGTACGTTGGTTTTTGTTTCACTGAGGGAATAACACAAACACTTGATAGGCAGTCTCATTTCCTTTCAATATTTTAGATGAAAAGAGCTGAAGAACCGGAGCGGAATGCAGAGGCGACGATATGCTCCGGTCAGATGTACAAATACGAGGAGAAGCTTCCTCAAGGACCACAAAGTTCTAATTTTTACGATTCGAGCACCATTTCTTCCACATTCGCTAATGCAAGAGGCACCGAAATCGATTTCAAACATCTTCCGGGGATGACAAAATTTGAAGAGGAAGAGGAAAGGGTCGTCGCAGAGATTGAGCGGCATATCATGGACGCACTCGTGCTGGAAACCGTCCAAAACGACAGCGTTTTGAGGGGTTAAAACGCGGCGCGTTTCGTAAAAATGTGAGAACTGTTGTGCCATTCTAAGAGAGCGTCTGCGTTTAATTCTTTTACGACTGACGAGAGATTCAACGCATAACAATGTGCGTTTTGCATCTCGCTATTACTAATTGTTGTAACTTGTAAAAGCCATCATTCGAGTTTCCAAGACTGATATTCCACTGTATTTGTTATCTTTATTTTTATATTTTGTTATCTTTCGGGAAGTATATGAAAGTACGAAATATGAAGATGATCTTTTTGAGCTACTTCAAATTATTAGCGTCCTGCTTTAACTCCAAAAAGACATATTGTCGATATATTGAGCATATTATGTTTTCAGATTGTATATGATTTATCATATTTATATAACATGTAACATGATTATCAAATGACATTTTATCTTTTAGATGTTTAATATGTTTTAGATATAGTCATATATATATATATATATATGTAACATGAAATTCTATTTGTTACTACAGAATTTCATAAAAATCGACCATGACAAATACAGACAAAATCAGTCGAGGAACAAGAATGTATCTGTCTTTCTTTGTACCAAACGTTAGAATAACGATTTTATTAGCAATAGCACACAAATCATGAAGTTATTCATTGAAAAACCAAAGCTAACGAAAAACCCAAAGAAGGAAACAAAAAAAAAATATAGTATGCAAATATAGAAAAACAAAAGGAGACAAATATGTAATCATAATGTACGGAAAACGACATGGAATTCTAACTGGTTGTGGAACTAGCGAGGGAGGTTAATGTGAATTCTGATGAGAAGACCCGGGAAGACATCATCCGGATCATGGATATGCGGGTTACGCTCCACGATAAACGGGTCACCGCACTTTTCGCTGATGCTGTTAAGCGTCTCCCCTTCACCCACTACGTATATCTCCTCGCATGGTCTCTCCATCATTTGCCTCCCTCTCCGAACCTCACCGTAGCTTCCCTTCCCCGCCGCCGCCGGAAAATTCTCTCCGCCACCTCCTCCGTGGCCGTTTCTAACCGAGCCCGCCAGTGTTAGGACCAGCAGTGCGACCAGACAGTAACACGCCACTCTCTGTGACCTTGACACCGTTACTCTCATCATGACTATGGTTATAACTGGGAAGAGAGAGAGAGCTGAGATTTTGTGATGGAATATCAAAACACAAACAAATGTATCTATTTTTTTTTTTGTTAACTCACAAACAAATGTGTTTTGTTCTTTGCGTGAGGGAGGCTTGTGTTTATATACCCATATTAATATCACATTTATGTGGGGTATAGTCATAAGCAATCACTATCACCCCTATTAATCAAACTAATTCCCTAATTTTGGTTGATTAATTCTACTAATACAATTATGATTAAAACTTAAAACATGAGGAAATCGTTTCGGCTACTTGTCCCAGTATGAGTTTCTTCTCTTTCGTGAAGAAACAATCTACTACATGAAACTTTCCAATGATTAAAACCCCACCAAAACAATTTCGAATGATAAAATAACAAAAATGAATATAAATTCTTAATAATATTTCATGTCGGAAATATAATAAGAAATAAAAAAGATGAGATATCTATTTATTGTTAGTTTTGGATTTGAAAAGCCATAAAATATAACATGGTATTTAAAACCGGATTTGGTGTAAGTAAAATGACCTAAATAGAGATGTTGATAGGTTTAGAGTGAAATTTGATTTGAAATGGAGAAAAAGAGCTATTATTTCGAAAAAATGTATAAACATATTTTATATTGAAAATGTGATGAAGCTTTAAATGATATATAGAAAAATTAAATCAATTAATTAAAATTGAAAACCAATAAAACGTAAATAGAATAAAAACATCCATCAGATAAAAAAAATGTTTTGTGTGTAGATAGAACAAATGGCTTCCGTGAACTTTCTTTTGTTTTCTATTGTTAGACCCCGTGATTACTATACGTATTAAAAGATTTGTTTTTCTTATATGTGTAAAGTCTAGTAAAAGTTTTGGATGTATCTCGTGTTATTCTATGGACTCTTGGATTTAAATATGTAATGAGACAAGAGGCAGAGTATAGTCAAAATCCTTTATAATTGGAATCGCACCATCCGGTTAAGTGAAGAGAAGAATCTGAACTTATCACTCCTCGGTAGAAAAGTTCCCCAACAAGTTTATTTTTGAACCAAAATTCTTATTAATTTTTGAAACGTTACCAAAAAAAGGGCTGGATATTATGAAGAACCATGGATGGTAGAATTAGAAAAATCCTACACCACTCGCTCCACTAGACCAAGAAATCAAGTCTTTTACAGGATTTGGGATCCTTTATACTGTCACATAACATTAAACCAAATTCAGCAGGTGGAGTTCGTTAATGCATGGAAAGACTCGACTGTTTTGCTTCTAAACAATCTCGCTTCCGAAAGTGATTGTATCACCTCATAATTGATGGCTCATGCAAATAATTGGTTTGGACAGTTTGCATATGTTGTATCTTTCTGCATGTATATATATATATATATATATATATAAAAAAAGACTACTAGACTAGACTGCAAATCTACAAAATATTATGAATCATGATTTTAAAGACTCGCAGATTCTAAAGTTTGAAAAAGAAAACTCTGAAGTGATCAATTTTTTTCTAAATTAATCTTAAGAAGAAAGAAATCTTGTTTTATCAAAAATCATGTAAAGAACAAAAAATATATAAGACATTCTCTAGAAGTAAAAAAAAAACATTCTCTACGAAGTCGGCATTGTGGATGGATATCTTTCGGTTATAACTCTTAGTATAGAATAGATTCATAACAATGTGAATAGACAAAGATACACGTACGTGTGGGACACATTCAGCCTCCCTCCCGTGTAACTAGCGCCGTATAGTTCCTAAGGTGTTGTGCTCATGACATCTGGAAATTTCTTTGATTGAATGGAAAAAAAAGATAATAAGAGATATACTATTGTTAGTTTTTGCGAAATGTGTCGGCCGACATATGCCGTCGACGGTTAAAATAATTTCTACGTTATTTAGTAACAAGAAAAAGAAAAACAGAACACTCACATTTGATAGAATAGAAATAATGATACAACTTTTATTATCCTTTGGTAAATGGTTCCACTAGTTTTTTTGTTTTAAAATACGTCCATTCATCTGTATTGAACAGGGTCACCAAGTGCTGCTTCTCTCGATAGATGAATTGGAAGATGTTCCATAACATCAAAGAACGATGGTGGAAAAATCTTCTCGAGATTGCATATGATGACTGGTATCTTATCTTCCAGATTACGGATATCGTCCACTGTAAGAGATCTCGAACACATATCTCTAAAAAATGCACCTATCCCTGTATTTTCATAGTCAATAAAATATATGATTGTAAAAATGATCTATAAAAATATGTTAAATTATAAAATTATGCTAAATAATGTTAATAAATGTACCTGCAATTGTGCCATGGACCTTTGCGGGCAGAAGGTATTGAAAGGCAAATGGAAGCAGGCGTTGCATCACCACATGACAGTCATGGCTCTTCATTCCAGAAAACTTCTCCTCACTTTTATCAACACAGTTTCTAAGATTAGATGCATATCCATCTGGGAATTTAACACCATGCATAATCCAATCAAAGAATTCTTCCTTCGAAGATGTATCCAACCGGTAAACAGGAACCGGAGCCTTCCCATTCGCCTTCAAGTGAAGATCTTTCCTGGCACAATGAATTGGCAAATCCAATCTAGACTTCAAATTGTCTTTTGTCTTCCCGTGGACATTTAGAACGGTATTCATGATGTTGTCAAAAAAGTTTTTCTCAATGTGCATGACATCCAGATTATGCCGCAACAGATGGTCCTTCCAATATGGCAAATCCCAGAAAATGCTTTTCTTATGCCAGTTGTGTTGTTGCCCAACACCATCAACTCGAGCATGTCCATTACCACCGCATACTACCGTCCTCTCTGCACCAAAATCCCTTAACTGAGTCAAAATATTATTACCATCTAACTCGGGGGGTGGACCGTCAAACACCTTCTTCTTCTTCGTAAACAATGTTGTGTTCCGGCGATAGGGATGATCAGGATGTAGAAATCGCCTATGACAATCAAACCAACTTGCTTTGCGGCCATGCTTCAATTAAAATGCATTCGTATCATATTGGCAATTCGGACAAGATAGCCTTCCATGTGTTGACCATCCGGAAAGCATACCATATGCTGGAAAATCGCTTATGGTCCACATCAACACCACCCGCATCATAAAATCTTGCTTGGAGCAAATATCATACACTTGAGCTCCATTATCCCATAACAATTGCAGCTCATAAATCAGAGGTTGTAAGAATACATCAAGTGGTCTCTTGGGATGGTCCGGACCTGGAACCAGGATGGTGAGAAATAAAAACTCTCTTTTCATGCACAAAGAAGGCGGCAAATTATATGGTGTCACAATTACTGGCCACAACGAGTATTTCCTTCCATGCTTTCCAAATGGATTGAAACCATCTGTACTTAATCCGAGATATACATTCCTTGGCTCACTCGCAAACCCATGATACACTGATTGAAAATGCTTCCATGCTTCTGCATCCGACGGATGCGCTATTTCTCCATTTGATGTATGCTCTGCATGCCATCTCATAGGACCCGCCGTCCGCTCTGATTGATATAACCTTTTCAACCTCTCTGTTAGCGGTAGATACCACATCCTCTTATAAGGTATTGGGACTCTTCCACTCGTTTCTTGATAACGAGGTTTGCGACAAAACCGACATGTCAACCGATCTGCATCCCCTCTCCAATATAGCATGCAATTGTCGATACACACATCAATCATCTGATATGACAAACCAAGACCAACTAATAATTTCTGAATCTCATAGTAAGAAGCTGGTGCCATATTATCTTCAGGCAAAATCTCCTTGACAAAATCTGTGAACGCATCCATGCAATCTTCCGCCACATTAAAATCTGTTTTGATGGCTATCAACCTTATTGCAGCTGATAAAGGCGAATGACCCTCCCTACAGCCTTTGTACAATGGCTGCTTAGATGCATCTAACATATCATAGAACCTTCTAGCTTCTAAATTACGTTCCTCTATTCTTTCTCCATCATCGACATATGTCGCTACATTTTCTCGAAATGCATCATGCACCATCTCTACAGTTCCTATTTGTGCATCTACTTCCGTTCTTTGCTCATCTAACATATCTGGCATATAATATCCACTAGTACTACCACAATTCGCCACTGAATCATTTTCCCCATGTGAATACCATACTTTATAACCCGGCATAAATCCTCTCCGACATAGGTGACTCTGTACTAAATGAACTCTAATAAATCTATAGTTCTGACATTTAGTACAGGGACAGAACATTTTACCAGATTGTAAGGTGATGTCTTGCATTGAGGCAAAATCTATGAATTGCTTGAGACCTTCTGCAAATTCTTCTGAAATTTCTCCCGTCAATGGATCTTGCGGAGATTTGTCCATCCATGATCTAAAATACTCGAAATGATTTGGAGAAGACATATTTTGTAAGATTTTGTTTGGTAACACCATTGTTTGCAATGAGGGAAGAAAGGATTTTATAGAATGATTCTTGGGATATTGTGACGGATTTCTGATGGATTCCTGACGTCTATTTAACTTTTAAAACGGCTATATTACCAATGGCTATTACTAACGGTTGGATTTTTTTCTGACGAAATATCTGACGGAGATTGTGACGGAATCCTGATGGATTTCTGACAAGTTTTTTGATTTTCAAACCGTTACAACAACAGCTATATTAACGGTTGTTTTTTTTGTGACAGAACTTTTGACGGATATATATCATCAAGATTTAGTTTGAATCCGTCGGAAATATCGTCGGAATTTCAAGCTGTCAGATTTCGTCAATTTCCGGTCAGATTTTTATCAAAAATTCCTGACAAAACAGTCTTTGGTCAAAATTTCCATCAGGATTCATGATGTTTTCTTGTAGTATACTAATCATCTTACGAATAAGTATTTTCAAAAAACGTACATTCATAGAAATTTATTAAATGATAATCGGTTGATAAAAGAATTTTAAGCCTCTTTTGTGAAAGATGTCTGTTTGAGGCAACAAGCAGTCTATAGTTGAAGAATTGGTGAAGATATTCGAGTTGTCTCTTCTATAATATAGGTATCATTAGTACTAGGAACAATGAATCAATTTACCCAAAAGTTTAAAGGTAGAAATAGAATTATGAACAGCTTTGAGACAATTAGATCTTGGCAAGACAGTGGAATACTTTTTGGGGTTCAAATATGTTAGAATGCAAAAATAGTTTCTCATTATAAACTAGTCTATGCAAAAAGAATGTTTGAGATTTCAAAATGGCTAATAATCGAAAATGAGTTAGCGAAACTGTTTGTGTCACTTGAACATAATATTGGTAAAACACAAAGCCAGCTCTGAGTCCAAGTAGACCAAATATGAGTTTGCAGTTTTTATTTTTACATAAAAATTTTATAAAGGAAAACAGAATTTTTTTAAGTTAAAAAAATTATATTTTTTCTTTTATAGATTGCGACCTTCACCATTTTTTAAATGGCTCTGGTATAACAGAATATTTCCAGCTAAATTGGCTAAAACCTTATATTTGATGTTTGCCATCACATATGTATAATTAACGTACTATGACTATGAGTATCGATCTCGATTTATTTTTAAAACAACAAATTCTACATTACCGCGCACAGAGACATTATGATAGTGATTGAGTTGAATATCAAAAGGCAGCGGCTATATATGTTCTTCCACTATGTATACAGTATATCTGTATATATATGAGGACCACAATCAACTGTGCAGTGAAAATATCTTCTACAACACCGACGATGAGTTAGATTTTGTGGTCAAAAGTTACTTGATAGTTCACGGACTCTCGGGTTTAAACAAGAAAAAAGCATATCCGTTTTATTTGACAAATCTTCAACTATTTCCACTAAAAACAATTAGTTCAAAACTAGATGGTCAGGTACATCAACATCAAATTTCAAGTTTTTATTAGAAAAGGTGACAATAATGGGACAATCAAAGTGAAATACTTACAAAGTATATGTCAGATTGATATATCTCTGTCTACATCAGTATTCAATGAATTATTTTTTTTATATACCTTTACAATGAGTTGAGAATGCAACGTTTAAGAAAATTGGATGAATGAGTCATGCAGAAATTGATTGATTTGAGTTAAATCAAATAATTATGCAAATAAATTTTGGTATTTTGTTTTTGTTTTTTTGCTCCGTTGTGATTGAATGTTATTGGGTGTGTTACTACAATGATCTTTTCGAATCATCAAATACAAACAATATACCTTCGCTTATTATTCCCACTTCATGAACTGTCTCTTCTTACTAAATTTTTGTTTTTGTTTTTGTTTTGGCTTGCAGAAGAAGAATTCAACATCTTTTCAGGAAAATAAAATCTGAACTTAATTTATCGCTTTTTGTTCAGATCGATGAACTATTTTAGGCTTCGAAGATTCAGACCTTTAATAACGATGAATGAACTTTTATGTTCTTGGAACTTGGAAGAAAAATTAAGAAATATGATTATTCATGTCTTGTTTATTCAAGTAGAGATAACCTAACTTGTCGTCAAAGAAAGTTGTAATGGGTTCTGTGGAAAAACCAGTGTAGCTCTTTTCCATTTTCATTGAGCAGATGCGATGAATCACTTCAAAGAGATCGTTCTTGTGTGTGATAGGTTGAGAAGCAGAGTCCTCGAACCGCATCCACTGCACATTCAAGAAAAAAAGTTGATAAGAAATATTGCGAGAAAATGTTTCAGATTCAGAACAAGAAGAAGAGGTTACTTTACTTGAGCCGCTTCAATCTCTAAATCCTGTTTTTGAATATCAAAAGAGGTAGGTCGCAACAGACAAATGAAGAATAAATCTGACTTTGCAAAAAATGACTCGTGGGTTTGACTGCAAAACATATGGGCACAAGGATTAGAATCTAAAAGAACCAATAAACAATGAAGCAGAAGATGCGATGATCAGTACCAGAAAGCTAGAATCTCCAAAAACTCTGTGTCAATCTGAAGATAAATAGATTGGAGCATTAATTAGTGTGTATATATATGTAGATTTACACATGCATTTACGTATATAATTATGATATATGGATCTATACTTACGCCTGTTTCTTCTTTTACTTCTCTAATGGCTGCAGCAAAAATCTCCTCACCCTAAACGCAAACGAGAAAAGGTGAAATCTTCAACAAATATATACAAAGGGCTGATTGATAGAGAGAACTCAAACACACCTCGTCAACAACTCCTGTGGGGATCTTCCAGACACCTGATCCGCGTAATGTACCGTATTTTTCCTGCACGACAAGAATCTGCCTCTAGTTTTAATTTAAGATGCAGTACGTTGTTGGCATGGAGGAGATTTTCAACTCATGTTGACAGCAAAACACTGAGTTTTTTAACAACACAATGAGACCAGGACTGTGGCTTTACGTGCGTTTACGCTTTCGTTTGCATATTTCCATGCTACGATTAGAACATTATTACATTGAAACGCTACACACACACAAAATGACAATAACAAAAAAACGGGTCCTAAATACCTCTTTGTCATGGTTCAAGACAACAGCACCAACACGAACACGATGAGAAGCATTCAAAGGAATAGTACTCTCAGCTTCGGGAATCCAGTAAACTAGCATCAGGTATGTTGGCTCAGCGTGGTGGTACCGAAAACCTTCCTGCATTAATTATTTTATATAACACCATGCATGTATAAATCTCATGGTTTTTTTTTAACTCAAAAATTAATTAAACTGAGTAGGGTTGATTCATATCTCTTATATACCTATATATTTTCTCTCACATCCATGCTAGCATACTTTATTAAACTTAATTAGACTTTGTTATTATATTAAATTTTATAAATGAAACTAATCGGATCGTTGTATATTATATTCTAGGTTATATCTTTTTCCGATGTGGAATTCCGAACACCATAAAAGAACGTGTTTTCTCAATATATGAAACATCAAAGGTTTTAAAGATTCTTAGGGTTCGTGGAGTTTTATCACAAGACTAAGTTGCAACGAAAATCCGTCTTCGAGAAATGACATGTATACAAAACTGGTAATTAATGAATTAGGTTTTAAGGGCATCACCTTGACTGCGGGTTCCACGAGGTTAACTTGTGTGAGAGGTAAATTTAACCAGACTCCCTTTTTACCCTGGGGAAAAACAAAAACCATGATCAAACGTGTAAGATGCGAGCATGAGACTGATCGCGCCAACACAAACCTGTGACCGCCACTGCGTAAACGAATATCTAAGCTTTGCAACGAAACACTTGGGGTCCATTGGATTATTCATCTCCACGATCACTCCTCCGTAGTCATCCTCCACAAACGGAAGTACCTCCTCACCTATCTTGTGTTCTACTACTCCATTAATCATAGGGGCCTCGTGGTCAGACATGCTTCAAACTCTTAGAAATTCGAGATGTAGGAGAGGTCTAAGCTAAGGTTGGATTCAAGGAAAGGAGATGAAGAAGAAGCAAAGAGAAAGAAAAGAAAAGAAAAGAAAAGGAGAGTGTGGTTTCAACGGGGGAAATGATTTCGAATGAGAACAGTGCTCACTGTGGGGGGTAATGGCAAAACCAAAGTGCTTAAAATACATTTACATAAATTACACCTATAGTGGGGTGAGTTTGGTCGTAAATCATTATCATAAATTCATAATGACCGACTTGATCCTTCGGTGGAGTCAGTGACGCAGTCCCAGACGTCACCTTCAACGACAAAAAATACACACACGTAAGAACACCCGCCTAATTAGAAATATTTGACAAAAATAAATATCTCAGAGTCTGTTACTCAACATATATTTGTATCCAAGAATATAGCGATACATTTGTATAGTCAGTAAAATGAGAGGATTTGCTTACGGACATGTTGAAACGTGTTTCGACTTATCTGATTACGTGAAATAAAACAAACCTTGTAGAGTGCAGCGAGAGACTAGGCCCAGGAACATAAAGCCCATTAGGTCCTAAAATGGAGTATTAAAAAACAAATCGCCCACCGTGGGGCTCGAACCCACGACCACAAGGTTAAGAGCCTTGCGCTCTACCAACTGAGCTAGACGGGCTATTTGCTTATCTGGCATGAGTACACAGTTAATAGCAAAATGCATTCCCATTGTTCAATTCAACTCACACCATGTCACACGCCATTTAATGATTTTAGTATTTATTAACAGATCTTTAATTCACTAGCCTTTCCTTTGTTGAAACTGAAACCACTGGTCATTATTCAATTTCAGCAAATCTTTGACAAACATTTACACACAATTCTTAAGTAACTCTTGTATTCATAAACATTTCAACAATGCTACTAACGATCTTAGCAGATTGTATACCAAACAAAAAAAAAAAAAAATTCTCGACACTCAGAGAAGGAAGAGATTGTGACAATGGCGAGGAACTATGGCTCTGTTTCACGCCTCAAGAGTCAAGACTGTATGGCAGTTGGTTCCGTACACCACTTCCAAACTTTAACTTGACCACTTCCGTCACCGGTGAAAAATATGCCACCGGGACCTATCTGGACCGACCGTATCTCTTGCTTTGCTAAAATTTTGCCCCTTTCCGTAAACCTTAAACAAGAACCAAGAAGGAAGAAGTAAGCTTTTGAAAAAGGAAACAGAACTGTAAACTCATGAAACCAAACGCCACTGGAAGGACTTACGATGGCAAGTCATAGAGGTGCAAGGAATTGTCATTGCACGAGCATAGCAATACCGGCTTGGCTTCTGCATCATGCACTCCGCAGAGAGCTAGCACGCCCTGAATCCAATTAGCAATTAAGAACTCGTAAGTTGCATGTAAATTGAACACAAAAAAAGAAAATAACATTTCAGTCACCAAAAAGAAAGGTAAGGAACTGTACGTATTCTTCTTTGTGAGTGTATGTCACTTCCAAGTTTCCACCTTCAGTAGCAGCCCATATCTAGAGCAGGCCAAAAAGGATTTCTAAGAAGTTAATGGAGCCAGGTAAAAAAAAACTTCTAGCAAGTTAAAATCGAACCTTGACGGTATTGTCCAATGAACATGACAGAAGAAATTGATCCCAGCAAATGAGAGACATGACAACCGAAGTATGCTCTGTAAGCGTCTGTATACACTGCAAATTATCCAGGCTCCAAACCTATTATAAACAGATAAAGCAGACATCTATTAGCTCAAACAAGAAAACAAAACAAGGGTTTTCAATTCACGCAAGATAGGTACTACTTGCTTTTATGGAATTGTCCATGGAACCGGAATAGAGTCGGTTCGCTCCAACGTACAAAGAAACAACTGCAAGAGTGTGGCCCATTAGTGATGCAGCCGGATCAAAACAGCTAGTGGCAGTATTATATCTCCAAACCAAAATAGAGCCATCCTGCACAGAGAGTGATATATATTTTTCTAAGAACTTGTCACTTCAACCAAAATCTAAGATATGTTTTCCCAATCAAAGATTCTCTATGATAATATATTAGAAGAAAAAAAGAGAAAGAATATGAAGCATACACATGGCGCTGAAGCACTATTCTACTCCTAGGTCTTACAGTGAGTCAAAGTATTTACTTGTGTGCCAGCGAACAGCAGATCAGTACCCACAGCCAGTGAATATACTTGGCCAACAGGTCCAGAGAGACTCAGGTCTGCGTTGTTTTGGATATTCCATGCCTGTATATAGACATTTGTATACGGGTTAAGAATCTTTATCCGCTATGAAACTCAAGAGCATAGAACAATCAATGTGGTCCTCAGTGTATACGGAGAGTTTTAAAAGGCAAGGAGCCACGCTAGAAAATGATAGTCCGAACTTACTTTAACGAGATTGGGCATGCCAACCAATAGCCAGGGGCCTTCACTAATCATGCAGCCAACTTCCCCACCAAGATTGAGTACACCTGTACACTGTGTCATAGACAAAAACAATACTACATAAGCAAGCTTATAAGTTATAACTAGTCAATCTACAAATATCGAAAAGCATTCCTTAATGCCAACATGCTTACTAAGATAGTGTTCTGAGTTCAATAACTAACAGAGTTCTGCAGTGAGAGAGAGGCCACAGTAACAATAAGAAGATGCTAAACGAACAAATTAGAGGCAAATCAAGGAACCTGTCCAGAAGCACAATCCCAGATCCGCACAGTTTCATCTTTACTCGCCGTGTAAAGCTTATCAGAACCTGATGGCAGAGCAATCCCAGTGACAACCTGCTCAAGAAATCGGAAACCCATCAACATCGTCGCCAACAAGCACAAGAATCCAGCATCCGCTTTGGAACCCATAAAAGTAAAACTCCGAACAACACACCTTCTGATGCCCGTCTAGCTGAGTCAACAGCGAGAAGCTATCCCCTTTGCTCCAGCAATGCAAGTATCTGCATTTATCACCGTAAGGGCAATTCCCATCGACCCAAAATTTGCAGAGCTTCTCCGTCTTAGTCACTGTCCTGTTCCCACCGAATCTCCCAATGCTATTAGCTCTCCCGCTGAACCCGGGACCTCTCCGGTGGCTCGGACCCGCGAAACCGGACTCATCAGCGACCCGTTTGTTCGTAGACGACCCGGCGAATGGACCTGGACCCGGCAACTCGCTGTGCAGGAAAGGGCAAGGGTACCGGTTGCACCGCCCGGACCGCCAGTGGAAACAAACCTTCTGGTTCGAGTCTTTCGGCGCCGGCGTCGGCCGATTCGAGCCGCCGAGTCTCTGAAAGACTCCCTTGTTACCTCCGTTCATATCCAAATCCATATCAATTGGTTGTTATCTCTCTAAATTACAACTACCAAGTAGTGTGTGATTAAGAAAACTCGGAATTGGATTATCCTGTAAACGTCGAACGGGATCATCACTGTTCAAAAGACCAAATCCGATCATAAGTACAAACAAGCACGAAACCCAGAAAAATTACCTCTCGGCTTATATACAACCTCTCACAAAGGAGGTTTCTTAATAAATCAAAATCGGAAGAGAAGGGATGAAAATTTGTGAGACGACGAGGGTGATTGATTAATGGAAGAGAATGAAAGAATATCCGAAGCGGTTTCGGGTTTTTAATCTTCGGATCTTCTTGAAGAGGACAAAAAGAAGTGAAGAGAAGAATGAGATATTCCTCTGCGTCAGCTTGACGACATCAATGGTCCGTTAAGTTTCTAATTTTACGTTAACTGGAATTTGTGTATAACTTGGGTTAAACTGAAAGCACCATTTATAGTCATTTGTTACAAATTACACTTATGTAACAACAACAACAATCTACAATCTAGGATTACAAAGGTGGAGTAGAACTTGTAAAGGAAGTCGAGAGAGTAAGCAAATCACTCAAAGGCCAGCCTCTGAGTGCCAACAAGTGAAGCATATGATCCCTTTTGGGCCACCAATTCAGAATGGGTCCCAAGCTCTATGATCTTCCCATCGGAGCACACAGCGATCTGATGGGCGCTCTGGACTGTGCTCAACCTGTGAGCGATCACTAATGTTGTCCTGTCTTTCATCAGACGGTTCAACGCACTCTGGACCAAACGCTCGCTCACTGCATCAAGCGCACTCGTGGCCTGCAGCAAGAGATCAAGAGAGAATAAGCAGAGGAGACAAGCTATTACATCGGTAAGGCGAGATTATTAAGAAAAGTGTCTCTCACCTCATCAAGAATCAAGATGGGGGCGTTCTTCAGCAGAGATCTGGCTATGGCAACTCTCTGAAACGTTGGTAAGAGACAAGCACATCAAAAGCGGTAGCAAAAAGTCTATAAGGAACCAAAAACACGAGTAAACTCTTAATGTTTTCTATACCTGTCTCTGTCCTCCGCTAAGCAAGCCTCCTCGTTCACCAACCAGTGTATCGTATCCCTATCAACAAACACCAGTGTTGGTCAAAAGAACTCAAGTGAGCTGTTGCACAATAAAGGTCACGAATCCGAACCTGAGGAAGTGAGATTATGAACTCATGAGCGTTGGCAGCTTTGGCTGCCTTGATGATGTCGTCCTTGGACACATGATCATTGGGGAGACCATATGCAATATTCTCGGCCACAGTGAGAGAAAACAGAACGGGTTCCTGAGTCGCACATAAAAATCTATACTTTGAAAGAGATAAAGAAGAAATAATGAACCCATGCCTGGCCCAATACATGTTACGTTTACACACACACCTGATTCACAATTGAAACAACCTTAGCCCATTCACTCTTGTCAAACATCCTCACATCCTCTCCAGCCACCGTAATGCGTCCTTGTGTTGGCTGCGATAATTGGAAAATTTAACCAATCAGCATGATATAAAACCGGCTTCCGAAATTGGCCTTAACAGATATTAGATTAACCTCATAGAAGCGTGCCAATAACTGTACAATAGTACTTTTCCCCGCACCACTAGAGCCAACAAGAGCAGTCACGGTACCAGAGTTCAACGTCAAACTGAACCCATCAAGAACTTTCACGTCGGGTCGTAGAGGATAAGCAAAATGCAAATCTACACTAGACAAAATAAAATATGGAAAAAAACCCCAAATTAGAAAGTAAAATCTGCAGTGAACCTTCTAAAATGAGGAGAGTGTTTCTTGGTTGATTTTACCGTCAAGACAGACATCTCCGGCCCATGTTAGGGTACGCAGATTGTTACTTGATTTTAGACCTGACATGTAGTATTTGTCGAGGTGACGGATATTCACATCAGGACCAGAAGACAAGAACAACCTAAGGTTTTCATCTTGGACTTTCTTCGTATGTATGTCTCTTTCTAACCCGTAGGCAAGAGCCTCGTCTATGTCCACCGCATTCAAAATGGAATTGATCCTGTCGATAGCAGCAAACGTTCCACGTAGATCTCCAAACGTGTTTACAAGCCCTTGGACCTGGAGAACAGAAGCGCTGTTTATGCCAAACCTTTACCTAATTACATGTATAGCATATGGGTAACAGTGTGGATAGAGGTGTTACTAACAGCAAAGGTAAGAGTAAATGTGTATCCAATGAATGAGACGACTGTTCCAACAGCAAGCTCACCCTGCGTAGGAGAAAACTTTTAAGAATAAGAACCGATAAAAATAATGTGGCAAGGAGCAAAAATGTAACAACATAATGTGAAGGTGGTAACTTTATGCTAGCTTGAAACACTTAAAAGTTATTTATTCAAGAAAATGTGAATGACGAGTAACGCAACTTTCATCAAACCACAACTCTTTATGTGTTGATGGGCAAGAAGCTTCATTTTAACTTCAATGATCATAATGGCAATCAAAAAGTCTTGCAGGAAGGCATATCTTACCGTCTTCACCTTGCTTCCCCCAAGACCGTAAAGAGCTAACAGAGAGATATAAACAGCAACTCTTGTGATAGATTCATTTATAGATTTGAAGGTACCAAGCTTTAAGCCACTACGCTGGTAAGCAAGAATCTGTACATCAAACAGAAGGTTAGAATAATAGACCCATGGAACAGTTTGTAATAAAATCAACAATTGTTTAGTAGAGATTACTTTCAGCTAGTAAGAAGTATGAAATATGACCTGACTACCAAAGAGAGACATCTGTCGTTTTTCACCACTGAATGATCTGACCTATAAAGAGAGACAATGTACTTGAGTCTTCAAAAGTCTACAAATACGATGAAGTCAAAAACTTACGGTTCTGATTGCGGATAACGTTTCTGATACACAATCAGACATGGTTGCTTGGGCTAATCCATGTGCTTTATATACAGGAACAGTCGATCTCTTGTACACAGCTTTTGAGAATTGAAAGAGTGAGCAGATGTAAAGATGAGAAAACATGACCAAGGAATTACCAAAAAAAAAAAAGTTTAGAACAATTGAGAAAGACAGAGAGAACTTACCAACTAACACTGACACAGCGAGCATCAATAGACCAAGCACAGGTGCAAGTTGAGGAGACAAAGTGAACAAAATGCATATTGTTCCAAAAACCTACAAAAGGGATAATACATGAAGCCATAAGAACTGGGCATTGTTGAGATGCAACAAGAATACTCTTTGTCATTTAAACAACTCCCAAAACAGCATCAACACAACACCAAGGTGAGACTAATTCTGTATTCATTATGCAAAACTGAAGCGCAAACACAAGTCTCACATTTTTTGCATAGTAAAGAAATGGCTTGCCTCAGAAAATGCCCTAAATCCACGATCTCGCGAGATGTTATCATTCACAATGCTATTCAGAGCACCGAGATCAGACGTGAGCAGCCCCGTCAGCTCTCCTACCTACAACAAATGAGAGCTCAATTTAACATCATGACAAGGAAGGTTTGTGACAAAATGTTCCAACCCTGACGAAAAACCAAGAGATAAAGAACTAAGAGAGAACACGGACCTTATATTTGTCGAAAAACTCTGCCTGCAAATATATGAAAGACCCATCAAATATAATTCCAGTGCTAAACCACAACAGGCAACAGTGTAGCTTTAGAAAACATATGATGACACAAAAGCAAAACAAATTACATACCTTCTGGATCAAAACCCTTTTGAAAATCTGAGCTCTTAGTGTTGCCAGAACGCTTTCCCATATAGCATTCATGTTGGTTACAAAAGCAATAGTGAAGATTGGTTCCAAAGAATACAAAACTGCGATTTTGCTCAGCAGCCGCCACAGAGGCTCCGGTCTCACACCAATCAGCACTTCAAAGAATCTACCTTTACTCCAACCATAACACTTACCATTATTTGTGATAAAGAATCATATATATAACGAGAAGCATAGATATTAAGCTAAACCAGTATATCCAAACTAAATCTAATTCGACAGACTACAATTAAAATCGGTAAAGTTGAAGAATTTTGATTACCAGAAAAAACAGGCATCGAGAGAGTGCAAGTGCTACAGCCAACGAGAGTCAATAGACAAACAACGAGCCTGAGCTTGTGCTTGTTCATCAAGCTCCACAGAAGCCCCCATCTGATTAAGTCCTTCGATCTGTCATTCTCGGACTCAGATTTGGATCCATCAATCTTTGGGTCTGGTTCGCCCACGATTGGCGGCGGTCCGGTGACGTACGCCCGAGCCAAACCATCGGATTTAGCCCTCAATGAAGGCCAGAACGGCGCAGTGGAGCCACGTAAAGCGCGGAAGGAAAGAAAGGGCTTTGGTCCGCACGTTATAGTCGCTTGACAGCGTCTACGAGCGGCGACTCGAGAAGCGACGTTGTGGAAGAGAAGAGTAGTTGCGGTCGCAGACGCCATGGATAATTTGGATATTGGTTCCAGCGAGCTTCACGACTGATGTAATAAACTGGGTAAACTAGAAAACACAGAAAAGGAAGCGCCGTCTGAATTTGCCTATCCCTTCTTTGTCGGGAAATGAATTTCTCGTACGGGGCTTACAAAAACCCACGTGGCCTTCTTCCTCCTCATGAGGATGAAATGATTGATCAATATAGTAACGTCTTTCTATCCAACACGATGAAATTAAGATGATTGATGATGGGTTGGATCAATCTTTTAACGAGGAGAAACAAAAGTGGGAGTGGCCATAGCTTGTCATTTCTCTTCGACATAAACATGAACACCATTAAGGATTAATGATTAACATCTATCATCTTCAGAAAGCAACATTAATATGAAGAAATACTTTGCTAGATTTGAAACAGATTGTTCGGATTTACTAAAGATAACTGAAGAATTGGAAGATTAGTTTGCTTTTCAATAAATAAAAAAAAAAGAAATACTATTCTTGTAAGTTTAGAGAAAGTTTTGAAAACTTTAGTTTCATTTTAATCACTTTACAATTCCAAATGTTCGTCCCGATTTTCTTGCAAACGAAACACGAGTATGAAAGTTATCTTGATTTCCCAAATAAGTTTCGTTAAGGTTGTTTCCCGGAACAATAGTTTATCAGTCAAATTTGATCTAATATGGAAGAATACACTATTGTATAACTTCTAACTTCTAATCTATTCACAACAAATATCTGTATGGCCTTAAATCATTGATGCTTGAAGTTTTTCTTTCGTGCAAAATACTGAAATAGTTTATAAAAAGAAAAAGTCTGGGTTATGGATTCGATGTGAACCCACGTTTGTTTTATTTGGTTCGTGTCTCCTAATTGAGAAATCTAATTAGTACCAGGGAACTTTAGTCTTCAGCTGTCATCAATCTGCTTACCACTTACGGAAGTGCTCAGATCTTTTGCTACTCAAAAAAATATCTGCAACTTTTGCTATTTGCAGAAGTACCCATTTTTTATTTACCAAATGCCTCAAAGTTTTTCCTATTTTAAAAAAGCCCCAGAAACTTTTTTTATGTATCCCGTGACTTTTGCAATCACCAAAGTTCTTCAGATCCTCCTTGTACATCTTACATTAAGTACATAAAAGTATGGAACTTATGCTGTTTACAGAGTACTTGGAACTGTTTTACAATTCATATAAGTGTACAGAACTTATGCTGTTTACAAAAACCCGAAACTGTTCATGTATTTTATAGTGCCTACATTTTTTCACCATTTACAAAAAAATCCGGAACTTTGGATATTTATTTATCAAGTGTACCTAACTTTTTTTTTTTTTGAACTGTTTTTTTTTTGTGAACTGCATTTTTGATATTTTTTTTAAGTACCTGAAACTTGTGCTCAATAACATTTTTGGGGTATTTTAAAGACATTCCCTTCTCCTCTTCCATCGTTGATTGAAATTGAAGTTTCTTTGTTGCATACAAGGAGACCAAGATTATTATACTGCACACAAGAATACTCGCATTTGACAACCCCATTGTTGAACCTTACAATCGTTTATCACACTACCAAAAAAAGAAAGGATTCCCTCTAATAAAAAAAGGTAGGATCCGAAAAATCTAAAAAAAAAAAGTTTAAGAATTATAGTACAAAGAATGGAAATGAAAAATCGAATTTTAATAACTCCAAAGGGATACGTCAGCATCTCCGTCGCAGTCATAGTTCTGTCCCCATTGTACGGACGGCGGTGGCAAAAGCATCCCTTCCGCCATATTAGCCAACAACCTCGGCATCCCAAACATCGCTTCCTCGTCCATATAAAACCCTCCGCTCTGTTCTTCGTTTACAATAGCCTCCACTATCGTCTCCTCCATGTCCAGGCCATGATCCGTCGTCGTATCACTCATCTCAGCCTGAAAAGCCACCGCCGCTTCAGCAGCCGCCTTCTGGATATCCTTGGCGCAGGTCGACTCCGGGATTCGGAGCCGCCAAGCAGAGTCAGCGAAGTTGAGACAGGCGGATCTGCCACGGAGAGCTATGGCGGCGACGTCGTGAGCACGAGCTGCCATTTCGGCTGTTGGGAAAGTTCCGAGCCAAATCCTCGATTTCTTGTTTGGCTCTCTCACCTCACACACCCACTTACCGGAGTTTCTTCGACGAACTCCTCTGTAAATTGGGTGACGTGTCTCCCGAAACTTCTTCCGACCGGCCGGCTTCTTCGGACAGCTCGTCGCCAGCGTCGGACAATAATCGGCGCCTATGGTATCCGGAGACTCGTACTCAGAGCCAAACATTTCAGCGAACGCAGAGAATGAGTTCATTATTGATCAAGAAACTCTTGTTGACAAACTGGATAAGGTAGTAGTAGTAACTAAAAGATCTTTGTTCTGTTGGTTTGATAAAATATTTATTTATCTCTCTTTCTTTTTCTTTGTCAGGTAGATTTAAAGTTTGTGTTTGAGAAAAGTGTGGAGTGAGAGTTGGTGTTTATATTGGCCTCGAATTTTTGGAATTTGGGGGAAAACAAGAAAATAATAAAATAAAAAGGCAAACACGGAGTTTCTGGCTCTGGGAGTGACAAGTGGACAAGACACAGCTAAGTGATCCCACGGCTTTGTGAATGCGCTGTTTTCACTCACACATATCCTGCCACGTGTTATCTTGACCCGTCTGGGAAGGCTTTTGACTCTTCACTCGTTATAACTTTATGAGTTTTTTAACTTGTATTGTGTGAGTGTGTGGCTGTGTTTGTGTAGTGTAGGACAACCGGTATTTTAACTATTTAACTTACATAAATAAACTTGTTTGTCGTTATTCGTGTACTAACTATATAAAGTAATGGAGTAGACGTTAAAAAAAATCAGCGAGAAGATATTTTTAGTGCTCGCTATGTGTTTTTTTCCTTGATATTTTAAATAATCTCTGCATAGTTTTTTTTTTTTTTTGTCAACGCTCTCTATGATTTTTTTTTCCTAGATATTTTAATTGCTCTTTTTTTTCCTTGACATTTTGTGCATTGCAAATTGCCCTGGAGTCTTAAATAGTGAGAGTATATATGATAAAACAAATGAACTAAGTATGGTTAGGGAAAAATGCAAAATGAACGAAACAAGCAATATGAAAGTGAGTGAAAACAAAAACTCAAGTATCATCATATAGTGTTTTCTATATGAACCTTACGAGTTTATATATATAGTTCTTCTGAGAGACTTTGCAAAAACTCATTCGATCATCGGACCATCGTTTACATGTTCAATAAAGTACTAAAACTACTGAGACTTGTTTTAGCACACTATCCTTAACTTATTTATTGGATTCGTTGAATAAACGCTTCTTAATCACAAATATCAGTTAGCATTTAAGATTAATACAACCCCCAATTCATAAGAAGCTATTCCAACTACAGGTCGATGGACCTTACGAAAAGGTAGGCGAAAACCCTAACTATGAGGGAAAAATAAAGCAAGAAATTTATTTAGATTTCATACTCTTGCTCTTTGAAATATGATTTTTTTGGATTTGGGATGATTTGTGGGATTACTCGAATTAAATTTGTTGAGCCAAATAGAAAGGTGAGTAAACAGAAGTTATAGAAGGATCTTTCTTTGTTTCTCGACCACGCAATTTTATATTCCAACAAGAATTATCAGATCTCAGATAGTTTGTGTTTGAGATGCTTGTAATTGCTATAGCCAAATATATATCACTCCTAAATAATGTTCAGAATTTTTTTTTTTATATATATATATATAAAGTGATGCCGTAGGCCGATGTTTTTGTATGGTGGACACGGCCCTGCGGTTTGATCTAGTCGCATCCTCTAGGTTGTAGCAATCGTGTCATCTTGTAGCCGTTATTTTTTCCTAAAAAATAAAGTAACTGTTACCAATTGGTTAAAGCCTTTCCATCTAGAAGAAAGGGACAACAGTTCTTTCCTTTTTCCTTTACAATATAGTACAAATTAAAATCATGTGTGTTTTCAAAAATTTTGCTACTGAATTAATAAATAATGTTATAAATTCTGAAAAAAGCTATTTATAAAGTATACACAGTCTGGATTAATAACTTTCAGGGTCCAATTAATAATATGTTATTCGATTGTGTTTAGCCTCTTATCCACAACCAGATACTTCTTTTCTTTCTTTTTTTTTTTTTTTGTCAACACACAACCAGATACTTCTTAAAGTAGTATATTAGTATAATATATCATATGCACAAGTGTTTTCCTCTTATACATGTAAAAATGATTGATTAAAATAGTATATTAGTATAATATATCATATTAGACCGACGCAATAGCAAGTTATGCATCACTCTCAAGTCTCAACAACATATCTATGAAATATCTCAAATCTCAATAATATCCATGAAAAATACTTGTGGCTTAAATCTAATCACGTGGGTGCGAGTCCTGAAGTCGGAGGTTCAAATCAATGTACAAGATTTTCTATTTTCTCCATCAAAAACAAAAATAGTATCTCTACAGAATATCTTCCTTTGCATATATATTCGCTTACAAAAACGTCTGTATCGTTACCACTCACTCTCAAGCGCTCTCACGTTCTATTGACATCTTTGGAGAAACAAGACGACAAAAAGAGATGGGAAGAAAAAAGGAGTGGTAATGTGCAGAAAATGACATAATAATATGTTTTTCTTAAGAGGAAAGTAAAGCTTGAAAGTGACGTGACACGTGTTATATATGGTACGGAACTCGACAGTGAGCCACGTAGGGGACCAGTGATGGGGAAGGGTAGGGACAGCGTTTCCGCTGTTAGGCCACGGTTTAGGATATTTTGACGGGCCCACTTTCGCTCTTGTGGGACCCAACTTTCTGTTTATGGATTACCGTTTGGGTCTCTATTAAATTCGCGGTTTGCCTGAAACGGTTGTTTCGGTTTTATACTCTACTTTGGGAAACTTGTTTTGATAAAATCTTTCTTTAATCTTCTAAATCCGTTGGCCTTGTCGCTTGTCCGAGAGGCGAGAGTCGATCTCACACACTTTTCGAAAGCATTGTTACTTCAAAGTATGTATATAGATTATAATTGTTGTATTGGACACTAGAACTTGCAACAAAATAAGACATATGAACCACAAATCTACTATATAAAATTATAAATAAACCTTACTTCCATTCTGCTCAAAATCAATAATTATGATTATTATTTTTTCATTAAACATAATGGTCTCCAACTTCTAATTCGTTGAGAGACCAACTCTCAAATTCAAAGCTCTGAAGATTGATATAAATCAAACTCCACCTTCAATTTTCCGACATGAGTCTATGTGATAAGAAGATAGTTTAATTAAATTAGTTTTTTTTTTTTTTCTGTCAACTTCTAATGTTTTTATTTTTAACTCGTTTTATGTTAAAATATCATGTTTTTGTTGGGCTTTTTTATGGACAGTTGGCCCAATACTGTAAACGATTAAACGTTAGACCATATTATTTTCTTCCAACCCAATCCATCAGAGAAATAAAATTAAATCGTATCCTGACGTTTGAGGAAAATATATTTGGAAAAAATATTTATTGTAAAAAAGACAAATAGTATTTAAAAGTTAATAAAAAGTTAAATATCTGCTCCGTACCCAGTTATCTCTTATCCCTACCATAATATCTAAGGAGCTTCTTCTAGGGCTTCGACGCTTCAGCGGCTGCCGTATAGTTCCATTTCATCACTGACAGGTAAATTGATGGACAAAACCTGTAGTTTCCGACTCTGTGAGATCTTGTATCTGATCTGTTTGCTCATTCGTTTTTTCTTTTTTTTGGCGGGTGGAAGTGAATCGAGTTAGTTTAGTTTGTCGATCTCGTTTGAATTTTTTAGCTGAATCGCATGAAGAGTCTCTTTGTTTATGTTTGGTGTTAAAGTTCTAAGCTTTGTTTGCCTTTTCTCGTTTGAAGTCTTTCGTGAGTTAATTCAGATCTGAGGTTTTTCACCATAGTCGCTTAGATTAGATCTGATGCGTGCTCTGATGCTGGTCCTTTCGCTTCATATTAGGTATTTGATTGTCTGGATTGAACTGATTAGAGCTCGAAAAATCATCATAAGTTTGAAATCTTGATGTAAATTTATGTTGCTAGTTTTATTCTGATTTGTTCTCAAGCTGTGTTAATGGTCTGCCATCAATATCCTAGTGATTCACAATATGAATACATGAACAAAGCAGAAAATTCGAGCAAATCCATGTATTGTGAGAGCTAAGCTAATCTACACTGTGTTGAGTGTTTGCTTTTAGAATTATCCTTTGTACTTGGCTGTTATAAGGAAGCCTCATAGATCCTTTTACATGGTGACTGTGCAGGAATCATGAAGCCAGTCTTCTGCGGGAACTTCGAGTACGATGCGCGTGAGAGTGATCTTGAACGACTCTTCAGGAAATACGGCAAGGTTGAGAGGGTGGACATGAAAGCTGGTAAGCCAATTTTTTTTCTTTCTTTCTTTCTTCTGCCTTTCACGTAATCTATCTTTGCGGTCAAACCTCGATGAACAAGCACAATCCGTAAACCACTAAGTGCAATGAGGTGAATGCAAAGTCATGAAATCCACTTCCATGTTCATTCCACGAGATGGCTCTTGAAAACTCTGCCTTTAGAAGGAAGTCATTTCCCCCACACACACACCTCAACCGAACAGAGAAATCACTCTCCGCCTAATCAAGTGAAGCAGCGTGCTGGAAGTTTGGAAAGTACTTCAGAAGAAAAAGATTAAAAAAAAAAATTAGTGTAAAAACATATTCTTTGGCGCAGGATGTTTAAATCTTGGGATGCCCATACTCCCACCAGGCCAATGGATGAACCGTAAAGAAATCCATCTACTTGTCCCTCCCCAAAACGAGTCACTTTCCATCCGCAATAGCACTGCCATCTTAATTGCATTTCATTCTTCATCACATTGCACTCTTGGACACAATGGAGAAGGCACTCTGTTTTCATTCACATCCCGTCTGACTTCCACATTTTCAGTTGTTCCTTGACCTATTAATTCCATAATGCAAGGTCTGTAACTGCTCCACTGGTCATTTAGTTTGCCGAGTTTTTTGGGTTCTAGGAATGTTCAGAATTCAATTTGTTCTAGTAGGAGAAAGTAAGGGCTATTTGATGCCGCCGAAGGAGGAAGGACAGTCCTCGTGTTCCCTGGAGGTTCTTAACTTGGTTTTTCTTTGGTCACTGCTTATGTACTCAGTTCTATGCTTTTGGCTTTTTCTTTCTCCAGGGTTTGCTTTTGTGTACATGGAAGATGAAAGGGATGCTGAAGAAGCAATCCGAGCGCTTGACCGCATTGAATTTGGGCGTAAGGGACGCAGACTTCGTGTTGAGTGGACAAAGGTAAGAGACTGGCCTCTGGATTTTTATTTTCATTACAGACTTGGTTTTGAAGTTTGACATACTGATGGTATTATGGCTCTGTGCTTAGAGTGAACGTGGAGCTGATAGAAGATCTGGTGGTGGTTCAAGGAGATCTTCATCCGGCATGAGACCTTCCAAGACTCTGTTTGTGATCAACTTTGACGCGGATAATACTAGGACTCGGGATCTGGAGAGGCACTTTGAGCCATATGGCAAAATTGTAAACGTCAGAATCAGGAGGAATTTTGCGTTTATCCAGTATGAAGCACAAGAAGATGCCACACGAGCTTTGGATGCTACAAATAACAGGTTTGTTCCTATCTAGTTTAGTAACCAAATGCTATTTTTCTATACTTGTCAAGACTCACATTCTGCCTGTGTTTTTCATTCAGCAAGCTGATGGATAAGGTGATCTCGGTGGAGTATGCCGTGAAGGATGACGATGCAAGAGGGAACGGACACAGCCCTGATAGACGCCGTGACAGGTCACCTGAGAGGAGAAGGCGATCACCTAGTCCTTACAAAAGAGAAAGAGGGAGCCCTGACTATGGGCGAGGAGCTAGTCCCGTTGCTGCATACAGAAAAGAAAGGACCAGTCCTGATTATGGTCGAAGACGGAGCCCAAGCCCTTACAAGAGATCAAGGCGCAGCAGTCCTGAGTATGGTCGCGACCGCAGAGGCAATGAGAGCCCTAGGAGAAGGGAGAGGGCCGCAAGCCCAAAGTACAATCGCAGTCCCAACATCAAGAGAGATAGGATGAGCCCTGATCACAGCCCGATCAAGAAGGAGAGTCCGAGAAATGGAGGCGGTGAAGTTGATAGTCCGATTGAAAGGAGGGAGAGATCTAGGTCTAGCCCTGAGAATGGCCAAGTCGAAAGCCCTGGCTCCATAGGGAGAAGAGACAGCGATGGTGGCTACGACGGTGCAGAAAGCCCGATGCAGAAGAGGTTAGTTACTGAAATTTAGTTCGTTGCCTGTTTATATATATAAAAAAAAAACCAAGATTATGAAACTAACACACCATTGTGTTTCTCCATAACAGCCGTTCTCGTTCGCCTCCAGCCGATGAGTGATGAAAGTGGATCCACCATCTCTATCAAAGTAGTAGGATGTTGTAACTTGTTTGTAGTCAAAACTCCGTGTCGTCGTGTTTAGTTTCCTTTGGCTTTGAATGCTTTTCTGATGATACAATCGAATTCCATCTCTTTTTATTTTTCGGATTGAGAATATTTTATCTGTGTGCTTAAAACGTGCCATGAGATTTCGTTTCTTCTGTCGTCAGTTTTAATCGGGTAAGTTATATCTATATTATATATACGAGTACCTGCAATTATGAATAATAAAAACTCGTGAATGACGAGCTAAAGCGACAAAAATTATGACTCTTTCAATCATAGAATCCCCATCTTTTGACCAATGCACAGATGAAGCATAAGTAAAAGAAAAGATCTTTCAGTTTTGAAGAATCTGAATTGACTTTAGATCTCCCTGTCCTCGAGGTTTCCTTGGTCAATGGGTTAAGTCAATATTTTTGTACAAACAAAATGGGTTTAATGAAGCATCTCCCATCCTTTTTATTCGAGCCTCAGAGATTAGCTCTCCAGCCTAATGATAAAAACTTGTTTTAATACACTTAAAATCATATAGATAATCCTATATTTGAAAACGTGAAAATGTTAGAAAAAAAAGGAATATTATCCATCACATGTTTTCTTCTTATGTTGGCGTAAAAATCTGTGTTACAAAATAAGAAAAAAATCTCTTAATACACACATCCTCTTTAAAAAAAATCTCTTTTTTATTTTCCGGGTCTTGCCGATATTGGTCGTCCTGCTTTAGTATTTTCTCCTAAATGCTGCTGTAAAGTTTTAATCTTTTGTTTACTCTTCTCCCTCTACTTGGTTTCTTCGAATTTCCGATTTTGGGGTTCGTTCGAGTCTACTTGATTCAAAGTTTCTGGGTTTTGATTTGAGTTGCCGATTTGATTTGAAGTTTGTTCCTTCGTTTTGGTAAGTTTACCCTTTTGAGATATGCGATGCTGAAAAAGCTACTTCAAATTTGCTCCTCTGATAGTTAGGGCTTTCCAGTGTAATGAAGGATTCGCCTTTCCATATTCTTTGTTGCATCGAGGAAGAATTTGCTTGTAGTTTAAACGCCTACCCTTTATGGATTTGTGTATCTAGTCGCTGATTTGCTTTTCATGTCTTTCAGATTTTGACCACTGGTTGCTCAGGCTTTGTAATTTTTGGATCCTGAACAGTTTTATTTCCGATAGCCATAGCTGCTTAGGATCCGTTTGCCTTTGTAATTGGCTCATGTTTCAAGTTTCAAGCTTGTTGTTCCTCTGAATCCGTCTTTTGGGTCTGTGTCTGCTCTCCTGGGGCATGAACAAAGCGCCGGTCTCAGGAGCTATCGAATCCAGTTTCTCATTGACTAATGCTGTTGGCCCGGAAGCTCTAATTATGCAGAGGAGCGGAGGCATCAATAATATGCGTATCCCAACATCACCAATGTCTTTCTCCTCGAATAACATTAACAGTCCTGGTTCATTGGTTCTTGATGGTTCTGCTTCTATGCAACATTTGTCTCACCAGCAGCAACTACAACAGCAAGCAGGACAAGGTTCAGTTCCAATGAGGGAAAACAATTATTCCCATGTTGATAAGAAACCCAGATTAGAAGTGAAGCAAGAAGAGGAGATGATGCAGCAGCAGCAGATTTTCCAGCAGTTGATCCAGCGACAGGATCCCGCGGGAAGGAACCCGCAGTTGCAAGCTTTGCTTCAGCAGCAGAGGCTGAGGCAGCAGCAGCAGCAGATTCTTCAGTCCATGTCACCGTCTCAGAGACTCCAACTTCAGCAACAGCAGCAGTTAAGGCAGCAATTACAGCAACAACAAGGCAGTCAACAGCTCCCTCCCAATGTACGTCCTTATGAAGTTGGCGTGTGCGCTCGGAAATTGATGATGTACTTGTATCATCTGCAGCAACGACCTGCTGTAAGCTAATACTAATCGATGGACTCTTAGCAATTTTCATCACATCTATTCAACTTCTCCTTCCCATCACTGATAGTCTGATACCTTTTTGTAGGAAAATTGCATTACCTATTGGAGGAAATTCGTGGCAGAATACTTCTCACCTCGTGCAAAGCAAAGGCTGTGCTTGTCACAGTACGAAAGTTCTGGACACCATGCACTTGGCATGTTTCCACAGGCGGCTCCGGTCAGTATTTTCTTAGCTGCTTGTGATATTAGTGTTCTCATATGTCTAGCATCAGCATATTTTCTAGTCATGCTTAGTCCAGCTGTACTGTTTCTGAACTCACTGCACTGATTCTTGATTAATAAGTCCATTACGTTCTCATTTTGTTTGCAGGATATGTGGCATTGTGATCTTTGCGGCACCAAGTCTGGAAAAGGATTTGGTAAGAGAGTTGCTAGTTTTATTCTTGTGTGTACTTGTATCTATATGTGCCTTTACTTGAGCACAATAGAGCAGCTTCCATATGCTAAATGCTCCCACTTTCATTGTTCAAAAGCCTAATTGGTTTCAAAACTCGTTAGTCAAGATAGTAGCTAAACTATTATCTTCTCGTGTCAAATCCACAGAGGCAACGTTTGATGTGCTTGCCAGACTGATTGAAATCAAATTTGCGAGTGGAATCATTGATGAGCTCTTATATCTGGATCACCCTAGAGAAAACAGATTTCCCAATGGACTGATGATGTTAGAATATAGAAAAGCAGTTCAGGAAACTGTACACGAGCAGTTTCGTGTTGTCCGTGAGGGCCACCTTCGCATCATTTTCTCTCAAGATTTGAAGGTATCCATTTTTTGTTGTTGAAAGTTTGATGTTCTTCCAGTTTTTTTTGTTGCCCTGCGTATTCAGTGAACATGAAAAGTGAAAAATTAATCACCAGTGTGCTAGTGCTCAACTTATCTAGCCTTGACTTTTTTTTGTTAGATACTGTCGTGGGAGTTTTGCGCTCGGCGTCATGAAGAGCTTCTTCTCCGCAGACTTATTGCTCCGCAGGTCCTATTCTGATGACTTGACCTATTTATTAGGAGCTTATATTAATTTGAGGATAGCTAATACTCGGTTTCCTTAAACATTCCGTTTGTGCATTACCCTGTTTTCTAACTAATTTTGTATGTGCTTATCTTCTGGTTCCCTATGAATGTGAGCACAAAGTCTGTAAATTTACTTCTGAACAGCTGTTTAGAGATGCTACAATGATGCTGTAAAATGTTTTAACACTTATTATCGGTCATGCAGGTGAACCAGTTGCTTCAGGTTGCACAGAAATGCCAGAGCACGATCTCAGAGAGTGGGTCAGATGGAGTTTCTCAGCAGGATTTGCAGTCAAACAGTAATATGTAAGTAACAATTGGTTGGCCTTTTATACATCCACTATATTTTGGTTTACTATTCTTTTATTATCCATCCAATTTAATTGTCGGGTGCTGATTTGTGTGTCAGGGTCTTGGGAGCTGGACGGCAGCTGGCAAAGTTCATGGAACTACAGTCGCTGAATGATCTCGGCTATCCGAAAAGATACATCAGAACTCTACAGGTACTCATTAGCTGCTGCTTTCGTAGTTGTTACTTTTTTTATCTGAAGTCAGAAGAAGTCCTAATAGCGAGCCATTGCGAGTGACAGATATCTGAAGTTGTCAAGAGCATGAAGGATCTTATGAATTTCACTGGCCACCACAAAATCGGGCCTATTGGTAAGTCTGAGATTCCCATCTAAAACATTTTTCTTGAATGAGTCCCAAAACCAGGTTGCTCCTCTGGTCTAGCTTTCATTTGAATGATACTGATTAATGTAGCTCCCCTGATGAATTGTTCTGTTTGATCCGGTGAATGAGTTTCTGAGTGAATGTAACCGTTTCGATGCCTACTTATGCAGAGGGGTTGAAACGGCTTTTGGAACAGTCGGCGACAGTGAAGCTCCAGAGACAGAAAATGCAAGAGATGGAGCAGTTGGGGAATAGTGGGGCTATAAATGGGTCAGCTCAAGCTCAGATGGCTTTGACTCCAGGGACGATGAACGGCCTAACTGGCAACAACAACAACAACAACTCCAATAATTATCCTCAAATAGTCGGTCGTGGAGCAATGAATGGCTCGGCTCAAGCAGCAGCAGCTCTGACCAACTACCAGAGCATGCTTATGAGGCAAAATGCTATGAATATTCCAAACTCGAATACGGGCAAACAAGAAGAGTTCTCCAGTCCATCTTCTTCGTCTCATCAGAGTCAGAACTTGGCAACGGGTGGATTCCACATGCATCCTCAAATGCAACAGCAGCAGCGCAGCATGAATGGCGCTACCAACATGCTTCAGCAGAATCATCATCATCATTTGCAGCCACCACATTCACAGGGTAACAACCATGAGCAGCAGATGCTTCACCAGCTGTTGCAGGAGGTGTCTGAAAACGGAGCAAGTGCGCAACAGCAGCAAGCCTTTTCAGGTCAGAGTGGTGGCAACAGTAACGCAGAGAGAAACCCAACTGCTTCAACTTCGAGCATCTCAGGAGGAGGCCGAGTTCCAAGCCGCAACAACAGTTTCAAAGCAGTTTCAAACAGCAACAACAACCTTCATATGTCAGAAGATATAGCGGTGACAGAACTGTCTCACGATTTCCCAGAAGACGGATTCTTCAACAACAGCGATATCTATGGTGCCTTGTAATAAATATCCCAACAGAACAGAGGCATTGTTACTTTGACTTAACAGAGAGTTTAGGCTTATTATGTTTCTCATTTAGGTTGGTCTGGTCTTTGTATAGAATCCAAAGAGGTATGAGACCAAGAAAGGAAATCGTGATTTGTTGTAACCTACATAGGCACTTCAGCATCTTCATTTTTTCCCCCTTTTAATGATAGTAGTACAATGGAATCTTATATTGTGATTTTTTCAAACACTTTCGAGTTATTCTTTATTCTTATTCTTTCTTTTTTCGCTTTTCCTTTGATAACAATCTGTTTATATAAAGGACTTTTAAGTTACTCATACTTTTACTCATTGTCCATTGCAAATAGGGATACAATGAGTCTGGTATGTCGTTCGTTTATGGTGCAGATACTGTCTTGCTAATGTTCTGCCGGGTAGAATTCAGCCTTTGTCATGGGGTTACCATGAACATTTTGAGCTAAGTTAAGTTATGCCTCAATCTCCAAAGCAGCGCATCCGGAAAGATGGAGGGATGTTTAGAGATCATATATTAGATGATTTGCGCAACACTAAAGAGAAGAATCGAAAGCGTTCTTTATTGGCATTGTCTTAAGATATTTGAAGTAGAGAGAGAGAGAGAGCAAGAAAACACAAACGGTCGGAGTTTCTTAGGTCCCAAGGCAATGGTTTTATGTATATTTTCCTTTAGATTCTCATATCATCGAGGTAAGTTTTTCCATTGAGCTCGCGGGAGAAGAAACCCTTCAAGTACTCTTCTGTGGTCACGCTTCTGAAAAGTGCCGCCTTTTCCCTTTCAACGAGACTTCTCAGTGGACCAACTTCTTTGCCCGTTCCAGGATTATGAAACGATGCCACAGAGAGCCTCTCTTTCTCTGAGTTCACAACCCCACGATGCTCTATACTTCGGTATGTCCCATTCGTTATGATCTACATTATACCATCATCAGAACCATTTACAATATGATACCATCAAGTATATATGCTCTCTTGTCCATATAACATGTACCTCTAAGATGTCTCCAATATTGACAACGAATGCATTTGGGAGAGGTTTAACAGAGACCCACTTGCCGTTTTTCTTGATTTGAAGGCCTTCCACTTCATTAACCTGCAACAGTATGGTGAGTCCTGTAGCATCGGAATGCGGAGTCAAACCAATAGTCTTATCAGGCTCTGGACAAGGCGGGTAGTAATTTATCCTTATTTTCTGATCTATCTCCTCATCAAACAAGTTTTCGATTTCCTCGGGATTGATCTTCAAGGCTGTCCCCATTTTCGCAAATAAGATCATAGCTACGGTTTTCACTTCAGCCGAATACGTGTCTAGTGTGTCTCTGAACAAACACAATCAAAGTATGTTAAACAGAGAAGACTTGTGGAGCTGGTAAGAAATGGTGTTTATACATTTGAAGCAAACCTAATGGGAAGAGGTAGCTTGGAGAACAAGTTAGGCTTGCGTACTCGAACTGGTTGCATTGAAAGCATGAACGTGTCTGCCCAATCGAGTTTCTGCTCTTCTGAAAGCACAAAAGCCTGTCCAAAACCTTCGATCTCACCAGGTTGTTGCCACAGCTTCTTCTTCTCTTCCATAGAAAGGTTGAACAAATCTTGAATCTCCGACTTGATTCTGTTCAAGAAGCCTGAGTCCATCCCATGGTTTACAAGCTGGAATAAAGACATGACACACAATGATAAGCTTTGAAATCTAGACGGGTTTAATACTCTCTAACCAAGAAAAGAAGAAGAAGTGGGTTGTTTTGTAAAGAAGGAACTTTAACGGGGCAGTTTCCATAAACAGAAATAGTGAAGTGTGTTTGTTTGACTATCGGAGACTTACCTGGAAAAATCCCCATTCTTTGCAAGCGAAGTGGAGCTTGTCAACCTCCGAATTCATGGAGATTGAACAGCACAAACGATTCATGTCGATGACTGGGATCTCGATGCTTAAATCACTGTTGATCTCAGCTTTGTCTAGATCAGACCGTACATACCTCGGAGGAACCGTCCTGATCATCTTCTCCTTGACCATCTCTTGAACAGAAGGAACGATAATAGACCTATACGTGCTTGCTCCATTGACTTCCATGGCGGCTTGTTCTTGCAAGGAAAGAAATGCTAATAATGATAAATCTAGTGGTTTATGTGAGTCTACGATGGATAACTACAAAGTTATAGTGATTGGTCACATTGATTAATAAAAAAATTGAACAAATTAATATTCTATATAAGGACTGTTAATGTAAAGAAACACTATGTGATGAAAAATTAAAAACAATTCTTTGAGACTTTTGAAAAAGGGGGAAAAAAAGTTTGGAGAAAGATTGGTCGAAACTTGCATTCATGTTAAGTGAAAAAAAAATCCAAATACATGTAGAAGCATAGACTGATCATCTAGACACTAGAAAAAGGATTTGCAGATTTCTGAACTAAAGATTAAACAAACAAATCTCATGTTATTTAGATTTGGATTGCATAACTTTGTTGTGTATTAGGCCTTAAAATTACTGCTCAAGTCGTGTGAACATGACTTACTTATCGTTAGGTCCTTCGATTTCATTTACTTGACAGATTCCTCCATTATGAAAGGAACCCAAAATATGAAAAATACTAAGCAGTTGAAATATTTACCTCAATGTGGATTCAAGTCGTGAAAATAAGTAGCTCTGTGTGATGAAAATTAGATTCTTGAAATCTGATTGCTTTGTAAGTAGATATAGCTGTGTTACGACAAGTGAATCTTCGACAATAGATCAAATTCTTTTTAGAGTTTCAAGAAATCTCACATGGTCAAATTGTGGTTCTGCAGCCTCTAGAAGATTAAGGAGATAGAATAGAAAACTAATATAACAGACAAGTAGGGTGCTTTATGGAAATATTTAAATAAGACTCGCATTGTATTACTGCTATATGTGCAAAGAGTAAAAGTATGAGTAACTTAAAAATCCTTTCTATAAACAGATTGTTCTCAAAGTAAAAGGAACAAAAAGGAAAGAATAAGAATACCTCGAAAGTGTTTGCAAAAATCACCATATAAGATTCCATTGTACTATCGTTAAAAGGGGAAAAAAATGAAGATGCTAAAGTGCCTATGTAGGTTACAACAAATCACAATTTCTTTTCTTGGTCTCATTCTCTTTGGATTCTATACAAAGACCAGACCAACCTAAATGAGAAACATAATAAGCCTACACTCTCTGTTAAGTCAAAGTAACAATGCCTCTGTTCTGTGGGGATATTTATTACAAGGCACCATAGATATCGCTGTTGTTGAAGAATCCGTCTTCTGGGAAATCGTGAGACAGTTCTGTCACCGATATATCTTCTGACATATGAAGGTTGTTGTTGCTGTTTGAAACTGCTTTGAAACTGTTGTTGCGGCTTGGAACTCGGCCTCCTCCTGAGATGCTCGAAGTTGAAGCAGTTGGGTTTCTCTCTGCGTTACTGTTGCCACCACTCTGACCTGAAAAGGCTTGCTGCTGTTGCGCACTTGCTCCGTTCTCAGACACTTCCTGCAACAGCTGATGAAGCATCTGCTGCTCATGATTGTTACCCTGTGAATGTGGTGGTTGCAATTGATGATGATAATTCTGCTGAAGCATGTTGGAAGCCCCATTCATGCTGCGCTGCTGCTGTTGCATTTGGGGATGGATGTGGAATCCACCTGTTGCCAAGTTCTGCCTCTGGTGGGACGAAGAAGACGGGCTCTGGTTTGAGTTTGGGGTTGGGTTCTGACTCGAGAACTCCTCTTGTTTGCCCGTATTCGAGTTTGGAATATTCATAGCATTTTGCCTCATAAGCATGCTCTGGTAGTTGGTCAGAGCTGCTGCTGCTTGCGCTGAGCCATTCATTGCTCCACGGCCAACTATTTGAGGGTAATTATTGGAGTTGGAGTTATTGTTGTTGCCAGTTAGGCCGTTCATCGTCCCTGGAGTCAGCGCCATCTGAGCTTGAGGTGACCCATTCATAGCCCCACTATTACCCAACTGCTCCATTTCCTGCATTTTCTGTCTCTGGAGCTTCACTGTCGCCGTCTGTTCCAAAAGCCGTTTCAACCCCTCTGCACAAGCAGGCATCAAAACGGTTACATTCACTCAGAAACTCAACCACCGGATCAAACAGAACATTTTCAACAGGGGAGTTACATAAATCAGTATCATTCAAATGAAAGCTAGACCAGAGGGGCAGCCTGGTTTTGGGACTCATTCAAGAAAATGTTGTAGATGGGAAATCTCAGACTTACCAATAGGCCCGATTTTGTGGTGGCCAGTGAAATTCATAAGATCCTTCATGCTCTTGACAACTTCAGATATCTGTCACTCGCAATGGCTCGCTATTAGGACTTCTTCTGACTTCAGATACAAAAGTAGCTACGAAAGAAGCAGCTAATGAGTACCTGTAGAGTTCTGATATATCTTTTTGGATAGCCGAGATCATTCAGCGACTGTAATTCCATGAACTTTGCCAGCTGCCGTCCAGCTCCCAAGACCCTGACACAAATTAGCGCCCGTCAATTATATTGGATGGACAATAAAAGAATAGTAAATCAAATATATTTGATGTATTAAAGGCAAACCAAGTGTTACTTACATGTTACTGTTTGACTGTAAATCCTGCTGAGAAACTCCCTCTGACCCACTCTCTGAGATTGTGCTCTGGCATTTCTGTGCAACCTGAAGCAATTGGTTCACCTGCATGACCGACAATAAGTTTTAAATACACTTTCCAGCACCATTGTCGCATGTCTAAACAGCTGTTCAGAAGTAAAATTACAGACTTTGTGCTCACGATCATAGAAAAACAGAAGATAAGCACATACAAAATAGTTAAGGAAACTGGGTATGCCCATACGGAATGTTTAAGGAAATCGACTATTAGCTATCCTCAAATTAATATAACTACAGTACGGCTTAAGCTCCTACTAAATAGGTCAAGTAATCAGAATAGGACCTGCGGAGCGATAAGTCTGCGGAGAAGAAGCTCTTCATGACGCCGAGCACAAAACTCCCACGACAGTATCTGAAAAGAAGCAGAATCCAGATTAGTTAAGCACTAGCACACTGGTGATTGCTTTCTCACTTTTCATGTTCACTGAATAGGCAGGGCAACAAAAAAACTGGAAGAACGTCAAAATTTTAAAAAAAAATTGGATACCTTCAAATCTTGAGAGAATATAATGCGAAGATGGCCCTCACGGACAACACGAAACTGCTCGTGTACAGTTTCCTGAACTGCTTTTCTATAGTCTAGCATCATCAGTCCATTGGGAAATCTGTTTTCTCTTGGGTGGTCCAGATATAAGAGCTCATCAATTATTCCACTAGCAAATTTGATTTCATTGAGTCTGGCAAGCACATCGAAAGTTGCCTCTGTGGATTTGACACGAGAAGATGACAATTTAGCTACTGTTTTGACTAAAGAGTTTTGAAACCAATGATCAGAGTTTCGAACAATAAAAGAGGAAGCATTTAGCATATGGAAGATACTTAATTGTGCTCAAGTGAAGGCACATATAAATACAAGTACACACAAGAATAAAACTGGCAACTCTCTTACCAAATCCTTTTCCAGACTTGGTGCCGCAAAGATCACACTGCCACATATCCTGCAAACAAAATGAGAAAATAATGAACTTGTCAATAAAAAAAATCAGTGTAGTGGGATTCAGAAATAATACAGCCGGAGTACACATGTGTGTCACTCCAAATAGGCTGATGCAGAAAATCAATATTATACAAGACCAAAACACACGCAGCTAAAAAAAAGACTGACCGGAGCTGCCTGTGGAAACATGCCAAGCGCATGGTGTCCAGAACTTTCGTACTGTGACAAGCACAGCCTTTGCTTTGCACGAGGCGAGAAGTATTCTGCCACGAATTTCCTCCAATAGGTAATGCAATTTTCCTACGAAAAGGTATCAGACTATCAGTGATGGGAAGGATAAGTTGAAAAGATGTGATGAAATTGCTAAGAGTCCATAGATTAGTATTAGCTTACAGCAGGTCGTTGCTGCAGATGATACAAGTACATCATCAATTTCCGAGCGCACACGCCAACTTCATATGGACGTATATTGGGAGGGATCTGTTGAGTGCCTTGTTGCTGCTGCAATTGCTGCCTCAACTGCTGCTGTTGCTGAAGTTGGAGTCTCTGAGACGGTGACATGGACTGAAGAATCTGCTGCTGCTGCTGCCTCAGCCTCTGCTGCTGAAGCAAAGCTTGCAACTGCGGATTCCTTCCCGCGGGATCCTGCCGCTGGATCAACTGCTGGAAAATCTGCTGCTGCTGCATCATCTCCTCTTGCTTCACTTCTAATCTGGGTTTCTTATCAACATGGGCGTAACTGTTTTCCCTCATTGGAACTGAACCTTGTCCTGCTAGCTGTTGTAGTTGCTGCTGAGACAAATGTTGCATAGAAGCAGAACCATCAAGAACCAAAGAACCAGGACTGTTAATGTTACTCGAGGAGAAAGACATTGGTGATGTTGGGATACGCATATTATTGATGCCTCCTCTTCTCTGCATATTTAGAGCTTCCGGTCCAACAGCATTAGCCAATGAGAAACTCGATTCGATAGCTCCTGAGACCGGTGATTTGTTCATGCCCCAGGAGAGCAGACACAGACCCAAATGACGGATTCAGAGAAACAACAAGCTTGAAACTTGAAACCGTCCTCTCAGAGCTAATTACAAAAGCAAATGGATCCTGAGCAGCTATTGCCTAAGCTCACTTCTTATCACCAATCATTCCAGGATCCAAGATTTACGGTGATACAACTGATTCGCAAAGCCGAAGCAACCAGTGGTCAAAATCTGAAAGAAAGGAAAACCAAATCAGCGAGTAGATACACAAATCCAAAACGGGTAGGCCTATTTAGCCACAAGCAGATTGTTTCTCAATGCAACAAAAACAACAGAAGCTGGAAAGGCGAATTCTCGATTACACTGGAAAGCCCTAATTATCAGAGGAGCAAATTCGAAGTAGCTTTTCAGCATCGCATATCTCAAAGGGGTAAACTTACCAAAAAGAAGGAACAAACTTCAAATCCAATCGGCAACTCAAATCAAAAACCCAGAAACTTTCTCAATCAAGTAGACTCGACTCGCACGAATCCCAAAATCAGAGAAATTTGAAGAAACCAAGTAGAGAGGGAGGGTAAAACACAAAAGATTAAAACTTTAAAGCAGACGACCAAATATCGGCAAAGCCCGAAAGAAAAAAAAAAGAGGATTAACAGAGATTTTATTTCTCACAAATATTTTACTCAAATGAAAAAAAGAGAGAGAAAATGATAGCAACCAAAAAGACGCGCTTGTAACATAAAAATAGTAAAAACTAGGGACGGTAACCGAAAAATACAAGAACAGAAACACTTGTGACAAAATAGTACTAACATGAATTTGTTCCATAAAACAGAAAAAAAGAATTTCATTTTACGACTTAATCTTCAACACTAAGTTGATTAAAAGCGCTCAAAAGCTTTGACCGAAACCGAAAAACATATGTAATGAAACCGGAAAAAATCAACTGCACCGGTCAACTAGCCAAACGTCACCGACCCTCATGGATTAAACGACACTGAAACGTGCTGATCGAATAAGTTATTCTTAGTAGATCTCGTGCTAGGAGTGGAACCATATTATACACAAAGTAGTATTATTATATGAATCGTTCGATCCTGCGGGAACACAACGATATCTAAGTCTGCTACTTCTACTAGAGTTTAGACCGTAGATCTTTATATTTTAAGTAATGTTAACAATAACATTGAAACAATTCTTAAGATTTTTAGAATATTGAAATGTTTTAGCTGCTCTTTTTCTGTGTCTTAGGGACACAACGACCAGCCCAATAGACTAACGTGGGAGAAAGGTGAGTCGAATTACTAATGTGAGATGACAACAAAAGTGTGAACGAAATTAATGACACTCTTTTTTTTTTTAGAAAAAAAAATCTGATTTAAAAAGATAGATTTTCTCAATTTTTGTTAAGTTTTTTCAATTTTACTCTTTTTTATCTATTTGTTTATTTTTATATCATTAAAAAGAAAGGGCAAATATGTCATTTCAAAATTATTCTTAATAAGTATAAAAATCTCAAAAAATTATTTCTTAAAAAATAGAGAGAATATATAATAATAAAAAGAAATATTTAGAAAAAACTTTGATTATAGTTTGTTAAAACATATATTTACTATATATACAGATTTTCTTCTAAAAATAAATTTATTACCATTATCCATGTTAGTTTAAAAAAGATACAATTACTTTTTTTTTATACAAATTAATCTTCTGATCTATTTTAGTCGTTATTATTTTTAATTTTATATATATATATGTCAATTAATATTAAAAATTATTAAATTTAAATGATTTGGTTTTTAAATTTTCAAAAATTATAAAAATTATGTATTTTTGTTTTTATTTTTATTTCTATACGATTTTGATTAAATTAAATTTATCAAATAATTAGTATATAACAAATATATCAAATTAACATATTTAAAATATACAAAAAACTTTTAGTTAAATAGATTTTGTTTTCTTTCATGTATTGTATGGAAAAGTTATCCTAATAATAGATAAAAAAATTAAATTAAATATTTATATAAAAATACCATATATAAATTTTATATTTGTAAACTTTAACTAACTATTTTCGTGCGTTATTTTGAATTTTGTTTGTCTTCTGTATATTTGAAGCTTTATGGTATTTATATAAAAAATACTATATATAAATTTTGTATTTGTAAATTTTAACTAACTATTTTCGCACGCTATTTTAAACTTTGTTTGTCTTCCGTATATTTGAAGCTTTATATTTTAAAAGAAATTTTGGAAAAATGATCAGACATAATTGTGATAAGATATATTTAGATAAGTTTATCTAAGCAAGATATCACAGTAAGAGCTGTCTCATCTCCCTCACATTCTCTCGTGCCTTCATATCTCTCGTCCTCCTTCTACGACTATACAAATCGACCAACCAACTTAAGAAGATTAAAATTACAAAACAAATTAAAAAAAAAACTACTCATAGTTCTGATTTTGTTTTCATAGGTAAAGTTTCTTACACATCTCTACACACAAATGCTATTGTTTATAGATAAGGTGTAGGAGAGAAAATCTATTATGAAGATTCCGATTATATACTGAAAGGTTTTCCTAAAGAGACATGTTTTATCACTTTTGATTTATATGTTCATCAGCTCCTGTGAAATCCACACCTTCTTTTTTGTTTTCCTACATAGAAATATTCACACTTAATCTTATATATGTCATGTTCTAGATCGCTGTCGGGACAAGATACATTTACAATAAGGTTATCTTAATGAAATCATCCCAGGATAGTTTTTGTGTTTGTTTTCGCTTGGATTTCGAGATGAGAAGTTAGATTTCATTTACACTAACCAATGATTATTATAAATTTTGTGAGGACTAAAACCTGTTTAGTGTTTCTTCTTCATACTTGTCAAATTATGGGATACTGACAATCAGAGAACCAAAATCGAACAAATGTTATTTTATTTGAGCAAAATCAGATCTCTGGTTTTCGTTTGTTTTTGATTTAGAGGAATTAGATTTGTTCTTGTTTGTGAAATATTATTTACTTTGTGGAAATTAAAATTGGGTTAAGAGATTCAAGGAATATTCTGAATTTTTGGGACCCACTTGTATTGTTTTGTAGTTATTGAAAAAAGGGTCAGCCATGTCACACATTGCATATAGGATTGTGTTGTCTAAAAAGCAAATTAAGCTGATCACACTCATTAAACCCAGTGAGCTAAATCCCTTAATATAATTATCGATTACTAGTTAACAGTATGCAATGTCTGGCTTGTTGCAGAGAGGGAGAAATGAATGGACAAGAAGGTGATGATAATTATGATGTGTTTGATCACATTCTCAACCCAAGCTTTGTGGGTATAGCTGATGATGATGGGAGTGATGCTAACGTTGGTGCTCTGTCTGGTAATGACGATCAAGATGGTGGAACTTCAAGGGGAGCTGTTAGACGCGCTCCTCAACAGATCGAAGAACTCGAAAAGTATGTTCATCAGTTTCTTCAATTTATAAACTTCCTCCTATCAAATTTTTATTTTTGATTTTGAGGCTTGAGGGTTACGCTTTGCTGTTTTTTTTCCCTCTGAGTGTAGATTCTTCAAGGAGTGTCCTAAACCTAGTCAGGAACAGAAGTCGGAACTTGGACGAAGGCTTAACATGGAGATTAATAAAGTCAAGTTTTGGTTTCAGAACAGGAGAGCGCAAGAGAAAGTATACGAAAACATAGAGCATCATCATCGTTGTGTCACTTTCCGGGTTCAAAGCCCGATAGAATGCATGTTGTTATGTTAAATATTATATCATAGGGCTCTGATCAGAATGTTTGTTTTGTTTTTGCAAGCAGACGCATGAGAGCCGCCGTGAGAATCATGCACTGAAAGCGGAGCAGGACAAGTTGCGACGAGAACACGAGCAGCTCAAACAAGCAGTGAAGCATTATTCATGCAGCATTTATGGTGGGACAGAAATTTCCCGTGTGGTGCAACAACGTATAGAAGAGAGTGCTGGAGTACTGAAGCAGCAGAGAGAGATGGCTAAAAGCTTACTTACATCTCCCGTTCAATGGCCCGTTTCTCCATCCCCGGCGCAGGCTTCTTCTCCTTTGATGGTCTCCAATCCAGAAAGTGATGCTCTACAAGAACAAAACAAACATTCTGATCATTCTGGTGAAGCTTCGACGATAGATACGCTTTTTGTCAGTTCATCGACACCACCACATTCTCCTTCCTTGATGGTCTATAATCCAGAAAGTAATGCACCGCCAGATTTCGATTTCAATGACGAAACTTTGAACGAGATATCAGCTTTTTTGGCCAGCTCATCCGCAGCACATGCTTCTTCTTCTTTGATGTTCTCTGATCAAGGAAGAAACGCACCACTAGGAGTTGATTCAGGTAGTGACATGACCGACATGTCAACAGCTTTTGTCAGTCCATCTGCTGCGCCTTCTCCTTCCTTGATGGTTTCTACTCAAGGAAGAAACGCACCACTAGGAGTTAATCCAGGTAGTGACATGAGCGACAGGTCAACAGCTTTTGTCAGTCCATCTGCTGTGCCTTCTCCTTCTTTGATGGACTCTACTCAAGGAAGAAACGCACCACAAGGACTCCATTTCAGTGGTGAAACTTTGAACGAGAGATCAAATTATTTCGGCAGTTCTTCCGCATCACATGCTTCTTCTTCTTCTCTAATGTTCTCTGATCAAGGAAGAAACACACCACTAGGAGTTAATTCAGGTACTGACATGAACGACAGCTCAACAGCTTTTGTCAGTCCATCTGCTGCGCCTTCTCCTTCCTTGATGGTCTCTCATCATGGTAGAAACGCACCGCAAGAACTCCATTTCAGTGGCGAAACTTTGAACGAGAGATCAAATGTTTTCGGCAGTTCATCAGCATCACATGCTTCTTCTTATTCTCTGATTTTCTCTGATCAAGGAAGAAACGCACCGCAAGAACTCCATTTCAGTGGCGAAACTTTGAACGAGAGATCAAATGTTTTCGGCAGTTCATCAGCATCACATGCTTCTTCTTATTCTCTGATTTTTTCTGATCAAGGAAGAAACGCACCACTAGGAGTTAATTCAGGTAGTGACATGAACGACTGGTCAACGGCTTTTGTCAGTTCATCTGCAGCACCTTCTTCTTCCTTGATGGTCTCTCATCAAGGAAGAAACGCACCACAAGAACTCCATTTTAGTGGTGAAACTTTGAACGAGAGTTCAAATTTTTTCGGCAGTTCATCAGCAGCACATGCTTCTTCTTCTTTGATGTTCTCTAACCAATGGAGAAACGCGCCACTAGGAGTTAATTCAGGTAATGACATGAACGACAGGTCAACGGCTTTTGTCAGTTCATCTGCTGTGTCTTCTCCTTCCTTGATGGTCTCTACTCAAGGAAGAAACGCACCACAAGGACTCCATTTCAGTGGTGAAACTTTGAACGAGAGATCAACTTTTTTGGGCAGTTCATCCGCAGCATATGCTTCTTATCCTCTGATGTTCTCTGATCAATGGAGAAACGCACCACTAGGAGTTAATTCAGGTAATGACATGAACGACAAGTCAACGGCTTTTGTCAGTACATCTGCTCTGTCTTCTTCTTCCTTAATGGCCTCTCATCAAGGAAGAAACGCATCACAAGGACTTGATTTCAGTGGTGAAACTTTGAACGAGAGATCATATTATTTCGGCAGTTCTTCCGCAGCACATGCTTCTTCTTCTCTGATGTTCTCTGATCAAGGAAGAAACGCACCACTAGGAGTTAATCCAGGTAGTGACATGAACGACAGGTCAACATATTTTGTCAGTCCATCTGCCGCGCCATCTTCTTCTACTCAAGGAAGAAACGCACAACAAGAACTTCATGTCAGCGGTGAAACTTTGAACGAGAGATCAACTTTTTTGGGCAGTTCATCCGCAGCATATGCTTCTTATCCTCTGATGTTCTATGATCAAGGAAGAAACGCACCACTAGGAGTTAATTCCGGTAGTGGCATGAACGACATGTCAACAGCTTTTTTCAGTCCATCTGCTGCGCCTTCTCCTTCCTTGATGGTCTCTACTCAAGAAAGAAACGCACCACAAGGACTCTATTTCAGTGCTGAAACTTTGAACGAGAGATCAACTTTTTTCGGCAGTTCATCTGCAGCACATGCTTCTTCTTCTTTGATGTTCTCTGATCAAGGAAGAAACGCACCACTAGGAGTTAATTCAGGTAGTGACATGAACGACAGGTCAACGGCTTTTGTCACTCCATCTGCCGCGCCTTCTCCTTCCTTGATGGCCTCTACTCAAGGAAGAAACGCCAAACAAGAACTCAATGTCAGTGACGAAACTTTGAACCAGAGATCAAATGTTTTGGGCAGTTCAGCCGCAGCATATGCTTCTTATTCTGTGATGTTCTATGATCAAGGAAGAAACGCACCACTAGCAGTTAATTCAGGTACTGACAGGTCAACAGCTTTTGTCAGTCCATCTGCTGTGTCTTCTCCTTCCTTGATGGTCTCTACTCAAGGAAGAAACGCGCCACTAGGAGTTAATCCAGGAAGAAATGCACCACAAGAACCTCATTTCAGTGCTGGGAAGAAATTCACCACAACTTTTTTCGACAGTTCATCTGCAGCACATGCTTCTTCTTCTCTGCTGGTCTCCGATCCAGGTAGTCAAATGAACGACAGATCAACGGATTTTGTCAGTCCATCTGCTGCGCCTTCTCCTTCCTTGATGGTCTCTGATCAAGGAATGAATGCGCCACCAAAACCTTTTTCGGGTGGTGAAACCGGGGCGATGAACGATGACTCAGTGTTGGAATATGCCACTGCGGCTATGAACCAGTTGGTTATGATGGCGGAAACGAACAGTCCATTTTGGAGAAGAGACTCACGCACTAAGAGAGATAAATTGAACTATGATGAGTATAAAAGATATTTCGGCGATGGTTTGAAAAAACCTCCCAGGTTTGTTATGGAGGCTTCTAGGGAAACTGGTACGGTTCTCATGGATAGGCTGGCTCTGGTCAAGACTCTTACGACTGTAACATCAGATCTTTAGTGACAAATAACGTTCAATTCATATTTTGTAGCTACTGTATATATATGTTGCAGATTTCTAATGATTTCAATATATGTTTTGTTGTGGTTTTTGGACAGGAAAAATGGGTCAACGTGTTTGCACCTATTGTGTCTGTGGCAGCAATCAAGAAACTGACACCTACCGGTTTTTCTGGACCCAGTGGCTCTCTTCGACTGGTATATATATGTCTCTGAGTCGTTTTATATTGGTTGTATATATCCAAGAGGAGTAATAGATACACTGAAACTTTTCAAATTTGGGCAGATTGAAGCAGATTTTCAGGTCATTTCTCCGTTGGTGCCAAATAGACATGTCAAGTTTATTAGATACTGCAACATGCTCAGAGAGGGCTTATGGGTGGTTGTCGACGTTACACCTCGTCACGAAAATCTGAATTTGCGGTTTGATCGTGGTCCGAGCCGCCTACCCTCTGGTCTTATCATACAGGACTTGACCAATGGTTCCTGCAAGGTTACTTCTTCTTTTTAATATAGCTTTTAGCTCAATTCTTACATGCTTTTGTCAAAAAAAAAGTCAACAACTTGTAACTCAAAAGTAAAAAGTCATAACAGGTTACATGGATTGAGCTAGCCGAATATAATGAGAACCGCATCCCTCAACTATACCATAAGGTGATTGGCTCTGGGATTGGGCTAGGCGCAAAGAGGTGGCTCACAACGCTGCAGAGATACTGTGAAAACGTGTTCACTCTTTCCTCTATCAACGTGGCTCAAGTTTACCAAGGTGAGACTTTGAAGACAATCACAGTTTGTATCTCCTACTAGGTTGATTTGTAGACTAAAAATGTCATTACAACATGTTTTGGAAATAGGAGGACTGTCTGCAAATGTTGCAACTGAGATAGTGAAGCTAGCGAACCGCATGACGCTGAACTATTACTCCGGTATCACCGGCTCTTTGGCGCGAAGGTGGAAGAGGATTAATGTGGAAGGCGAGGGACATCAAGACGTGAGACTAATGACCCGAAGGAACGTGGGTGCGCGCGGCGAGTATACCGGGAAAGTGTTGAATGCAGCCACTTCTGTGTGGTTTCCAGTGAACAAGCAAACAATGTTTGATTACCTCAACAACGAAAGTCTCAGAGGCCAGTGGGATGTCATGACCAAGGACGGCTCCATAGAAAATGAGATCAAGATTCCGAAATCAAGACGCCAAGGAAACTGCGTCTCTCTGCTTAAAGTCCTTGTGAGTTTCCAAAACAGGATCTGTTCTTTCTTCTTCTTCTTTTTTTTTGTTGGTTGAACTGGCTTCTACTTGTTGACTTATATGTTATATGTTTGTGAGTTTGCAAAACAGTGGCAAGGGGGAGGTATGTCAGTTCTGCAAGAGACGTGGAACGATGAATCTGGTGCATTGCTGGTGTACGCACCGATGGAGTTGGCATCAGTGGAGGAGATCATGAGTGGTAAAGCTTTTGATGCTGCGAAGATTCTTCCTTCAGGGTTCCATATATTACCAGACGGAAGAGAGTCTGGAACTGGTGGAGGATGTCTGGTCACACTTGGGTTTCAGTTCTTGGTTAACAGTAAACCAACCGAGGAAGTCGCTCAAGGCTTTGTCGGGTTCATTGAAGAACGCGTGGCTACCACTCTTGCCAAAATCAAATCCGCTTTAGATGTGCAAACATAGACATTGTTGCTTCTGTTTTTTTTTTATTTTCTTTTGAAATTCGACATTTGCTTTGTTTTTCTTTATTCTTTCTTTTCCTGAAAGTCTCAGATTGTTACAAACCAGGATACATAGAGAGAGTTATGACTTCTCTATAATCCAAAATAACATTATAAGTAAACAATTGGTTTCATTCTGAGGTTTTGTTTGTATCAACTAGATGACTTTCCCGAAGATATAGCATCCGCAGAAGCATCAGTTGTTTCTTGATCCAAGCCTTTAACACGTGGAGCTTTTTGTGAGACTGCTGCCTTGGGTTTACCCGATTTGGTGCCATCATCCACTTCTGCATCTTCACCATAGAAAGACCCAGAGGTTCTCATCTCCTTTACCATTCGAAACTCGTCATAGTGTGCCCGTCTATGTTCCTTGAAGCTTGCGTTTTTCTCGCTCCCAGAATCTGCAGTGCATAAAAAACAGATATGAGTGACCTGATGGAAGGAACTACGAGTCAGCTTTGATCTGTTTATTTGGTTTTGCAATGAACCTTCTTCATTTTCATCCATTGGATCTGCGTCATCATCCTCTGACGAGCTCCAGCCTCCAGAATCGGATCTCTGGCTGGTGTTTTTACTGGACGAAGCCACATCATTTAGAAAATTCCTTAGCTCTTCAGCGCGATGCATTTCATCAACACAGTTGTCAAACGATCTTCCTCTAGGAGACAGAGAACCTGACCAAACAAGCCCAGAAAGAAAAAACACAGACTTTGTTCAGGGATCAGCACTAGTTCTAGTCACTCTCCCAACTAAACTGACAATATTTCAAATTAATCAACCAGAGAGAATACTAATCAATGATTTTCCAAAAACAGGAAGCGTACAGCGAACAAAGCATGCTCTAGGTTATGTTCGTGTTACTTTCTATTTCTCTGCATAGATAGTGGTTACTATGTTGTGGTTACTATATACCAGAATGCCAGAAGCATATATGTAGACGGAAAAAGAGAGAAAAAACAAATTCCAAAACAGAGTAATGGACAAACCATCATCATCAATCATAGGGTGATACGGTGTCTTTGGTTCGGTAATCTTCTGCCTTACAGGTTTGTTGGATTCAATTTCCACTATATTAGCTTCATCCCATTGTACACGTCCCCTGCCATAGAAATTGAACATACTTAATGCCTGCACAAGAGAGAATCTAAGTGTTGCTAACCGCTAAAGCAAACATATAGACAATCTGCTGCAGCCTAAACTGTATATATAATAAACATCCTGAGCTAAACTAAACTCCATTGTTCAGAAAGTAAAAGATTCTCTTGACTCTATTTATTCAATATTCTGCTGGAACAGCGAAATCCATGGACATTAAGTGCAATCCAGAACTCTAAGAAAGAGTCACAGAAGCTGAAAGGAAACTGGGAGAAGGAGAAACATACTTCATCTTGAGCTAGATTAGTCCTCTTTCAGGCTTGACCCAGGCAAAATATTATATAGCTCACCTGATTGCTGCAACATTAAAGAAAAGCTCGGTTATCTTGTTAATGAAAAATTACACGAAAGTCTACGCGACAGCTCAAACTATAAATGCTGGGACAAAATAGTTTCTGTGTTCATAAATATTTAGGCAGCAACCAGATTCCATTGGCTTTTATCATGTACAAGCAAAACAACTCGTTAATACTTAGGATTTAACGACAACCTCAAAAAGATACTACAGGCAAGCAACGGTCTACAAATTTATCCCGTTCCTCCGTCCTTCATTGACATCAACAACACAGGCAGAAATTGTTTTCAGGAACACAGAGACTAAATCATTAAGTTGAACAGATATCAAAATCCAAATTTACGGTCGGAACACATTTGTAATTCACACAAATCGCTCGCAGGTAATTTTGATATACCATACAGAGTCTGACTTTTGCTATCTAAGATGAGAGAACATGGGAACGACAGATTTGAGATTTTTCTTACCTCTAAGAATCGGATCCTTTTTCTCGCTTCCAGAAAATTTCTTTTCTCGACCTGTTTTTTTTCTTTCTTGGAATTTTTCAAGTGGCGAAGAGAATCTCATATTTACCCTCACGATCGATCCTCGCTTTAAGTAGCTGTAGGGTGATAGCCGTCCGTGCATTTGACTTTGACCATGATAGATTCTAGATTTAGCCACGTGGATCAGTATAAATCGTTAGATTCGACTAAATCCACGTTGACTGGATTCTGTTTGTTCTCCTAAGTAAGGGTAGTTATGGAAATTAACTTCTTTTCTTTAACATTTCTGGACAATAATGGGTGGGACGGATGAATGAATTTACAGAGAGACATCCAATGTTCTTTCTGCAGAAGAAAGGTCAAAGAAAGGGCAAGAAGAAACTATGCACATTTGATTTGATTAATTATAGACAAAAAGCAAAAACCATCCCTCTCTTAACTCTATTTCTTGTTACTGCACATAATTTATCGCCAGTTAATACATAACTACTTGCCTGCACATGAGTAAAACCGAAGCAGTTGCTGAAATGTTGGGAGTGAATAATGATGAAAGTGGGTTTAGTTTGATCTTGCTACTGATTCTTCTGCAATCTTCCAAGCACGATTCAAAAACTCGAATGACTTTGAAGGGTCCTCTTCAGAGAGAGCAAATCTCAGCTCTGCAAAGAAGTCACCTAAAGCAGACATACATTCTTCTGAGCTCGCTGAATCTTCAGAGTCACGAGATTCTGGGTGTTCTCCACGTTCTTTTGGTTCTCCGGAAGACTCCATGGGATACTTTATGCTAAGTGTATTTCTCTCTCTTGTACGTACCTCAGCTTCCAAATTTGCAGCCATGGAAATGGCTCGATGTATACACGATGGGGGTATCTACAGTCAAGCACAGATGTGTGATCAGCTTCACGGGTGGACCAGTATAGCCATGAAATGCGTGCATTAATCATCTTAAAAATTCTTTAGGCTTGTGTATGACGATTTGAACTTGTGTAAGCATCAAAAATGTGAAGAGCGTGGAAAAGGAGGGAGGGAGTTTACCTGGGCAAGCTGAGCAACCTTAAAACCAAAGCTCCTGCTGCAAAGACCACGCACAAGTTTATACAGGTAGGTCACATCATCATGATCAGAACCGCCATTATCATCTTTCTGCGATGTCAGATACGAGACATGGTACGTACCAGCAGAACCCGGGAATCTGTTACTGATCTCAGCTATTTCAGGGTAATGCGTGACAAAAAGAACCAAACATCTCTTTTCAGCTAAGAGATGTTGTAATGTTGCATAGGCAATGGCTACACCGTCATGTGTGCTAGTGCCTCTTCCAAGCTCATCTATTATAACAAGCGAACGTGAAGAGCAGGTTCTGATTATGTGCGAGGCTTCGCTCAACTCTTCTAGAAAGGTACTTCGGCCATGCTGGATACTGTCTGAAGCACCCATCCGAGTATAAACACCATCAAGAACATGCAGCTTGGCGAATGAAGCCGGTACAAAGGAACCAACCTGGGATACCAAAGAGAATAACTAGAGTCACTTAGCATTCAACATATGTAAGAGATGTTAAATAAAGCATGACCTTATACTGCTATGCTCCATGTTACCTGAGCCATTATGGAAATTAAAGCAACTTGGCGGATATAGCAGCTTTTTCCTCCCATGTTAGGTCCAGTGATAATCTGGCAATATTCCCCTTCTGCATGCAAGCTTGTGTCATTTGGGACGAAGTTATCTTGTAATATAGTCTCCAAAACCTGGAAAATTTTAAAATGATATGCACAATATATTCCCAGCTTAATTAGGCAGCTTAATTAGGCATAGGAAAAAAAGAATAAGATAGACCAAATGCGTACAGGATGACGACCAGACTGTACATTTATCTCAACTGGTTCACAGTCATCCACAAACAATGGACAAATATAGTTCTGCACAGGAAAAAAAACAGAAGACAAGTTAAGAACTGAAAAGGAGTGACTACAAGCAAAAAGATTTGTGTGGTATGTTCCTTTGGTAAACCTTGTTTCTAGATAGAGTTGCAAGGGAGTACAAACAGTCCAGCGCAGCAAGAGCTTGAACGGCAGCCTGAAAATCAGTATAGTATCTACCAAAACTTTTAAGAAAACTATCCCATGAAGCTCGGTTCACTATAGCAAGATGTTCAGTTGCTAGAGCCAGCTCGTCTAACCCAGCTACTATTTCTGGGGGATGATATCGAATCGTCTTTTTGGTGCTATTTACTTTCACCCAGTTCATAGGAACCTTGGCTTCGACGGGCAGCTGTATCAGTCAAAGAAAGCCTTAGCATATTCAGATCAAAAACAAATGTCCACAACTTTCAAAGATAGAGGGTAAATATTTATACTTGGTACAAAAGAAGATATTAGGTTCAGTAGCTGTGTATGATTTATAATGGAAACGTGCACGAAATAGCGTGAACAGTAACCACAAAAAGCAAATCAGCAAAAGCTTTGTTCTTAAAACTTATATTCATCCAGATACATGGAGATACTTTTGGGGTATCCATTAGGTGCAGTTTCAAAAAAAAAAAATCAAGAAAGCTGCACTCTTGTGGTAAGAAAGCATCATCTCAAAACTACGAGTTTCTCTAGAGGGTACCTCTATCAAATGCGTGATCCCGGACACCTCAAGAAATTCTAAATTTCGATTTGCGAGCTTCTTGCGATATGAAACTATCGAGGAATCCAGCTTTTCCCGGACAACTGAAACTGCTTGGCGAGCTTCAGCAAGCTGTGCATAGTAAACAACACAATTGAGTTATCAAACACATAATCTCCACTAAACAATAGATTCATGAAAAGCAAATCAGATCAATGTTAAGAAGCTCTGTGATGCACAATACAGAACATAAAGAGATAAGTGAAAGACAGTATCATTTTCCAGATAAGATACAAACCTCAGGAAACTGGTCGCTGGAAGTGATTAGTATATCAAGCAAGTCTCCTCGAACAGCCCCTTCCTTATTCAGGGCAGAGAGAAGTTTCGCAGCATTGCCAACCACAGCAGGGGATGAAACAACAGAAATCAATTTCCTCAACAGAGAAGACCGCACAGTTGCGGATTGCACACTCCTCATTTCACAATCTTGCTTTATCCCAAGCCGCTGTAGTTGCTTCCCCGCAAGTAAAATAGCTTCGATAACTGCGATGAACTTTTCACCCAAAAAGTTAAGAACTCTCAGGCCTCAGGTGAGGAAGAGCGGCAAACAAAGAACAAATTTACAAAAATAGGGGTCGGAAACTAGTATAGTTCTTCAATATTCCTACTCTTCCCTTTGTTTTCTTTCCTAAACAGATAACTAAGAACAAACAAATGCCTTGGCCCGTTACTATGAGACAATTTATACTTCGACTAGATATCACAAAGATTCCAATACTCTTAGTTGTTTGCCAACTTACTTTAGAAAGAGTATTTAGGATTATATTTGATTAGTCAAATAAATGGTGGCGACTTTAACTTTTTTTTATGGACAAACTTATGACAGTATTGCACTATATGACAGGCACATATATAAGAGGGTAAAGGACAGGCCAAGTTTCACCTCTGCGGCTTTAGCAGTTCGATGAAAGATTCTTGTTATTCCACGTTGAATATCAGGTGATCTAGACAAAGCTGTCAAGACTGAAGACAGCACAAGATAAAACTCAGGTGGTACAATTGTTCTCTCAGAACCTTCTTCATCCAACTCATCGCTGACCTGGGAAGAACTAGGAGATCCCATGCATGCAACAATCTCAGAAACAGCATCAAGGCGAGCAGATATCAAATTTCTATCACAAAGAGGATGAGTCACCTGTTGAAATGAAAGTGTCCAAAAATCATGATAAGCGATCTTTCTGCAAATTTCCCTACCACTGGACGAAAAGTCCATGAAGATTCTGAGGATAAGTATAGAAATCTATGTCCCTTCGAACTCAAAGATGCCAGTAGAATCTTATTCTTTATAATAATTAGACGAAAATGTGGTATATCCTTCCACAGCAATGACTTACTGCATCTTCCGAACTCCATAAAGTTGAAACAACACCAAATATACAAAGCCCATATGTGAAAAAGCTAGGAAGCAAAGAAAATGTGTCTTACCCAGTGTCTTAGAAGCCTGGAACCATACACTGTAAGAGTGTGATTCATATTATGGAATAAGGAGCCAGACTCCGATCCATCTGAATTGTTTCTCACAACCTGAAGATAGAGACAACAAAGGGAAACTCAGTTAGAGTCCTTAGGAACGACTGGCGTTTGAATATTCACTGAACATCACATTGTGACAAGCCAAATAAAGCGGAAAACACCTCCAACTGTTGCAGTGTATTGGCTGAGAGAGTCATCTCTGTGCTGCTTGACAAAGATCGAATTGAAGCCCCCTGGAAAAGGATCCTTTCAAATCCAAACTGTTTGAGATGGCAAAGTGTCAGGGCGAGGGCTTGAACAGTCAGATGTGGCATGTTCATAATTGTCTGCACCATAAACCAAGGAACAAATTAGCAGGAACCGCACCAAGCAACTAATATTATTATTTTATTTCAACAAAAAAAAAAATCTACTTGAAAACTAGATGTGTTCATTAACAATCTCAAGTTAAAGCAACATCATAATCAAATAACGCAGAACAAAATTCGGAAATCAAATGCCATACATGGACTGGCAAGCAAGACATTCCTTCTTCGGCAACCTCCACCTTAACCTGATTTCTTGCACTGAGATCTTCATATATTGAAAGAACCTCATCTACTGCACTACCATTGCGGAAACGATCCAGTGAGGCACGTTCCACTCGAACGTTTGAGGTAGGTCCAGCATATGCCAATAAAAACTGCCAAACAAAGATACCAAACGAACATTCATCAGTACCATGTACCCACATCGACCTAAAAAAAAAGAAGTTCTAGTCTTCTGAACTAATCCATAGAGTAATTTTTTCATACAAGAAGTTCTAGTCTTCTAGTCAAACAGTTTATCAAGAAGGATTTGGTAAAACCGATTAGGGAGCTAAGTCGTTCAAAACTAATCAGCAAATAAATAAATGTACCTTCTCAGTTTGATGTGAGAGAGGCTGGCCAAGCAACAGCTCAGCTGGTGACAAGCTCAAAATCACAGCCTCTAACCCACTCCTCATGAAATTATCATTGAACTCTCCATGAACAACTTCGCCGGTTGAAATTTCAACGCCAACAACACCGACTCTAACATCAAAACTCGCTTCCAAACCACAACCTGTCGTCTCCGTGTGACCTCTCTCATCCACAACACAGACCAAGAAATTACTCTGTGCACCAAAACCTTCTTCACCAACGCAACCGCCACTTATATCCTCAGCAGCCTCAAGCGTGGCTTTGGTGTATAAGGCAGATAGTCCCCGGAAAAAAGGGCCGGCCCGGTTTGTACCGTGCGACTTAATGGCTGCAGTTTCAGTCTGCTTCACCACACCAATCTTGTACCCTGCATTCACCAGTCTTCTCACATGGACATTCAGCCGAAACGTCGGTATGCTCGCCGTCATGAAATTGTGATCCATGTGAGCGTAAATGCCCAGCACGCGTGCTGCGATCTCCGCGTCCTCTCCGAAGAATCTGTACCTGTAACCAACTTCCACCATCAAAATCACATCCGGGTACTTGCTCTTTAGCTCCACCACCTGCTGTTCCAATGGCGTATACTTCCTCGAAGATGTTTCCGGAACGGATTCCTCCTGTGGGGGTTCCAGAAACCTCTGTAGAAACCTCCGGTGTAAACTGGGATCGGGTGTGGGGTTTTGAGTAAGAGGAGACAGTTTAGGCTTCTTGGGTGAAGCGGCGGAGAGGTGGTCGGAGAGAAGCTTACGCTTGGACGGAGAGAATGAGACGGTGGCGGATATCTTCGGTGGCGGTGTTGATGATTCGGCTACCGGATTGGGATCCTGAGTCGGTGGTGGTAAGGATTTGGGTTTGGGTGCGAAGAATCGAGAAATCACCTGCTGCTTTTGCTTGCCCATAATTGCTTCTTCGTATTCTCCCCCGTCTGTGACAGCAAGAGAAATGGAAGGTCGTGGCTATGGCGAACTTGGTTGCCAATTTTCGCGCGCTTTCTTAGGTTGCTTTGCTGCTACTAAAACTAAGCGGCAATTAGTCACTGTACTCTGACTAACAAAGTGACGAAGGCAGCGGTTCCGGTGGCAGGCTTTTATGGGCCAGGCTTTTATAATGGGCCTATTCCATGGAAAGCCCGGCCTAAATATCTATCGGGCCACACGGGATGGTTTATTACGCCTGTAAGAAAATTCGAGCACAGGACGTCGTGACTCTAGAAGTTGTAGTAGAGACGGTGTTATATTAAATTCTCCGTCGAGATTACTCCTCTGTTACCGTCGCCGCCGCCGATCTCTACAAATCGAGAGAGGGAGAGGGACGGGGGAAGAAAATTCCGTCAATTTTGGATAAGTGGAATCGGGAGAGAGACAGAGAGAAAGATGGCAATGTCTCAGGTGGTGAACACGTACCCGCTTTCGAACTACAGCTTCGGAACGAAAGAACCCAAGCTGGAAAAGGACACCTCCGTCGCTGACCGACTCGCTCGTATGAAAGTCAAGTACGATTCTTCTCTTTCCTCTTTGTTTTCTGTTTTCTTCTGCTGAAGGAGATGCCAGAATCTATATGTAAAAAAAAAAACCCTAGAAATCTCCGGCCTTTATATGCTTAGATCATGATCTTGCTGATTTGGTAAACGTTTTGAGAGTATTAGACGTCTTTCTGCTTACCTGCGTTCTTGCTGCTCCTAAATTTACTAGCTTCTCCGTAAATCGTTTTGGGGAAAAACTCATTGCCAGCGAACCAAATCTGGGAGTTCTCTTGGGCTCCTTTGAAATCGTTGTAACAAATATTAATATATAACCTTTTGGCCAGTTTACCCAACTAACCGGTTTCAAAACTAGAACTTGATGCATATATTGTTAGAAGAATTTACATAGAACAGTTATAGACTACTTAGCTTTCCAGTGATTGATTTGAGAGGGGAACAGTTATAGCTACTGTACATGTTATTTAACGCTTTTGATTTCTAAGTTCGCCCAAAGTCTCATGCTTTTGCTTGGATAATTGATATTTTCTAGTCTGGATCTGGAATTCGATAGTGCTAATGTAAGACATTATTGGAGTCTGATGACTGATATATATCTCTCTCTTGTTTTCTTAATGGTGTGTTGTAGCTATATGAAAGAGGGCATGAGAACTAGCGTTGAAGGGATCCTGCTGGTACGTGTTTTTTAATATCTTTTCGAGCTGTGGGTTTACCAATTTTCGGTCAACTATACTTGTTATCCAACTCGTTTGTAGCTTTATCCGTGTTGTTTTACCACGCGCTGTCTTAAAATCAGTGGAATAGCTATGTGTTTCAAGAATTGTATATTTGTATGGCCATATGTGATATACATTAAGCCACTGAGATGTCAAAATTATTCGGATTTTATCTTGTTGTTCTCTGTAAACATGCGTTCTCTACCCAATGTATCAATAGAAACACGGGTTTTGAGCGACGCCAATTAGCAAGCATATCTTATGCTTCTAGTTGTTTCGTTTCTCTCACCTTTACTTTTCTAAGCTTTCATGTTTTCTCATGGATTAACACCTGCTTCCCATACACGCCCCCATCTCTTCAAAAATGTCTTGGGAACATAAGATGTTGTTTTGACGTCCTAAAGGTCAATCTTATAAACCTATAACCCACAACTACATGTATCTCGCTGGTGCTCAAGTTAAGCATTATATTTTGTGTCACAAGTCTAGAAATAGTAGCACCTAATTTGGTTTGACATTAGTTATTTCTCTCCAACCCTAGGATTCTTCTTGATAACCCTGTGCTGGTCAAATTTTCAGGTACAAGAACACAACCATCCTCATATACTTCTCCTGCAAATTGGTAACACATTCTGCAAACTTCCAGGTGGACGCCTGAAGCCTGGAGAAAATGGTATGCAACAACCATCCGTAATTGATACTTTCTTAACTGATGTGATTAAAAAAAAAGCAAGCTGGTGTGGTTTTCCTTGTTGCTTCATTTTTGGGTGTACTATGTTGTGTCTTGCAGAAGTTGAAGGCTTGAAAAGAAAGTTGACCAGTAAGCTTGGAGGCAATTCGGCTGCTCTTGTACCGGACTGGAAGGTACTATACTGGTTTCCTTCTTATTTCTTTGACTGATAGTGGCGAGATATTTAGGTACTAAAAGAACTAGGTTTGTATGGCATGTACTTGCTCTTAGTGCTAGGGATAAGCAATTCAAAATAAAAATCTTTGCCAGAGATACATATGCTTATTACCTGAAGAAAGAAGACTCTGCCACAAGTCCACGCATATCTGATTGAGTTATGTACCTAATCCATTGCTTTCTCGTATGGTTTTTTTGAATCCTGTAACAGGTAGGAGAATGTGTTGCGACATGGTGGCGTCCTAACTTTGAAACCATGATGTACCCGTATTGCCCTCCTCACATAACGAAACCAAAGGTATTAAAAGAACACATTGTGGCTTCTTAAATTTCTCTTTTATTCTTCTCCGGATTATGTTTTTGTTTATGTATGTCCTATTTTGTGAAATGGTAGGAATGCAAGAGACTCTACGTTGTTCACTTGTCTGAGAAAGAGTACTTTGCTGTGCCCAAAAACTTGAAACTCTTGGCTGTCCCTTTGTTCGAACTCTATGACAATGTTCAGGTTTGGTTTTTATATATTTCTAATACTATTAACCTCTTTGGAAATGTGTTTTACGCCAAACTTCTTACCATGATATTCGTTTCCTGAAACAGAGATACGGACCAGTCATATCGACCATTCCCCAACAGCTATCCAGATTCCATTTCAACATGATTAGTTCGTGATTCTACTCGGTGTTGAAGAACAAGAAACCTATCCGATGGTAAGTTAAGTAGGCTCGGTAGAGAGATATATAGCTACCGGTTTAGAGATGTGACTTTTGGATGATTCGTTTGGGTTTTTACATTATAGACTTGTTCGGTTTATGAAGAACCGGTTCATTCAAGTTTCAGCACAAGAGATTTTTGAAAAGCACTATTCGACTAACGGCTGCCTTGTCTAACCGTGAAACATGTATTTCACCTCAGTGTTGAATGATATTTTTATTTTGTTGCTATGTATGAAACATATACTAGGCTTGTTGGATTAAGCATCCTTCCTTTATGTGTCAGTCTGTGATTTACAAATATCGGAAAAAGACAAATATGGTGTAAGTTCTTATGATACCCTTGCCACAAGGCTTAATGGTCGAAATAGGTGAAGTTTTTTGTAGATGAACAATCCTAAGTATATTATTGCTAATTATAAATCAAGACTGGTCTTAAAGTATTCTTTGATGGCTAAACATTAGATCATCATAACATTGGATGTGGTCATATGCGATTAGTTTGACGGCAAATTATATAGCATGTGGTAAGATAAACCAAGACAAGAGTACACTTTTTTTTTTACACTCTTTGTTTCTTTGTTTATCGTTTTGCAAAGGCATTTTCCACAGTCCAATAGAGCCAACAAATAAAAAACAAAACCAGAGCATTTTAAACTACAGACAGCCCATTTCGATTGGGACATAAGGAATTAAAATTGTAAAAGCTAACAATATTCCTCAAATAAATCTTATTACTGGTCCACTTGTGGGTGTAAATGTAATACTTTTTGTTCTATTGTCCAAAAAGACAAAAAAATGTGAGAGGAAAAATTATACAATAGTTTCTTGCAGCAAATAGGATTAGGAGCTCAATGTTGACTTCACCACAAATATTTACAAAATGTTTCTAGCCAACTTTATATTCTCATTTAAAAAAAAAAATATCACAGATAAACTTAAATATTATATCAAGCTCTTTGGTCTCGCAAATACAATCTGTCTGCTTGCTATTGATGCTTTCCTAGAAGACAGTTTTTTTTAACAGATTGGATGATTCTCTATAATCATTATTTCATTATTCACAATCATTGAATTGAATCAGACAGATTATTCCATCCGGATTAAGTTTCAAACCAAAATTTTGCCGACATTTTAGAGACTTTTGAATGTGCAATCTTATACTATTTTGCTCTTTGGGGTTTTTAAATCGACAAGGCAGCAAAACAATTTCTTTATTTTTCCATCAAGGAATCCCAAACTGATAATCAAATACGATGGGACGTAAAATCAATATATAATGTTACTATATTACTGCTATTTTTTTTTAGTTGGAAACCATATACAGTATATACAGTAGAACTTCTATAAATTAATATTCGGTAAATTAATAATTACTATAAATTAATAATTTTTGCTAGTCTCAAGTCGGGTCAATGTAAAAATTGATAAAATTCGATAAGATAATAAAATAATATTTTTTTGAAAGTTCTATGTAAAAATATGGTCCTAATAATAATATAAATTAATAATTATACATTTAGACATATATTAATAATATAATATAGTAAACTATGATAATATTGTTGTTTCAGTTTTATAAAGTTGTTTGATTTATCTTCTAAATTCATTATTATGATATTTTTAATAAATTTTACATTGTTGAAAATATTGATTTTGTTTTTTTTATGAATATTAAAAATTCAAACTAAAAATATCTCTATAAATTAATAATTAATCGATAAATGAATAATTATTAATTTATCGATTAATTAATAACTCTATAAATTAATAAAATTTGGGAATCCCAACATTATTAATTTATAGAGGTTTTACTGTATAACTCAAATATTTATATATAAAACAAATCTTTTAACACTACTTGCATATTCCATTATGAATTTTCTATTCACTGCTTATACAAATGCATACAGTACAAATACATGCATGTAAATACGATATTCACACACAAATATCCTAAATTTCATGTAGGTCTATACGTATAACTATGATATACGTTTTGTCTTTTCTTCTAAGCAGATCCATTTGGTAATTTCTTAACACTAAAGCATGTAGACTCTATCTGTGGGCCTTCCGTGAAATATATATTTTTTATTTCTATTTTGCGAAATGATATATATGCAATGTGAGAGCATTCAGCAGGCATGTTTTCTTCTTTCAGAACAGCTTTAAGACGATAGAGAATTAATGGGGAAGACGAAATCTGGAGAGAGACCAAAGCAGAGACAGAGGAAAGGGTTCTGGTCACCTGAAGAAGACGAGAAGCTAAGGAGCTTCATCCTCTCTCATGGCCATTCCTGCTGGACCACTGTTCCCATCAAAGCTGGTCTCTCTTTTTTATATTCTTCTTTCTCTTAAACTGACGATTAATTTAGTCAGTTTTGATCATTTTTGATTGGGCTTTCATACCAAAATTTTGTTTGTTTGGATTTAATTTGATAGGGTTACAAAGGAATGGGAAGAGCTGCAGATTAAGATGGATTAATTACCTAAGACCAGGGTTAAAGAGGGATATGATTAATGCAGAAGAAGAAGAGATAATCTTGACCTTTCACTCCTCCTTGGGTAACAAGTAAGAATAACCCTAACTGAAACCTAACCGTCTTTTATTTTAGAATATGCTAAAGAGAGCAGCTTTTGGGTGCTATTTAGGTGGTCGCGGATTGCGAAATACTTACCGGGAAGAACAGACAACGAGATAAAGAATTATTGGCACTCTCATTTGAAAAAGAGATGGCTCAAGTCTCAGAGCTCACAACGCGCAACGTCTCTTTCTTCCTCTTCTTCCGAATCACATGTTGCTTGTGGAAAAAGAAACTCGCAAACATTGGTCTCGAATCACGTAATCTCCTTCCAGAGACTTCCAGAGAGCAAATTTTCATCCCCGTCAGAAGAAAGCAACGGAAACATCAGCTATCAATGTTCTTCTTCTGGTCCTGAGATTCCAAGCCTTTTCTTCTCTGAGTGGTTTTCTTCTTCAGATCCCCATACCGATTATTATTCCACTGATTTCACAGACTCCAACCACAATCATGCTCCAACTACTGTAAAATCTTCCTCACATTATGAAGAAATGGGTGATGGTGATCAGTTCCATTACAACGAAATGATGATCAACAACAGCAACTGGACTCTTAACGACGTCGTGTTTGGTTCGCAGTGTCAGAAGCAGGAGCATATGAAAAGATAGAGAAGCCTCAGATTGTAATTATTCTGATGATTTATTTTCTTCATCAACAGCGACGTTTAACTACGTCTCAAGTAATGTAAATCAATTTTTTAAAGTTTAAATTGCTTACTTTTCTTTCTAAAATAAATACTCCCATTATGCTTTGATACCAGTACCATCATTATCTATCTCATTAACTTAACATAGCTATCACTCTGTTAAATACGAAGAGGAAAATATTGAATATCACTCAGCTATTACACACCAGAAGTAGCAAACTCGTAAGCACAACCCAAATTTTTTCACTACAAATGCAACATATTATATAAATATGAATGGTACAAGTGGTAATACAGATGTGAATGCAATGTAGAAAGAGTTTCATATAGCAGAGTAGCTGTAGTTAGTCTCATCGTCAGTGGAGGGGGAAGGGGAAGGAGACTTGGCCGAAACAGTGAGTACCACAAAGGCACCAAAGAGAATGGTGACAATGGCCGTGAGGTTCACAAGAAATGCCTCGGATCCGTACTTGTCAAGCCCTCCATTCTCCAAGAAAGTCAGCTTCTCCAGAAACCCTAATGCTGCGTTCCCAACAGCAAGTATATAAGCAAATAGGCCGAGCATTGCGTGCCACGGAAGCAATCCGCTTCTCAGATTCGACGATCCTCCTGGGAAGAAGAACACTATGAAGCTGTACACCCACTGCAAAGTTCAAAACTTTTTGTGTTATCTTTTTTCTGTTCAAGAACAATATTCACTTATCAGTAAGATTCCTATGTGACGCAAAAGGCCATGGGATTACCTGGAAGGCATAAAGAGAAATGACACCAATACCAATCCAGGAGTGGAGGCTGTAGAGATTAGGGATTCCACTTTCGTTGTGGTTCTTGAAGGCTGCGCAGATTCCCCAGATCCCAAGAGCCAGAGCAATGGCATGGAGAACAAGGTGGATCAACTTCTTTACTGGTTTCTCCAACGGAAGGGATTTGTAACTTATAATTGCTGCATTTCCAAATTAAACACACAGGTTTATGTTGTCTTTTATACAAAGTGATCGCCATCAAGGGGACAAATCCAGATTGAAATGAAAGTAATATAACTTTTTCTCATTTGTTCAACATATGAGATGATGTTGTTGTTGTTTACCTTCTCCTCCCAAGATTATAAATCCGATGAGCATCAGAACAGGATGCAGCTGGATCACATAGAAAGAAAGAACGAAAGATCAGATAAACTGGCAGAGAAAATGGATCAGATAAAGAAAGTATCAGAACACAAACACATATTGTGATGAAAGTCGTGAAGCAGAAGATTACAAGCTCATGCTACAATATAAACGGCTAAAAGTACAGCTGAATAAAAGTCCCGTTTGCTTCAAGGGTTCCACAGGTAATATCATCTTTTCCTCTCAAAAACAGAAGAAACATAATATGAACTTTGAAATAAGATTATAGCCAAAAGAGATTTCATTTCGTTTGTACCATATTGTACCATCAATCAAAACGTCAATATATACCAGACTTCATCTTTAGTATACTCACTCATACACTGTAATAATACTGAACACTTGACCTCAACAACAATCATGGGTCCTAAGGCACCTCCACAGCAAAAGTACTTAAGGACACACCAAATGATGATTATTGTTCCCAAAAATCAAAGTTATCTGACTTACTATCAAAGACCCATTTTACAACTTAAACATATATGAGAGTACGGTAACAATTCAAGAGATTTCTCCATTACAAAAAGCAAAAAGTCACTAACTTTACTTAGAAACATTACTGATAAAGAGATGAAGATTTAAAATTTGCAGGCAAACAAAAATTCGGAACCAGGATCAAATGAATTTGTATAACTACAGAGAGTCAACGCAGACGCAAGAGAGAGAAAGAGTTCGAGGAAAAAAAGAGAGGTTAAAGTAAATCGAAAGGAGATCGAAGAAGCTAACATTGAAGATGAGATTCTTGTTTTTAGCTTCCCAGGCTAATCCACCTCTGTAGCTGATACTCCAAACCAGCACCATAATCGCCGCGATCACCGCGAGCGCGTGCGCCACAAACGTCACCGGCATCGCGTTTATCCCGACAGCCATAACTTTTTCTCTGAACTGTGTTTTTCTTCTTTCTTGTCTTTTGCTCCTCTTTCTCCTTTGTCCGATTAATCTCGAAGAAATGACCTTTGAACCTCAACCTCTGAGAAGACCCAGAAAAACCAACCCCCAGCTTGTTGTTCTTCCATTATCCGATTGTGGGCCCTTCTTGGAATACACGTGGGCCTCGCGATCCCTTTCGATTTTTATATTCAGATGTGTAATTACGTGGTAGTTATTGCATTTAGATCGACAAATGAAATTTCGCCACGTGGAGGTTGTGGTCGCTGCATCTAACCCCGCGCTTTCGTGTCTCTTCTTCTACCGCGACCTTAAACGATAGAGCAATCATACTGGATCTTGCTTCAGGCCCAAATACACATTTTTAAAAACGTTTAAGCCCGAACCGGTTTTCAATGTAAAGCATGCATATGGTCTCATTTCTTGTCGACTTGGGATTTTCAGTGAGAACGATACGCCGTTTTCAAAGATTCAAAACAGCACGTTGTTGGTACAACATGTGAAACAACCAAGTGATGAACCGTCTCAGTTAAGTTTATTAATGGGCCAATTAACTTGTTCAAGAAGTTATATCGACGGTTCGTCTCGGATAAAGATTATACGAGAGAGCCACGTACACGATCAAGCGCCTGATACGTGGCAATGCAAGACACATGTCAGTCCGTAACAGAGATACAGAGGACACAGCCATCCAGATGCGTCTTCCTCCTCTCTCTCTCTGTTATAAAGCTTTCAACTAGCTCCTCCGGTTTTCTCACAAGCAATTTGGTTGCAGAGAAACGCAAATAGAAAATCCAAAGACTATAGTTGGATAATGGATTCACAAGCGCAGTTGCAACGTACTCATGGTCAACATAAAGAAGAGGAACCAATTAGGATTCACCATCCAGGTATGCAGAAGCAGAACCAGATTTTAATTACAGAAAAATATAGTTTTTTTTTCATTCACATTCCAAATGTTAGATTGAAGTTACAGAGACTAATGAAAGTGTTTATATGTGTTTGTACGCAGAGGAAGAGGAGCATCATGGGAAAGGACCAGCAAAAGTTCTGAAGAAAGTGAAGGAAAAAGCAAAGAAAATAAAGAAAGCTCTAACTAAACACGGACATGGTCATGAGCACGATCGCGGAGAACACATCCCCGACGATCACGATCTAGATCAGGAAGACGATGTAGATGAATACGAAGACGAAGAACTCCACGGTGGTGCACAAGGTTATGTCCGTTTTTTTTGCTTCACTCTAATCTCTCTGATCCAGGAAAACGGTTAATGTTTTGGTAATAACGGTTTATTCGGATTTGTCTCCGACAGCACGAGGAAAAGCTCAGATGTCGGACCCGTTGAAGGAGGAGATGGTCCCTCCAGGCACGAAAGTTTTTCCGGTCGTGTCCTCTTCCCACACCAAAACCTCGGAGCCAATCAGAGGAGTTGAACCAGTACGAGGCTCCAATGCATCTCACGGCCACGAAGCACTGCCTCATCCTATAAGACCATCCGGTGTATCGGAAAAAGAAGAGAGAAGAGGGGCTTCTACACTGACACCGCATAACACCCCCGTGTCCTTGCTCTCTTCGACAGAAGATGTCACGAGAACGTTTGTTCCTGGTGAACAACGCAGGGTCAATATCGAGAGACCCAGAGGATTGGAGGAAGATCCGGCTGCTCCGGGTGGAGGACGAGGAGCTCTTGGTGGGATGTCGAATTATCAGTCCAAAGTTACTGATCCTACCGGAAAAGGTAACAGCTTTTCTCCAACATTTTTCGGATTCTAGTGTACAAAGTCAGCTCTTTTAATCCATGTCGTCTCTGTATCTTAGCCGGTGGAGAAATTGGAGCAACAGCGGCTCTTGCAGCTCTTGGGAGGAGGAAAGGAACAGGTGAAGATGACCAATTAGGGCATGGGAGAGATCTGCCGGTGAAAAGCCATGGACTTGATTTAAAATCGGGACCCGAAATGGGCAAACACTTACCGGCGGGAAAGTATGGATCTGGATTGGGGAAAGAATTTCCGGCGAGGAGCCATGAAGTTGATGTGAAATCAGGGGCTGATCTAGGAAAAGGTTTTCCGACGGGAACTCACGGTATACGGAATTACCCTGAGGGTTTTGATTCGAAAGCTCAAGAGAGGGGAGATGAGATACATCAGCCGAATCAGAGCAGTTACACCGATAAAGTCGCATCAGTGACTTCCGTCGTAGCTGATAAAGCTGCAGCGGCGAAGAACGCCGTCGCTTCGAAGCTGGGATACTCTGGGGAAGGCGGAGACGGCCACGAGAATCGTGTGGAAGGAGAGCAAATTCCTAGCTCCGGTGGTGGATACGGGAATAAGGTTGCAGGTATGGTGACTCCAGTTTACGAGAAGGTCAAAGAGACCGGAGCGAGCGTGATGACGAAATTGCCTTTCACCGGTACGGAGACGGAGACCCAGGCCCAGCAAGGACAAGATAAGGGCGTCTCTGGCCGAGAATATCTGGCAGAGAAATTAAGTCCGGGAGAGGAAGACAAGGCTTTGTCGGAAGTTGTCGCCGAGAAGCTTCATCTCGGAGGAGGGGGAGAAAACACGACGGCGCCGGCGAAGAAGGGGATAGTGACTCAGTCAGAGGAGGTGGAGAGAAGGTTGGGAGGGTTCTCGGATCCAAAATCGGAAGGAGCGATGACACACGGGGAAGAGTTTGCAGCGGAAGGCGAAGGAGGGATGGTAGATAAACTGAGAGGAGCTGTGACTTCATGGATCTCCGGTACGACTGAGGAAGTGACTCAAAAGTCTACAGAGTCTGTTCAAGACTCGTCACAATCAGTCGGCGCCACCGTTGGTAACGCCACTTTTTTTTTCTTTTAAGTATTCCTGTTAAAATAGCGTTTCGAGATTTTAGCGGTTGTATAAGGACTTTTGGTTTTGTTGTGATGGTTTTAGGGAACATGGGATTTTCCGGTTCGGGAGCAGATGGGGCGGGCCAACGCAGCGGTGAAAAGAGTGGCTCTGTGCCTGTGCAGAAGAGATTCCAAAACTGAAATTTGCTTCTTTGTTCTTCTAAGTGTATGGTTTTTGTTAAAGCTTTCTATTTTAATGTGTGTGTGTGTTTTTGATCCATGGCTTAGTTTGCTGTCATGTAAAATATGAATAAGTTGGGTTAATACTGAGCTACTTGACCACCATTGGCTAGAATACAGGTCGGATGTGACAAGGCATTGTTTAGACAAAAAGCTGAGAGAAAATGGGCAAAAAGGTGAAAATTCGTCGACAGCAGGGTTCGAACCTGCGCGGGCGAAGCCCAACAGATTTCAAGTCTGTCTCCTTAACCACTCGGACATATCGACATTTTGCTAATATATTGCAACAGAACCAAAATATCATTTACTATTTGAGAAGGTACTACAACAAGGTTTATTTGAGAAGTTACACACAAGCAAGCTACATTAGTTTCAACAACTTTTTCTCAAACGGAATTATAAAAGACAGTTTAAGTTTCATAACAAAATGCTTATAAAAAAAATGAATGGTGACGGTGAAGAATTCAGATTCTTAATCAAGAAAATTACATAACATGGACAAAGTTTTTAACTTTTTTTTTGGAATATCAGAAATACGAAAAGATAATATATAGATGCTTGATGAAAACAAGGGAAAGATCTAGAGAGCTCGGCTTTTGATAATGTCGAAGCTCATCTCGCTAGGATCAGTGGCTTGTAACTCAACCTGAATGCCATCCAATTCTCTCTTGAATCTATCCTTAGAGCTCGCGTACACCATCTTCATCCTCACTCTAGATGAATCCGGTGACCTATATAACATCATCCAACAATCATGATTAAACACAGTATAGTCTTGTATATAAGATCATTCAACCATGTTATATGAAACATATATAGTAAAAGTGAAGCCAAATATATCGATCGAGGAAGATTGATTAGAAGAATGACGTACCAGGCGATGAAGAAGATTTTGCTCTTCTGGCAATTTTCAGTGGTGGTGAAATCGAGATCGAAGACAGCATAGCGGCACTCGTCGGCAGGGAGGGAAGCGGAGAAATCGTCGTAAGTCTCCTCCTTGTTTCCTAACTTCTCCACAACCACTTGCTGACCATCTATCCTGAATATTATGAACCGATAGTTTCTTTTCGACTTTAGCTCCAAAAACTTGAGCTTGCACTCGTCCTCCACTGCCATCCCCGACGCCGCGTTCGCCTTTTTCATTCATTCATTTCATCACCATTATATATATGTCGCCATCACACATCAAATTGAAAACTATTGCATTTTTTTAAAAAAATACCGGGAAATTATCGTTTATATATACTAAAGTTAGCTAAGTTTTCGTTTCATTTGTATAAGAGCTTACATGATGTATGTGCTACATTAATTAGTTCTAGATATTGTGAAATCACGCTGATATTATGAATTAAAATGAGATAGGGTATACAAATCAAACAAGTGAGAGACACGTCAATAACATTGTAAAATCGAGGAATCAACACGCTAATCATTGCATTTGCATCCAAACAATCCAGATTTTTATTTAAACATTGGTTCTACGTAGTTATTAATTCATATTTTTATTATCAGATGTTCTATCAAAACTCTGGCTGCTTTTAAAACTAATACAATCCTTAAACTAGAAGAAAAACACCTCGATCGCCTGTTAGGCCATTGTTTAGAGACAAAAATTCTATAAATTTATTACAAAAAGAAGAAAAGAGAACAAACCATTGCTTTTGTTTCGTTTCTATGGTAAGACTTGAGGAAGAGAGATTTGTTGTTTTGTCTGAATATTGGCCTCTGGGAAAGAGGAAAATGGGAATGGAATTTGGGAGGCGAATTAAGGGAGAAGATAATCGTTAATTGGTTTGTGAAGATAGGATCGAGACGAACTCGGACAACTTAAGGCTCTAATTTATCATTTTTAATATTAGTCTATGATCTGTTCTTTTTGTGATCACACCACACGTTATTTTTCTTTTTTTTCAAACCTTAAAATTCGCCTAACCATCCCTTTTTCAAGGCACTTTCCACTCTATTTTTAGCATCTAATTGTGTACACCATGCATACATTGGTTCAATGCATATACGTATATAGATTTTATTATCTGCGTGGAATCCATTGCAATCTCGTCAACTTACGGCAGTTCTTTTAGCGCTAATGTGTCCACATGACGTTTCTTTTGTTATTGCTCACCTTTGATCACTATGTTGTATCATTTTTCATCTTTTGTCTTCCCTTCATACTTTTTTTGGTAGTCCCTCTAAACTTTTTACAATGGATATAAAGTATGAACAACAGACTATTATACCCCCAAAAAGCAAAAACAACAAATAAAATAAAACCCCATCAAAAGCCATGTTTCATTATAAATACATAACTAGGTATTTACCCGCGCTATGCTGCGGGATATTTTTCTAAATTTTATATATATTTTTAATATAATAAAATTATTTTTATAATGTAAATGAATATTATATTTATTTTTTATTAGTTTAAGTTATATGTTTATATGTTTTAAATCTGAATAAACATTACATATATATTTTTTTTTCAAAATTATAATTTGCTATTAAATTTAGTTAGCTAACTAATTATAAATGTATATATAAGAATAAAATATATAAGAATAAAGCAATACGTTTTTAGTACCTTAATGCTAATGACAAATATAATCTATTTTCTCCAATAAATTGCCACATGGTCCTCCTTTGTAATTATATAAAACAAAATACCATTTAAAAAAAGATTATTAATTAATATGATTATTTTAAATTATAAAATTTATTTATTTATCAAATATCTATATTTATAAAGTAACCTTTTCTCTCTTCTCATGGAGCCATGTCAGCGTCCCAATCAGATGCCACATCATTTCTCTTTTCCCAGCAACTATATCATTAAAAAAATTAATTTTTTCTAAAACACAAAATAATATTAACATTCAATATAAAACACATAAAAACTAAAAAGAAAATTATAATATATTTTCAGAAAATAAAATGAAACCAAAAAATAATTATATACATTAACTTTGAATATTTTACTATGTGATGGAAAGTGATTATTAGAAAGTCATAAAACAATAAAAATTATCATTAACATTCAATAAAAAAAAAATAACAAACATAAAAAGAGTTGTAAGAAAATAAAAATCAACAAAATATAAAATAGCAAAACCAAAAAATAATGATATACATTAGCTCTGAGTATTTTAACATTTAAGATAGAATTTACGAGTGTGTAAAAGAAATTGGTAATTAGAAAGATAGAAAATAATAAAAATTAATATTAACATTTAATATAAAAAAAATTATAATGTGTTGTCAGGAAAAAAAATTAACAATATAGAAACCAATAAATAATTATATACATTAGCTCTGACTGTTTTAAGATTCAAGGCTGAAATTTACAAGTATGTGACAGACATTGATAATTAGAAAGGCTGAAAATAATAAATATTAACATTAACATTAAATATAAAAAATAGCAAACATAAAACATTAAATTATAAAATGATGCCAGAAAATAAAAAATAAACAAAATACAAAATAAAAATAAAAAATGATATATGTTAGTTTTGAGTATTTCAAGATTAAAACCAGAAATTTAAAAGTGTGTGATGAGAGTTGGTAATTAGAAAGACGGAAAACAATTTCCAAAGAAAACCTATGGAATAGGAAATTCGGGTAATAAGATGGGTTTGAGAATGTATTATCTAAAATCTATTCACAAATTCTCAATAATTTGGATGAAAGTCAACTTCAAAAAAAAAATTTGGAAAAATAAGGAAATTTTAAAAAACTCTCTAATTAAAAAAAAAATTCTTAAATTAATAATTTGGATATCTAATATCATACATTCATATATGTTCTCTTTTCTTATTTGTTGAATAAACCAAATAATCTTGGATGGATAATATTTGATCAAAATTAAGATAGGTCAAGAAATTAAAGATGGGTACATTGAAAAAAAATAAACAATCACAAAATGTCAAAAAATATATGATATAATAATATAAAAAATACATAAAACGATAATCAAATCTCTGTGTTACGTAGATCACAAACTAGAAATTAATCCATGTGATTTTTTAAAAATGATTTCGAAATGGCTTTTACAAAAAAGGCATGGAAAATATTGTGCAACAAGACAATTCGGTTCATAATTTTTCTTCAAACGTCCACAGCTTAATTTTTTTATGAAATAGCGATAAGAAAGTGTGTAATACGCCATTCATATTTTTCACCAAAAACCATGACAAAAACGGAACCAATCTCAAAAACTAGATCACAAACTAGAAATTTGAAAAAGATGAAAAATCGAGACATGTATATATGAGAAATAGAAGTCCATCTTAAAATTCCCAAAAATATACGATACAACAAAGTTAATAAAAAAAATATAAAAATGAATCACATAGCCGCGCGTAGCGTGGATCATCAACTAGTTTTATTATAAACATATGTTTCTAAAACTACTAAACAATAATCAATAACATTCATATCAAAATCATTGCTATTGCTTTAGAACTAAATAGAAAATTATGTTTGAACTCTTAAAATATCGTTTTAGTTAAAGCTAAATAATTAAATTTTGGTTACTGTAAACATAATTTAACTTGAAAATATAGCACAGAGAAATTTTATCTTCTTACAAAAATCAAAAAATCGTATTTTCCGTCAAAACAAAAAACTTCATTTTCCCATTAAACTGAGAAATCGGCTATTCCCGCCAAAACCAAAAAATTCATTTTCTTGTCAAACCCAAAACCTAAAATTTTATTTTCCCGCGAGAACCTGTGTTTTTTCACCAAAGCCGAGAAATTATGTTTTTTTACAAAAACCAAAAAATATCATCTTCCTACAAAAACCAAAAAAAAAATTGTATTTTTCCACCAAAATCGAAAAAATTATTTTTCTTGCGAAAACTGAGAAATCGTCTATTCCTGTCAAAACAAAAAATAAGTCATTTTCTCGTCAAGCCCAGAATCACGCTTTCCTACAAAAACAAATAAACCACAATTTTCTGTAAAAACCAAAAATTTAATTATCTCCCGTGAAATTATGTTTTTCCGCGAAAACTAAGAAATTGTTATGTTTTTATCGGTTTAATTTTTGTTGATGTGTGAGCTTCTTATAACATAAGGCTTTTTGTGTGGTTGTCATGGAAGCATAGTTGATGCTGAATCTACACTTTTTCAATCATATACGTTTATGTCAAACAAATAGATAGCTAGAATTTTTTATTATTATTTATTATTTGGGTTTCGCAAAAAAAAAGAAAACAATTAATTAAATTTTTTATTTTTATTTTTATTTATTATTTGAGTTTAGATTTGATAAAAAATAAAATAATGATTTTTTATTTGCTGTTATTAAATATTTGGGCTTGAGTTTGATAAAAAATAAAACAAAATTAATAGAAAAAATATTTTGATTTTTAATGGGTTTAAGTTTAGAAATCAAAATAAGTAGATGAGATGTATTAATAAAATGTTTTAATTGGTGATTATTTTGCTGAGGTGTCATGTTTATAAAGCTTCAAAAAGCTTAGGTGTCAAGCCATGAAAAGACTTTAGTGTTATTGTTGTGTTGATTATTTGGATTTGGTTTTGGCAAAAAACAAAAATCAATGATTTAATTTTTTTTTTATTTTTATTTATTATTTGGGTTTGGATTTGGCAAAAAAAAATGATTTTTTATTTGCTGTTATTAAATATTTGGACTTGGGTTTGGTAAAAAATAAAATAAAAATTAATAGAAAAAATATTTGAATTTTTAATGGGTTTAAGTTTAAAAATTAAAATAAATAGATGAGATGTATTAATAAAATGTTTTGATTGGTGATTATTTTTGCTAAAGTATCATGTCTATAAAACTTAAAAAAGCTGAGATGTCAAATAATGGAGAGATTTTAGTGTTATTGTTGTGTTGATTAAAGTTTAATGAAAAATATTAGTATCTCCAAGACTCCAACTATTTATTTTTGTAACAAATCTATTAATCTACAGTACTCTCTCTAGTAGCTACCAAAAAAATGCTAGACACGTGCATAATATTGGGAGGTTTTCAAAATTTCAGTGAGTTGAATGGTAATTTTGAAATTTAGGGTAGATTTTACAAAAGTCGATATATGGAAGGGTTATCTTGCAATCTTCCAAAACTTGCAAAAGGTCACACAACTTCTTAAACGACGTCGCCGCTTCATCGGATTGTCAGCTGAAATTCGGAAAGATATTCCTGAGGAATTTCATCTCTGAGTGACATGTACGAGTACCACTGCAGCAAGAGGCAATGGCTTCCCTTAGCCAAATCTTCCTTGTTCTGATGATTATGTCTTCTTTCTGTTCCGGTGGAAGGTCTAATTCGAAACCTTTCTTCATTTAGCAATCATAAAACCGAGCTGCGATCCTTGGTTTCTTCTTTTTAGCTGATGCATGTTGTGTTTGATGCGTATCCGGACATTTTCTCTTCTAATTCTGAGTTTCCTTCATCTGTTTCTGCGATTAGCATTACTCGATTTTGCAATAACGGGTTTGCCAGATGCCGAGAATTTTTAATCACAATCCGGTTTCATTAGCTCTATTAATGTTCCTGTATCTCGACTTTTGTCACTTGCTTCACTAAAGAGATGCGTGCATCATACTGTCTTTTTGATATTTTTTTTTTTTTGGGTTTTTTACTTTCTGCAGCCGGAAGGAATTGCGAGATAAAGAAAATGTGGGTACACAGTCGAGTCTTGAGTTTGGATCTAAATCTGTGGACCCAAGACGCGTTCTTCAACTTTCATGGCAACCAAGGTCAGGTACTTTTTTGATAGATTTCTGGTTTAACGCATCATAGATCAAGTTATACACAATCTGCACATAGACATTTTGTAGTTGTTATTAGTAACAATGTAACATGGAAGATCATTTTGCAAGATTTGATAATGCATGTTTTGCTGTTTCAAATATTGGGGTCTGAATATATTTGGTATGTCCAGGGTCTTCCTTTACCGCGGGTTCTTGTCAGAGGAAGAGTGTGATCATCTGATATCTCTGGTAAAACCCTCCCGTGTTCTTCCGGTTTGAGATACATTGATATTATTTGTGTAACGCTGGTTTCTTTTCTGCAGAGAAAAGAAACTTCAGAGGTTAACTCAGGGGATGCTGATGGAAAGACGCGATTTGCTAGTTCTTCGTACGTCATAGATGTGCCGGTAAGTTCTTAGTATTCTTCAATTCTTGAAACACTGTGGTAAAGATGCTAAGGGTTCTTTAAGTAGTCTCTACGATAAATGCTTGTATCCTTTTGTCTCTTACATCCTTATCTTCGCTTATTTAGTCATGGCTAGGTAGAACGCGCTGGTGTTAACCCTAGTATTAGCAGTTTCCACCTCGGGTTGTTCGAAATGGCCATAACAACGCTATGTCCCAATCCTTATTTTGGTATACTTTTGGATAAACTATAGGATCCAACAGTTGCTGGGATTGAAGAAAGAATTTCTGCGTGGACTTTCCTCCCAAGAGGTACTAACAAAACTTTACTTGTCTTGGCTTTCAATCTATGGAGATTCTTTGCTTGCTCTTCGAATGCCTCTTTTCTTGAGTGACGTTTGTAATCCTTTTCTTCTTGACCAAACTGCTGGCTTTATGTTTCAGAGAACAGCGGTCCGATCAAGGTAAGAAGTTACACTTCGGAGAAGTCAGGCAATAAGCTGGATTATTTTGGAGAAGAATCTAGCTCGCTTGAAACTTTGTTGGCAACCGTCATTCTCTACGTCTCAAACACAACTCAAGGCGGAGAGCTTCTCTTCCCAAATTCAGAGGTTTAGTAATAATAACATCTTGAGATCAACTCATTCTTTTGATATATTTTGGCACAACACAAAGAATGTTGAATTCATATTTCCAGTTTTTTTTTTTTCTTCAGGTAAAACCCAAAAAGAGTTGGTCTGACTGTTCAGAGACTGGTAACATCTTAAGACCAGTAAAAGGAAACGCAGTTCTGTTCTTCACCAGACACTTGAATGCATCTCTGGATCAGACAAGCACTCATTTTAGATGCCCTGTGCTGAAAGGGGAACTGTTGGTGGCGACAAAACTGATATATGCAAAGAAGAAGAAGCAAGCAAGAAATGATGAGAGTGGTGGTGAATGCAGTGATGAAGATGACAACTGTCGACGATGGGCTGAGCTTGGGGAGTGCAAGAAAAACCCTGTCTATATGATTGGCTCTCCTGATTACTTCGGTACCTGCAGAAAGAGTTGTAACGCTTGTTGATTCTTGAAAGCATTCTCATCACAATGGTAATAACTGAAACTGGACAATTTTTTTTTTTTTTTCTATCTCTTAACATATTCAAATTTGTCAAGCTCCCAAGTCCCAACATATCAGTACCTTTTTCCTTCAAAGTGTGTCCACATATACTGTAACTACCGTATTTTAATACTTTTTTCGGAGAAACACAAATTTTCCTACATTTAAAATATTCCATCAAATCAGAGTAAAAAAAGGAATATTCCATAAAAATATGGATCTAAACACTTTTTCTTTAAGCGTAGTCATGATACATTTTTAGAGGGGAAGAGAAGTACAGCATAATGGCCTCGGCTCTACATTTGTGAACTGATATTATGCAATGAAATTTTGGGAATGTAATTTATTTTTATCTATTATACAGTGTTGAAGATTCTAGAAAATATTAGGTTGTATCATTTTCACTTCTAAATCAACAAATTATCAAAAAATAAATAAAGAGACATTGTATTACTCACATCATCGGACCATTGAGATCTAAACAAATAAGTATTCATGAAATCATGTGTATATGTCTCTATATCCTAATGAATGACTTTCTTCAATAAGTCATGTTTTAGACATAGTAAATGTTAAGATAATAAATCTGGATTAATAAAGAAAATTCGGAGAGAAAAATGGTATTTTTTTTTCTTATTTTTTTGTTTTCTCGATCAAAATAAATATTTGCTGGATTTTATGAATTTGGAGAGCCCAGGGTTGTTTTGTTTCCCCGTACGCCTTTATAATTTCTTCCACAGCTGTTTTGCCTCCCCCTTCCGAAACTTTCTCTCATTTTCTTTTGCGTCCCATCACTTTCTCGGATTTTCTCGGCGACTTTCTTCCGTGCCAAGCTGCTACGCTCCGTTTTCCCACCTCCTCCTCCTCCCCCTCCTCTCTTCTCAATCCCCGAGGATCGCTCTTGAATTTTTTTTCCTCCTTCCTTCCTTTCGTCGCCCGATCTGTGTTACTGTTTCACTGGTACGTGATCGGACTTACTCCGCTTTCCATAAACACTAAATCGATTCGAATTCATTCGTTCGTGTGTTTACACAACTGATGCCGATGAGATTTCAAACCGCGAAAGTTTTTTTAGTTCTCTCCGCCGTCTTTAGTTTTCTGTATCCAGGGATGATTTCAATTTTCGATTCTGCTCCGTTATGTGGGAGGAAAATTTACGCATCTGTGTCAGTGATTCTGATAATTGAATCCGAATACTGTTTCCCAACCTGTGTGTGATTTGATCAATATACAGTTGCTTAGAGGGAAAAAAAAAACAATATGTTCATTACATATATAGATTTATAAGTGTTGACTGCTATATTGCAGTGTGTAATTCAATGGAGCTGGTGAAACAAGATGGGAATGATTCACTCGACATGCTCATCAGACATGCGGTTGGAAAAGACCCTTTTCTCTCCTTCCCTAGACCTGAAAGCAGCCCAGTCCAGCTCTTTCAGCTTCTCCATACCTTAGAACGACCAGGTAATCCCAAGTTCCTCAATTTTCTTCACATCTCACCATTGGATCTGACATTGTTGTCACTGACTGAATACTTCTCTAGCGTTGGATTGGGTGTTTGTGTGGATCTATATAGTTTTAGTCTTGAGAGGGTTTATCGTATTAGCCCATTGAGTTCTATAGATCCAAGTGGTTGTTGAAATAGCATGTGTGGCTTAGGGGTATGGTGCCTGGAGTTTATTTGATGTTCTATTTCGTTCCCAGGCTGGCCGTTGCTGACTCCTTTGAAGATACAAATGCAGAAGTGTGAAAAGTGCTCCAGGGAGTTTTGCTCTCCTGTGAACTATAGAAGGCATAGCCGCATGCATCGGCGTTTGAGAAAGCCTGAAAAGGTTTTGCTTTAGTCTGAACTTGACTCTACTATCTTGATTTATATAGTTGCTTTAGTCTTTTTTTTTTTTTTTTTTCTTCGGAGTCATCTGACGATTGCGTTTACATGTTTACAGGATTCTGGCAAAGAGAGGGATGCACTGGGAGCCTTTTGGAATAAGGTAGTTGTCCCTCTATTTGTCTTCTTACAGTTATTGCTGATTCGATTGGTTTCTTTTCTTTAGGTAATAATGATCATGTTCAATCTCTCTGGTTATTTTCAGCTCTCTGTAGCTGATGCAAAGGAGATTCTTTCATTAAAGAGCATGATGCTTGAGGTATTATGATTCCCACTGATGCTTTCCATTTTTTTTTTAGCAAAAACATTTTGTTATCCTCTCTCATTTAAAGTGCATGGAGTAGCATTAACATGTTCTTATGACTCATTTCGTTGTTGTTTGTCACATCATTTCTATGGGTTCGGACTATATATCAATGCCTTATTACTTCTTTCCTTCATTAGTTCGGACTATATATGTTTTCTAGAGTGCCATATGACTTCATCAGGATTATAGGATTCGTTTCCAAATAAATACCTTTTAGTTAAAAAAGCAAGAATATACCACTATCACAGGCTTATGAGTATGCATACCTGATCCATGCTGTCCATTTCTTGATGCCTTTTCTCTAGCATTCTATTTCTGCATCATGAACATGGGTGACTACTTTATATGCTTTGTAGAGTTTTCCAACTTAAGATGTTTTGTTTGAATTCTTGTAGGATGTTCCTGGGGCATCAGTGGAGTCAGGACTAATGTCACTTATCGAAAAACCAGGATATACTGCTCTGCCACAATATTATCTAAGAGCTGGTTCTGAACTTTTGGTATGAACCTCATCTCTCTCTTGACGGTTTCTTTTTTCCTTCCTTGATAAAATATCCTCAATGCTCAACCTCATGGCTTATATATGTTCCTCTTTCTCCAGGATATTGTCCAGGCAAGACCACCTAGGTTTCCAATTTCTTCGCAGGAACTTTTTAGCATTCTCGATGAGGCAAGTGAAAAAACTTTCCTGTCCAGCGAGGCTGCACCAATGCAAAAATACATTTTTGACGGAGAACTTGGAAAAAATATACTGGAGACTAAAAATGTCGTTGCTTGCGCAAGCTTTCTTCTGGAACAGCGATTGGTAAAGTTTTTCCTTCAAGGTTTCATCATTCCTCTCTAGTTGACGAAGCAAAGTGTCTAATACAAGGACTTTGCTTTGCACGTATCTGTTACATGTGATTTATATCTTGGTGTTCTTAATGTAAAGATTAAAGCATGGCTTGCTGACAAAGATGCGGAAGCTCTGAGGTGCCAAAATTTACTGGTTGAAGAGGAAGAAGCTGCTCGAAGAAGGTGCGTGCACTCTAATTGCAATGCCAGATATATAACATTACGAAATCGAAGATTCTCTAAGTCTGAACTCTGAATTGGTTCCCAAGTGTTAAGTCTTATTCACTGGTATTATGTCCGGAGCAGACAAGCTGAGCTCTTGGAGAGGAAGAAGAGGAAGAAGCTAAGACAGAAAGAGCAGAGAGTAAAGGTCCAGAAAAAAAACGCTAAGGAAGACGAGAGTACCACATCAGAAGAACAACAATCTCCAGCTGAGTCATCAAGCCCATTATCTGTAGCTTCAGATTCCGAGGCACAGAGATCAGATTCCATACCATCTGAGGATTCTTCATCCTTAGAGGACCCTCAAGTTTTGGAAATGGACAATGGGAGAAACAGCGAAACTCAAGCGCCAATGGTTGATGATGATGGTCTTGGTAATGGCCAAAACGTGGAAAGGAAAGGTGGCCGTAGGCAATTGGAAAGATCACAACATGGAATGCCGAATGGGTTCCATGGTAATCATGCATCAAAGCTTGGAGGCATGCGAAAGAATGGAACTAACAGAGACGCAAGAGCCAATACTACTAAAGTCTGGAGCCGAAAAGTGGATAACCCCAAATCGATATCACCAGGTGCAGCAGCAACTCAACTGAACCAAACAAAGAACAGTGAAGTTCTGATTGGATCGGTGAGTGTAACTATCCGAAACAGCTGTCCAAGTGGAGAACATAACCAAACAAAAAACAGGGAGGAGGAGGGAAGGACAAAGACTGTTGGGGCGAAACCTGCATCTGAGCAATCAATTGTAAAAGTATGGAGACCAGTGAGCAGTCAGGGAAGGAAAGTCTCAACAGACTATGGGAACGCAGACGATAAGAACTTAAACGCAACTGCACCCGAAGTTAAGAACGCTCACCGCTTGAGCTTGCAGTTCAACAACCAAGAAGCAAAGGCGTTTCTTGCAAAGAGTATGACTTCTTTTAACTTTCTTTTCCTTTTCTATCTCCCATTAGTAATTTATATTTGGGGGTCTTATTTTTTTCAATACTTTGAAGTTGTTCAATCAATCTGAATTGGTTTGTCAGGATGGAAAGAGGCAACATCTGCAGAACACGTGACGTTGGTTCTGTCTCAGGAAACAGACATGTTGGGTAACAACACTCACGAATCCTCAAATGGTGTCCTAACCGCCGCAAGACCAAAGCTCAGGATGAAACACGAAAAGGGCGCGAAGGTTAAATATGTTCCAAAACAGAGGATTCCTTAAAGACGGTCTTGATTCTGGACGAGATAGTATCATTCTTTTTAGGTATACCAAAAGTGCAGTCTTAGCGAGAGTGACAGATCGTTTTTTTTTTTTTTTCCTTTTGCTTCTAGAGAGATTTTTTCTTGAGTTTTAAGGGTTTTCTTCATTCTTTTTTGGCGATAGATGAGATTGATTTGTTATTTCATTGACCTTTTTTTCCATTGTGAGGGTTTAAACATGAAAGTTGAAACTTTGAAATAGGTTTTCAGATTTTTTTTGTGGAAAATTAATCTCTTAAGTCCTCACCATTTCAGACTCTCGAACTTAAAGCAAATGTTAATTGATTTGATTAGCGCATATGTATTTGGTTGTACAAGTATAATGGACCATAAATAACGAGACATAAACTATGAAAAGATTCATAGTTTGTGGGAAAAAGACAGTACTTTTCTGTTTATATTCTTGTTAACAAAACAATATAAGACTAAAGTACATCAAGCTTGTTAAATGATGAAAAGAATATTATATATATCAGTACAACATAGATTCCTACAATGCAAAGCTATTTTTATGTATATATAATGTATAGTTGTTAGACCCCAATCTCTTTACCATATCACTTAATTGCTTCCACTGTTAAAGAGGTTTCTCTGTTGGGTTATGAAGAAGATGAAAAGGCATTGTTTTTGTTTTTTTCCCTCAGTTTGTCAACTGAATCCAGACCGTAACACCGGAAAGAAACTCCAACTGTTTCCTGGACTGTTATCACCTTTTCCTGCGACCTTCTCATGCGCCCACCACTCTGATCTAACCGCTGTTCTCTCTATCATCTCTTCCTTTGTGTTATCAAACTTGAACTCTTTGTTCGACCCTAGCGAATACGATCTTAGCTTCTGACTCTGCTCGCTCTCTGTTTCTCCCGAAGCTTTATTACCAGAAACCGAGCTACTCCATCTGTTTGTTGGCGAAACCGCCTCATAGGTGTGGTCGCCATTCGCTTTTACATGTAAACAATCATCTAAACCAGCTCGGTTTAGCTTGCTTGCAAAACAACGTGCAACGTCCTCACCGGTTAACTCGAAAGAAACCCTGTGACTAACCGCGACAGGCTCATCATGCCTTGATGACCCGTGATCCGAATTGGCTAAAGACGCAACCTCAGCGATCTGAACATCCAAAAGGCTGCTTTCGAGAGGCGTGAGATTTCCAGAACCCCTTCTTGAAACCATCTCTGCACCATTTGGTGTCACAGCACCAGAAGCAAGCTTTGACCCGAGTCCTCCACCACCATCAGGAGTCAAAGCACCTGAACCCAACCTTGAACCTTGACCAGCTGGTGTGATGGATCCAGAACCGAATCTCGACCCCCATTTACGCGCTGTGAAGTGCTCGAAACCAAGAAACTTGGGAGGTTCCCCGATACGAAACTCAATGATGGAGCATTTACCCGGGTAAGGAGAAGAAGTACCTGAGTTTGAGATCACTGAACCAGGAGAGATCAGATTACCACCTGGACTTCCTGGATACACTTGATGAGACTGAAACTCGTAATGTGCGGCGGAAAACTTCTGATTCATTCCCCCACTGTTCCTCCGAGCTCGCTCCAGTGAAGATGTAAGCAACTGAGCAAAGGGCACTTCAGGGGAAGAAGGTGTTGTGGAAGTCATTTGACCTGACTCTGGCGGTGGCGTGAATGGCGCAGTGGATGGTCGGGTGGTGAAGGCAGAGTCTACCGGAGGAGTTACGGGTTGAGTTTCGTGGGCGTAAGGTCCAATAGCAAAGGCTGAAGGCGGTTCGTTTCGGGAATAGGTATTAACGGTCAGTGAAAGTAGACCAGCAGGAGGAGTGTGGGACACAGATGGAGGACCTGATTGCAGAAACGATGCGGGAGATGAAGGAGGAGCTATAAAGGGAAGGAATATTGAAGTTGAGTTTGTCGAGGAGCTTTGGACTGTGGCTGCCACAGGAACTGTTCCGGATGCAACCGGTTCGGGCACTAGCACCGCGTGGCCGATCCGCTTATTGTTCTTTTGTGATCCAAAACACCAGTACAGGCTCCAGCAGCTTCCCCATCTTTTCTTCTGAAGTTTCAAGAAACAAGATTCTTGAATCAGATAAGAGAGTCAAAGGAGCTATAATCAAGGTTCTAGAAGATGAACAGTTGAAACAAAAATGAGTACATGATCATGCTGTTAAATTTCCATTAATCGCCTTTTTCTTACACCTTAATCTTGACGCATATGAAAAAAAAAAAATCATACTTTAAACTAATTTTAATGATATCAGGAATCTATAAGTATATTATCAAGAACACAACAACTCTTTAGTCTCGCTAAAGCCACATCCTCCTCCAGTGGAGAAAGCAACAAAAGATAAAAAAAGTCAAGCAAAAATTCATAAAAAAAAATTTTCAGCTCAGCGGTTGCATGAATCCAGTGATGATCACAAACAGTGGCATTTTAAATACATGAAAAACTGATATTTCCTATCTTTCGTAAAATGAAAAAAAAACGAGATTGAATCCAAGCTCGAATCTTCTTCAATCTCTTATCTTTCGTAAAGCACTCTGCCATATCTTTCGTCCTAAATAATACAGCAATAACAAGGAAAAAGGCAAAATTAATTTGATTATTTCGTCACGTAACGTAACACTTGCAAAACCGGATCAAACATCAAAATCCCGAAATTCTCACTTTCAAATAATCCATTTCTTTCAGCAATTAATCAAACATAAGCTGTAATCACGATCCACCGTCAGAAGAAAAAAAGTCAGCAATCAAACAACAATACTGATCCATGCCTGATGACCACAAGAAGAGAAAAAATAAACACATTCACACAAACAAAAAAAAACAAAAACAGAGCTCACAGTTACCTGCACGGACGACGGCTGTACTCGAGACTCGGCGGAGGCGATGGCGGAAGCGGCGGCGTTCACCGTCTCGACGCTATTGTTCACGTTTCTCATACCTTGGACTTCGATTCACCAAACAACTAACATCCAGATTTGCAAACTCTCCCCACTACTTCGATCTCAGCAATAACGAGTAAGAGATGATTCCCGGTAAGAATCAAACGAACAAAAAAAATCGGAATGTAGTAAATGTGAATGGAAACAAGAGAATAAATAAGCAAAAGGCTTTATTTTTCTGATGATGGATGAGCCTCTCTCTCTCTCTCTCTCTCTCTCTCTCTAACTCTCTCTGTCTCTCACCTGTCGTTATCTTTTACAGTTTTCATTCAATTTCCCACGAGATGATGCCACGTCACTAGAATAGACGGTTCGGACCCACGCGCTTCTATTTTTTTATTTCCTTTTTCAAGATTATTCGCAATTATTGTAATGGGTTAATATAAATATCATCATGCTAAAAATAATTGGGGAAAGAAAGACTAAAAAGGGAGGGTAACGCATAATAGTGAGTCCCCGATGCAGACAAATGACTTTCTTTTTGATTTTTTTTTTTTTAAAGGAAATTTGAAGTGACTAGAGAAAATAAATATTCAAGGAAAAAAGAAAAAGAAAAGGAAAGGCAGAGTGTGATACCAAAAATACCCTCGGATTTTCAGACGTAATTACAGGGTAATACCACTGAGAGTTGTAATAATTATGGCTGGGCGTCGCGAAACTCGTGAGTTTGGTGCGTCTTTTAAGATAAATGCGCCGCTCTGTGTGTGTGTGTGTTCCGTTGTTTCGCGAGATTCTCGTGACTTACATTAGTATTTATTACCGTTCATATGTATAGTAAGATAGTTATTGCCAAGCTCGTGTTTGGAATGAATATATTAAATGGTTTCTTTTTCACTTAAGTACGTCTAATATTTCTGTATTTTGATATTCAGTTTATTATATATTCCCACAAAATTAATCTTAATTGATAAAACTTTAACTGTTTGAAAAATGTTCATTATATCACAACACCATCTTTCAAATTTATCATACTCGTTTTAGTTGGTTGAAATTCTTTGATCCATTGCTCGTTTCTCATATCTTGCTTAATGTTCGTTTAGTCATTTAGTTGCTTACTCGTTTATCGTCTCATCACTTATGATAGTCCAATTTCGTTTTTTTGTTTAGTTGCTATCCTTAGTTTCAATTAATCAAAACCTACCTTTGGTACATCATATGTTACTCTGTGTATAATCGTATCAGGTTAAAATTTGATTCACAAAAGTATAACAACTAACAAAAAAATGAATGGTGATCAACTCTTTAGTGAGTTTAGATTGGTTATGTAATCAATTTCGAAACAGTTTTTTCACATTTCGATTTTAGTGAAATCAAAATAACTTTAGATAGTTGTTAAGCTAAATCAGTGTCAATCATTACTTATATAGGATTATAAGCAACAAAAAAGAAATTAGACCAATGTATTAAAGAAAACACTGAAGAAGAAAAAAAAACACTTTATGGAATTTGAACGTGTACCTTAAATGGTGAAAGTTATATGATATATTCACATTACACCCTGAGTAGCCAATAGTTTTGCTAAAAATCAGTAAAAAAAAATTAAAGGCTAGAATTATATGCTTTCAGTACTGCTTCCATGGCTAAAAATCGGACTTGTAAAAGAGAATGCTTTCAAGATTATAAAATCATGAGACTACAGGGTTAGGTTATATATATAGCCTTGTATGATAGCATCTATGTCAGATAGAAAAAAGTTGAGTGATATTTGAGAATTTTATAGGAATAACTAAACTCAGTTGGCCTTCGAATCGGATCCGCACGTAGTAGGTGTGTTTGACAGATTTGTGCTATCCTATGATTTTTCTCACTATCAATTGGGCATTTGTCTATAAAGCGAGCCAAACAAAATAGGCTATAAAAATGACTTTTCACCCATATATACAAGAAGATATACATGCTACCTAGTTTCTTTGAAAATGAGACGACATTTGCTTGAAAGACTTTTGACAAATTTTGATTGTTTTTTTTTTCCAAAATGGACAGTTTTAATTCAAAACAATCACAAAATTACCAATTAGCTATAGTGACGTCAAAGGAATAAAAGGGTCTAGAAGTGAGCGATCAATTATACGGTGGAAGTGGATGGTCAGCTGAATGAGTTAAAAAGAGATTCTTCGGAACCAAATCGAATGATTGTGAACGGTCTTGAGAAAAAAGGCGTACCACACTATACGAGTAATTAGTTTATCTAATAAGCAGTTGACTTTTAAATAATTACTCATTTAGTTTTTTAGTTCCTTTTTTTTAATATAACTAAAATCTTTTTTTTTGGTTGAATTAATATAACTAAAATCTAGAAACAGAGGAGATGTTACTGGTCTTAGCCACCATACTTTTTGGTAATGGAAGATCTTCGAAGATGTATGAATTATGATTTTGTATGGTTTATGAATGATTAAAGTAAACCAAAGCGACAACCAAAAAAGATTTGAGAGGGTAGTTTAGTCAATTTTATATTTCACCCTTATGGGCTAAGAGAGGCGCACGTGTGCAGTACCATTTCCTTCTTCTTTTTCTTTTGTTGAGTTGCGTAATGACTTTATGTGTGTACAGTGTACCCCTCGTGCGTGCGTACGAATGCGACTCTTTGCCTTTCTCTCTTGAGAAGAAAGAAAGATATTCACTTTTTTTTAGAGTATTTTACAAAACACTATGGCAAACCAAAGATGTTAGAAACTAAGAAAGTGGGCAATGAATCTTTTTGTGCAAGTGATCAAAGAACCGTTCGACCATTTTCAATCTTGTCATGAAGATGACAAGTAAAGCAGCCATACCAATAAAACATGTGACTACTACTATAATAGGAGGATTTCTCTTTACTTTTACTAACTCTTTTTACCTTGACTTTTACAATTACTTTACAGATGATTTGCTTTTTTAAGGTTATGTGGATTAGGGGCACACACTTAGGTAAATCAATCTCCACTTTACAATAATAAAATTTACTTTTCTTAAACTACAAACTTTCAAGTTTCAACACTATTTTCATTTTCTTCTCTTTTCATTTTTTCTCTGCTTTTTAGATCTCATCTGATATGACTTAAAGTTACACTTGTAATTTTCATACATACTATGCTCGTAATCAGAAGCAAAGGCCACTACCCCATGGGCTTTCTTCTGACTTTTCTTCTTGCTGCTCTTAAGGTCTTGAGAAGAACCTTCTTTATTTTTGATGAGAAGGCAAATTTTGAGCTTTCTCGGCTTAGCGACTCTTTCTTCGAACCTTTTGGTATGTATTGCCCCATAACTATAGATCAGATCCACCAGACGAGAAACTCAATTCCGCACTGCTGCTGAGTCGTCAGACTTATCCACCAAGGTATTCGTGGAATTTCTGTGAATTGCGTTGGGGGAAATCTATCAAAGCTAGGCAGATAGATAGACTCCTTACGATAGTTTATAGAGTTTCGTTTATTATATCTATTTCTGTCCCTACCTTATACTATCCTTCTCCATTTACACCAATTCAGCCGACTAGACCAATAGACACACGATTCATATAATAATCCGGACCAGTTATGTTTTTCATTTGTTTAAATCCTAAAGACAGTGGCAAAATCCATTATCTGAAAATATAATAATTTCAAAATAATTTGTTAATAACTTAATATATTTTTGCCATCTATATAATACACACATGAATTATATAGACTACAAATTCTGGTTATTATTATAGTTTGTTTATATGTCTAGTGGGATCACAACTACTGAATGTGAGTTATTTATAATGATGTAATATGTTCATTAATTGTGAATTATAATGAAATAATGTTAAGATATCTAGTCCAGTCTAACAACAAGTCAACTACGTAAAGCTTCACTTATCCACACATCTGGTGATCGAAAGCTAATACTTACATACATATAAAGGAAGCATATAAACTAGAAATGGTTGATTATTGACAAAATTTTACATCCAAAGGTGGTCATCCACTAGCAGTCACATGGTTATCTACTAGACATTGAACATGATAAAAAGTGCCAAATAAGTGGAATAACCAAATGGGAATCTTCTTCATTCATAAAAATAAAAACATTTCGAGCCTATGACCTAGCTATCTCCTCTATTATATTTATATAAAAATTAATTTGACAAATAGGGGGAAAAGTTTATAATTTAGGAAAGTTATAATGATTGGTAGGGAGAGACTCGAAAAGAAAGAAAAAAAAGGATGGGGGAGGAATGGGCCCTATTTCCCTCCAACATCCCACATGCACACTTCCTCTCTCCATTCTCTTTCATTTATTTCTTTCATTCTAATTTATCCATTTCCGTGTTTCATTATTTCACGAATTCATTGATTGTGATTTATTAGCCTATAATTTGTGTTTTAATTGAATGTGAACATATTAACTCACTGATCATTTTGATTTAGTATCATGTGTATATGTCTTTGTTTGTTAAACTCAAGTAAGATTAGTTTGAGCATAATTTTGCTTAAGAATCTGAAACAAAAACAAAAAACAATCAATGCTTCTCTTAAAATTTATCAAATCCTGTATTTGATAGTGGACCAAACTCATTAGAATTGTTTTTCTTTTTTAATCGTGGTTTGGGTCCAATAGGAGGAGTTGCTTCATATGAAGGCCCTTACTATGAAATTAAGGCCCAAGTATTTAGTAGCCCAGGTAGAAAGAGAATTCTACAGCCGAAGTTAAAAAATTTAAAATACAAGGACCTATGGGTAAATAAGGCAGCTTCTAAACCCTCTAAAAACCCTAGAAAACACTTGTATAAAACACACACACAGGCGCAGCTTCATCGGCCGTTCGACGTTCCCTCTTTCTTCGACAGCTTCTCTTGCTAATCGCCGTCACTTAACTCGAAAAGCAAAGATGAGACCTCCTCTAACTGGTGGTAAGAAACCCTAGCCGCCGCTTTTTTGTTCTTCTGTTCCTTCCATTGTTTAGTTTTAAAGATTTAAAATGGTTAGTGTTTGTGTGTAAAACAAAGTGTGTAAACACACATTCTGTGTTCGTTTAGTCGGAACTCTCTATGTATAGCTGAACTGAATCTTAAGTTGTTCCCTTTAGCTTAGAACTGTCTTTGTGTATTCGCTATTTCCATCAGATTGGTAGTTGAAGGTGATTATTGAGTCTCTGTTTTAATGGTGTTTTTGTGTTCAGGACGTGGTGGCGGTGGGTTCAGTGGTGGACGTGGTGGCGGTGGATACAGTGGCGGACGTGGTGGCGGTGGGTACAGTGGTGGAAGAGGTGGAGACCGCGGTGGACGCAGAGGAGGGAGAGGTGGAGACCGTGGTGGACGCAGCAGAGGTGGTAGAACCGGCAGAGGAGGTCCACCAGGTCGTGGAGGAATGAAGGGAGGTAGCAAAGTGATTGTGGAGCCACACAGACACGGAGGAGTGTTCATTGCAAAGGGTAAAGAAGATGCTCTTGTCACTAGGAACTTGGTTCCTGGTGAGGCTGTTTACAACGAGAAGAGAATCTCTGTTCAGGTACAGAATAGGATTGCTTGGTTGATTAATTGATTCGATGTTTGTTGTTTCTTTCCTTTTGGATGAGATTCTTAATTTTGTTTTGTGATTTGAATCTACAGAATGAAGATGGAACTAAGGTTGAATACAGAGTCTGGAATCCTTTCCGTTCTAAGTTGGCAGCTGCTATTCTCGGTGGTGTTGACAACATTTGGATTGTAAGTCGCATCTTGTTGTGAACCTTATTGTTGTCGGTGATTGTGAGACTTGTTCAGAAGTTGATTTGTGCGTGCTTTTGTTCGATGTAGAAACCTGGTGCTAAAGTTCTATACCTCGGTGCTGCTTCCGGAACCACAGTCTCTCACGTGTCTGATCTTGTTGGACCTGTAAGCAAAACTTAGTATTTATGACGATATCAGATTTTTAGGGTATTTTATTCGTCTCTTAGATGTGTTTTTGGTTGATGCTTATATATCGCCTGTCATGATTTGGTAGGAGGGATGTGTGTACGCCGTTGAGTTTTCTCACAGAAGCGGTAGAGATTTGGTGAACATGGCGAAGAAGAGGACCAATGTTATTCCAATCATTGAGGATGCGAGACACCCTGCTAAATACAGAATGCTTGTAGGCATGGTTGATGTTATCTTCTCTGATGTTGCTCAGCCTGATCAGGTTTGCTTTTTCTTAAATCGTATTATGAGCGTCTGCAACATTTTTCAGGATTGCCTCGAATCTTTTCAAACTTGGATTATATTTGATTTGTGCTTTATATGGTGTTCTGATGATGGCAAATGATGATCTTACTTGGATTCCCCTTCAGATCATTATGGGTGATGTAAACTCCAAGCTTCTGATGCTTAAGAATTTCCATTGGTTTTCGGTTCGGATTTATTCATTTGGGTGTTTGTAAAAATCTATCTTTAACTTTCATTGAAACAACTTCGAAATGGTTTTTTATCTTTTGTTTTGGTTATTTGGACTTAGAAAGTCTAAACTCATGATTAGAGACGGTCTCTACTTAAAAGCCTCCTTAATGTCCCTTCTTGTCTAATATTTTTAATGCCATTTCATCTTTTGGGATGTGTCTATCGTTATTAACATACCATTCTGAAATTGTTGTAATGTACTAAAATCCGTGCAGGCTAGGATCTTGGCTCTGAATGCATCATTCTTCCTCAAAACAGGAGGCCACTTTGTGATCTCAATCAAGGTTAGTAGCACAGTCCAAACAATTCATCATGTTCTGTTAATGTTCTCTTTCTTTTGACAGACACAGGTTAGTAAACATCTCTCTGTTTTTTTGCAGGCAAACTGTATTGACTCAACGGTTCCAGCAGAAGCTGTGTTCCAGAGCGAAGTGAAGAAGCTGCAACTGGAGCAGTTCAAGCCAGCAGAGCAAGTGACGCTCGAGCCATTTGAGCGTGATCATGCCTGTGTCGTTGGTACCTACCGTGCGCCTAAGAAGGCCAAGGCGGCTACTGCTGCTTAGAACTTTAGAAATTCATTAAGTGTTTGGATTTTGCTTTTTCTCTTGGTTCTCCTTAGAACCTTTAAGGGTTTAGTGGTTTTTCCGAGTATGATTTTGTAATCATTTTGAACCTTGATAGGCTTATTTTGTTCACCAGACTTTCCAACGTTTAAGTTAACTTATTTAACCAGATTTTGCTATTTGAGAGTCTTAAGATTTGTATTAAAAAAACACATGGCATGTGAATTTATCCTCGTGGTGTTGATGTCATTGGTAAGAACTCGAGAATCCACACGTCTTAACCTAAACATTGCAATAACACTCGAAGTGAGAATAACCTTAATCAAAGTATATATATATATATATTCATATCCCCACAAGCCAGAGAACTACTGAATCCAACGATCAAGAAGAACAATATAAGATTTCTTAACACATCTACTTAGGGACATTAAGATCTATCTATCAGAAACGAGAACAACCCTAAACCAATTGCTAATATCCGTTTTTGATTGCCATTGTAAATCATAATCGGTCCATTGGAGAAATACCCAATTCGAACTTGAAGAACAATAAAAAAATGATATATATTTTTCTAAAAGATTAGTACATGTACATCGAAGTCGCAACATCCTTTGTTTTAAGAAAATGCAAATTATAGCAAAATTAATGTCAGAAGTGGGATTTGAACCCACGCCCTCCTAAGAGGACAAGAACTTGAGTCTCGCGCCTTAGACCGCTCGGCCATTCTGACTTTCTGTAGCAAGTGCGTTAGAAAATAGATATAGTGTATTGATTGTATTAGATTCTCAAGAACATCATTTGAAGTTCTACCATTAGAACTATACAATTTTAATTATTCTTGAAGAGGTTTTTAACTTAAAAATTTTCAAAATTTATAATTAAAATAATGTTAAGAACCCATGAAGGGTTCTTTGCATTGGAGATGGTCTCAAGGATTTGGAAGTAGAAGTCACTTGAATTTACATTGAAGACTAAAATCTGATAAAATTTGCGTTACACGAGCAAATGAACCTAATATTCGTTACTTCAATTCCACTTCTTCTCCTGGAAAAAAGTGACAAAAGCATTGTTACATCATCACTGAATGAACAGTTTCTTGTCACACCCAAAAAAAAAAAAATGAACAGTTTCTTACAGCGTAAATAGCAAATAGAGTTACTACTTACTACTGGTGCTGCCAAACCAATGGAAAACAAACAACAAAGCCAAGACTTAACATATTCATATAAGCTAAACAATAATAATAATTAAAAACACAATCACGCAGTTACATCCTTCGATGTCGTCTCGCTCCCTCCCCATTTCTTCATACGTTCCGTCGTCTCCTCAACCTGTTGATCATCACAGTTTTTTAAAATTTTATATTTCCATAAGTCAATTGATCTCAGTGAACATGCTACGGTTTTGGGTCTCAGGTTCTTTTACCTCTTTATTCCAGTCTGTCTTGTACAGAACAAACATCAGTAACAACGTCTGAAGTGCTGTCCCGGCTATCATTCCCGACCAAAGTCCCTGAAAACGTTATAATCTCTCACGTATCAGTTTTAAAACATGCATGTCCGAAGATTTACATTATTAATGTCATTCTCTGTATTCACTTACCATCACTCCCAAGTTTGCTTTGTAGCCAAGAAGATAGCCAAAGGGAAGGCCGAAAATGTAGTAACAACCCAAGTTTATATAAGCCACTAAACTTTGCCAACCACCTCCAACAGCCACACCTATAACATGATGAACAAACCGGGACGGTTATGGTCCGATGAGACCTCTGGTTTGGTTTTAATGGAACATGAGAGGAATTTTAGATTTTTGTTACCGGAAATGACTGTCTGCACGCTGTTGAGAACCATGGTTATACCAAGAAGATAAGCTAGCTTGGACACTGCGTGTTGTATTACTTTGCTGCTCGTGAAGATGATGGCAAAATGGTCCCTGCCTATGATGATAGCCACCATAAAGACAAGACCGATGAGGAGAGACTGGAACACCGTGACATAGACAGAGTATTTAGCTGCTCGCGGACGGCCTAAGCCAAGCTCATTGGAGACACGGACACTAATATAATACACAAGTAAGCAGACATATGAGTTTATTATAAGTCTAATAATAGTCAGCTGAATAAGATTAAATTATACCTTATAGCAGCGTTTATTCCGATGAACAACATGGCCTCCACGCCATTGAGATTCATGCTGAAATGTACAAATCCAAAGAGTGAGAAAATGTTGAAGAGTGATGATAGATAATATAGAAGCATTGTAACATGTTGATGAAAACTCACCATATGGAAAGGGAATCAACCGCGATAACAGCGTTGTCAAGTCGACCAGCAAGGACGATGATACTGGCCATGTACCACATCTCAAGACAAAGCATAACAGCAGATGCAATGGAGAGCCTAACGAAATCCCAAATATCTCTAAAGGCCTGCGGAGACAGACCGGTCCAGCCTTCGTTACACCAACCGATCACATAAACGACTTGAGCGATCGCTATTCCCCAGTTGGTGAGATTAAACGCCAAGGCGGCACCGTTCGTTCCCCAACCAAACACGAATATAAAGAGCCACAGCATACCGACGTGTAGGAGAATAGCGAAGAACCCAATCACAGTGATCGCGATGACTTTGCCTTGCGCTTGAAGGAACTTGGAGGTTGGGAAATTGAAGGCGAGTGCGAAGATATAAGGGATGGTTAGAAGAGTGAACTCTCCAGCTGGAACCGCGATCTCCTCTGCTTGACCGAGGAGTCTCAGAACCGGCGTGGCGAAGATGTAAAGAGGAAGGAGGAAGATGCAGGAGACGAATAGGATAAGCCAAGATCTCTGCAAATAAACCCCTAACATATGGACTTGGCCCGCTCCAAACGCTTGGCCACAGAGTGTTTCCAGTGCACTTGCCATGCCAAGCTGCAGTTTTCAAACCAGACATTAGACTCAAGACTGCCACACTAACCGAAAGTGGAACAAGTTCATTCGAATATAGACTGCATGAACAGCAATTAACTTCTCTTACAATTTTCCCTATGAAAAAGTCTACTTTGTACATTAAAATTGCCAAATTCACTATTTAATTTAAATGACCTTTAAAAAAATATCAAATTGTTAAAATTACTAACTTAGAGACCCTATTCAAATGTTTTATATGTATGCGTTTTGGCATCGCATTATATGTAGGATAGAGTCATAAAGATTAATTCGAATTAACAGTAATTTTTTTAACTTTATCGATTCCATATTCGAAATCTCACAGGTAAAATCGATTACCAGGAAGCCGAAGGAGAAAAGGCCGATGACGGAGAGGGAGATGGAGACGGCGGAGAGCTCGACCTCGCCGATATGGCCGGCGAAGATATTGGTGGTGGATGTAACGCCATGCTCGCAGATGATGTTGAAACCAATGGGAGCAGCGATCATCCACATATTGGCCGATTCTGTAGAAAAAACCCGCTTGAAATCGCTCCATGTTCTCGCCGGAGCATAAGCCTCCTCGACCTCGCCACTGAGAAACGGCGTCCTTGGATTCATCATCTTCCGAATCTCAAAATGTTAAACCCGACTTGTCTCTTTATTCTCTCCCACTGAGTCAATATTGGTTGCGGAACTATTATGTGTTTTGTTTATATAAGAAAGTCGTTGAATCACGCGCTTCTCTCTCCACCCCCTTCTTTTGTCCATACTAATCAAAATACCACTTATCAAGTAAGATTGATTATGATAGTGAAAAACTGAAGGAGATATTTAAAAAATTTAGTCTTCTTGGTCTTTGAGAAGAGGATAATTAACAAGCAAGAGATTTCCTCATGAAATTGAAGAGTAGATTAGGGTGAGGCTATAACGGATGATGCCTGAGACACAACGTACGTTGATGACGTATCAGAAATATCCATAAAAGATTATACAAACGAACTTAAGAACAGAGACATGATGGCGTCGCCCATGTCGTGTCTCTCTTTAATGCTTTTCTTTTTTAGCCATCCATATTAACACTTGTATTTTACTAGGATAGTGTTGTGAAAGTTTGGTGGAGAAATGTCAAATGGAAACTGAAACTCGTAACCTTTTTTAAAAAAAGATTGATCTTAGTGAAACTGAAAGTATCTAGTTACTAGTAAGTGTTCCAGAAAATTAAACTCCCAAAAGTGTTTAATCCATCTAAGCTCAAATAAAAATAGAAAATAGATACCAAAAGTGAAGAGGTGTCTTTTAAGTACATATAAAAAAGTCATTCCTATTAATTGCATAAGAAATAAAATAGGTTAGTTATGTAACGTAGATAAAATGAATATATGTATAGGAAGAACTGAAGAAGAGTCAGAGAAGGAGTCCTCTTTTTTTTCAGCGTTTCTACGGAAACGACAGGGTCCAGTCCAGTGGCCAAGTGGTCCAGCTTTCCTTTTGGTTGGTCTATATAGGTCGTCGTCGTTTGTATTTATTTCCCTATTTCATAATTAATTTTAAAGCCTTTTGTCATTAAACCAGACATTTTCCCATTGACTTGTTTTATTTAATAATGCAAGTCAACAAAATTGAAAAACGAAAATTCTTTAACCGAGCCCACCCAGTTCACCAAAGGCCCGGCCCGGTTCATACCAAAGCAAAGCATTTCCTAAAGTTTATTACAAATTGAAAAAACTTACAAATATTAGTTAAAGTATGATGAGATCTATTGACAAAACGAATTTTAGAACCATAATCTATTTAGATGTTATTTTGTCATTTATCCGTCGTGAGTACTCGAATTTAGGCAATGCAACAAGCATTTGAGGAGATATAACCAACAAAATCAAATGCATCATGTTGAAAACAGGGAGACCTAATAAGTGTTTGTGTTCCACCCTTCTGTTGTTCCACTCACGCCACCTATTACAGAACAAAAAATACACATAAAAAAAATCAAATTAGCAAAACCATTAGCTTTAAATCAAATCATCACCATGATTTAATGGATTTTGGGTGATGAAATAGCAAAGACTAGTGTGCTATGTCCAAACCTAGACATTGCAATAACACTTGAGACGAGGATGACCCTAATCAATGTATAAGTGTGCGTATCTTCGCAAGTCAAAAATCACAATGAAGAAATGCTGAATCCAACGTTCAAGAAGAAAAATAAGAGATTTCTCAGAAGAGCTTATTAGGACACTACGACCTATCAAGCAGAAACGAGAAAGTAAGACATGCATGCATTCTTAAAAAGAAAAAGAAAAATATGCAAAGTATAGCAAAATGATTTTTTTTTTAAAGAAATTATTATGTCACAAGAGGGATTTGAATCCATATCCTCCTATAGGAGGACAAGAACTTGAGTCTCGTGGCTTAGACCGCTCGGCCATCCTGTGTTACAAGCACGCTAAAAATTACGTACTGATACTATATTATTTTCCACCGGTAGAAGAATAAAATGGAAACATACAATTGACTTCTGAAGGAAATGGAAGTAGAAGACAGGAATCTATGTACAAGTCACTTGAATTTGCATTGAAGACTAAAAGCCGTCTAATAAAATTTGTGTTACACGAGAAAATGTACCTAACATTTAGTTTACTCCAAGAGAAACAAAGTGACAAAAGCATGCATCGTTACATCACTGAATGAAAAGTTTCCTACAGCGTAAATAGTAAATAGAGAGTTACTGGTGCTGCCAAACCAATGGAAAACAAACAAAAAAGCTGAGACCTACATGTTCATATATATAAAGCTAAACAATAATTAATTAATTAATATTAACAAAAGAAATAGTCACGCAGTTACATCATTCGATGTCGTCTCGCTCCCTCCCCATTTCTTCATACGTTCCATCGTCTCTTCAACCTGTTCATCACAGTTTTTACAATTTTATATTTCCATAAGTCAATCGATCTCAATGAACCAGTGTATATACTACGGTTTTGTGTCTCAGGTGTTCTTTACCTCTTTATTCCAGTTTGTCTTGTACAAGACAAACATCAGTAGCAACGTTTGAAGCGCTGTCCCGGCTATCATTCCCGACCAAAGTCCCTGAAAACGTTATAATCTCTCACGTATCAGTTTATGAAACATGCATGTCCGAAAGATCTACATTATTCATGTCATTCTTTGTATTCGCTTACCATCACTCCTAAGTTTGCTTTGTAACCAAGAAGATATCCAAAGGGAAGGCCGAAAATGTAGTAACAACCCAAGTTTATATAAGCCACCAAACTTTGCCAACCTCCTCCAACAGCCACACCTAAAACAAGATGAACAAACCGGGACGGTTATGGTCTTATGAGACCTCTGGTTTTTGTTTTGATGGAACATGAGAATTTTAGATTTTTGTTACCGGAAATGACTGGCTGCACGCTGTTGAGAACCATGGTTATACCAAGAAGATAAGCTAGCTTAGACACTGCGCGTTGAAGTACTTTGCTGCTCGTGAAGATGATCGCAAAATGGTCTCTGCCTATGATGATAGCCACCATAAAGACAAGACCGATGAGGAGAGACTCGAACACCGTGACATAGACAGAGTATTTCGCTGCTCGTGGACGGCCTAAGCCAAGCTCATTGGAGACACGGACACTAATATATAGTACACAAGTAGGTAGACACATGATCAGTTTACAAGCTGAACAATGGGTTAAACAAAAGTTGTGTCAGATAATGATAGTACTACCTTATAGCAGCGTTTATTCCGATGAACAACATGGCCTCCAGACCATTGAGATTCATGCTGAAATGAAATGCAAAAAAAAAGAGTGGGAAAGATGTTGATGATACAAGAAGCATTGTAAAATGTTGATCAAAACTCACCATATGGAAAGGGAATCAACAGCGATAACAGCGTTGTCAAGGCGACCAGTAAGGACGATGATACTCATCATGTACCAGATCTCAAGACAAAGCATAACAGCAGATGCTATGGAGAGTCTAACGAAAGCCCAAATCTCTTTAAATGCCAACCAAGACAAACCAGACCAGCCTTCATTACACCAACCAATCACATAAACGACTTGAGAGATCGCTGTTCCCCAGTTGGTGAGATTAAACGCCAAGGCAGCACCGTTTGTTCCCCAACCAAACACGATTATAAACAGCCAGAGCATACCGACGTGTAGGACGAAAGCGATGAACCCGATCCAAGCAATCGCGATGACTTTGCTCTGCGCTTGAAGGAACTTGGAGGTTGGGAAGTTGATGGCGAGTGAGAATAGCTGAGGGATGGTTAAAAGAGTGAATTCTCCAGCTGGAACGGCGATCTCCTCTGCTTGGCCGAGGAGTCTCAGAATCGGCGTGGCGAATATGTAAATAGGAAGGAGAAAGATGCAGGAGACGAATAAGATAATCCAAGATCTCTGCATGTAAACGCCTAACATATGGACTTGACCAGCTCCAAATGCTTGTCCACAGAGTGTTTCAAGTGCACTTCCCATGCCAAGCTGCAGTTTTCAAACCTAAATTAGACTCTGTTTCTTGTCGATTTGTCACAAGAAGATGCTCTTGATTGATACATAGCAGAGTTACATGAAAGATATCAGTTAGAAGAAGAGAAAAGCATACCAGGAAGCCGAAGGAAAAGGTGCCGATGACGGAGAGGGAGATGGCGACGGCGGAGAGCTCGACCTCGCCGATATGGCCGACGAAAATATTGGTGATGGAGGTAACTCCGTACTGACAGATGATGTTGAAACCAATGGGAGCGGCGATCATCCACATTTTGGCCGACTCCGTAGCAAAAACTCGCTTGACGTCGCTCCATGTCCTCGCCGGAGCATAATCCTCTTCGACCTCGCCACCGAGAAACGGCGTCGTCGGATCCATCTCCGTGCGAGTCTCAAAATGTTAAACCCAAAGCTCACACAGACAGACTTCTCTCTCTCTCTCTCTCTCTCTCTCACTCTGAGTCAATGTTTGTTGCGGAATTATGGGGTTTTGGTTTATATAACAAAACCGTTGAATCACGCACTTCTCTCTCCCCTTGTTTTGCCATACTAATCAAATAATAACAATAATAAAAATTGAAGGAGTTATTAGCCTATTTTAGTTTTTGGGTAATTAGCGGAAAGGAAAAACAAAACGTACGAGAAATTTATTACCGAATTCGGCATGGAATTGAGAAGTAGATTAGGTAGGTGAGGCTAACGGGTGGTGCATGAGACACCACGTACTTTGACATATCAGAAATATGCATACAAGATTATTCAAAAGCATAAAACTGCTTTTCTCTTTTCCATCATTTGACATTTAATATTGATAGGGTAGTGTTGTGAAAGTTTGTTAGTGTAATGTCACATCAAACTTGTTACTCCTAGTTTATTTATCATGTGTGAGAATTATTTTCACGTGATTAATTTGTTTTTTTTTTTATAAAATTGATCCTAGTGATATAGTATCAACTATATAGTAAGTTGTCGAGAAGATTAAACTTGCCAGGATAGCTCGAGTTTACTGTTAGACAGTAAAATGAATACAGTATATGTAAGTTAATTAGGAAAAAAATGTTGAATCAATCTAAGCTCGAACCAAGAGTGGAAAAGTTGTCGTTTCCGAAAATAGGTTGATGTCCTTAAGTGAAGTATTAAAAAGTGAGTTACGTACCGTTTGTAAAATGAATATGAACAGGAAGAAGAATCGGAGAGGGAATTTTCTTCTTCTTTTTCATCGGAAACGACAGGGTCCTGTGGTCCCCTTTCAGTTTACGTCATCGTTTGTATTTATTTCCCTGTTTCATCATTAAACCTTTGTCATTAAACCAGTCAGATAAATGATGACATTTCCCATTGACTTGTTTTATTTAATGCAAGTCAAAATAATGAAAAAAATAAAATTCTTAAACCGAGCCCACCAACTTCACCAAAGGCCCAGCCCGGTCCATTCTGATTTTGTATCATAAATTATAATTAATAGAGCCATATTAATGCCAAAATAGAAAACAATTAATTAAAAAATACATGAAATTAAAAGACAAACCCAAAAAGGGGGCCACAATTTTAAGTCAAACAAGATTTTTTTTTGTGAATAATGAATGTACGCACATTGGGCTTTTACAGTAACCTCCTTTTGTGCTGCGTATCAGTGCCAAGAATTTTAAAATGGGCCAATGTTTTGCAAATGAGCTCAGATTAGTTATTTGATTTAGAACATTAAGGCTAAGCGACTCAGGTTCTTCATTCTTGTTACTCGTAATCTGATTATTCTTCTCTAAGGTATAAGTAGAAGTAGGTTCGTATGATGTTTTGGATTGCTAATGTTTCCACTGTCTCATTTCAATTCGGGTTGCTTGCCAATAATAACATATTGGACTATTTAAATGTGAACTGCAAAGATCCCTGCATGATTTTTACACATACTTGGTTAATAACTAAGCTATTTTTGTTTGTTAAGTAGAAAAAAAGAAGACAAGACTCTATCATAGCTACTGATGTCATCGTAGTTCTGCTATCCTGGTTTAATCTTAGCAAGTCATGAGAGGTTTTAATGGTTTCATGAGCTTACCTCGTTTTCAAGAATAGTTTATATGTTACTATAAATATAGATGGGATCAAAAGTTAACTTAACGCCTGAACTAGTATTTAGAATAATGTTTTTAAATAGAATGCTTGCGTTGGAGCTTTAAGTATAGGTCTCTTTCCTATGATGTGAATTATAGAATTTATGCCCCACCTAGAAGCAAAAAATTTGGAATTACTCAATTCATGAAAGGAATCTTCTTGACTTGTGTTATAAAGAATGGTGGGGTTCTTGCCGTGGAACAAACGTCAATGCTAAATCCCATTAAGAGCAAAATCTCCTAACGCATATACATCTATGTAAATCTTTTATACGACTTTAGTGGATCACATCCCTATCTTCTCCAAGTCAATTCCCTTTTAAAATAATACCAAACCAACTGTTCATAATAGAATGATCTTTAATTATCAAATATCTCAGATTTTCCAGTTCATTGATATTATCCTTGAATACATAACTTGAAATATGAACTTTATTGTTTAGAGATTCACAGATATGAGATAACTCATTTAAGTTGTCATAACCAGCTCTACTATATAAGTATTTGACAATTTTGATGTATTGTATTTGTAACCCATGCAATTGTCTATTTTTTGCACCCAAAAAGACGATCTCCACCCAAATCTATGTTAAAGTTTTTTCACATGTATAATTTTTTTGAGTAAAAAGATCATGTTTATAAGAATAATAGAAAACTTCGATCACATTATTGAGTATATTTGTTCACCACTTCTCTTTACATATAAAGATTTTGGGTTTCCTATATTTTTCGAAATCACAGTCAGAGAGAGACTCAAGAGTAGTTTTTTTTTTTTGAAAATGTCATTGTGCTCATTTAATTCCTTAAGTATTTGTAATTGGTAAATTTATTTTCTAAACTATCATGTGTGCAGATTAAATTCTCAACTTAGCGTTGACTTCGCAAATTTAGACATGAGAAAAGTCAACATTAAAGAAGAAAATGAAAACGTTACGATTGACTTTATATCTCAATCCAATTTTGCAAAGTCAATATAAAATCGATGAATTAATTTGCCAAATTAAAAATTAGAGAATTAATCTGCACAATGACAAAAACTAGAGAAATTAAATGATCATTTTTTATTTAAAAAATTATGATTATTTTCATAAATCATGTTTATCTGTAGAATACCATCAACTACTTTTTTAAGAATATTGTATTCTACAAATAATTATAATTTATTAAAAAATAATCATTATTTTTTAAATAAAAAATATCATTTAATCCCCTAATTTTTTTTAATTGTGCATATTAATTCCCCAACTTTGAATTTGGAAATTAATCCATCTAATTTATGTTGACCTTGCAAAATTAGATTAAGAAAAGCCAACAATAACGTTTCTGTTTTCTTCGTCAATGTTGACTTTTCTCATGTCTAAATTTGCAAAGTCAACACTAAGTATAAATTTGCCGATTAGAATTAAATAAATAAATTCTCATCAACAGTTACCATTTAACTTTCTTTTATTTAGGGAATCTCCCCCTAATTCAAAATCTCTTCAGTTTCAGTTTGGTATAAAACTGAATTTTGCAATCTTTTCCTTACGACTTTTTGTGCACTTTTTTAAAAAAATTCTCTACTCGTGTTATATTTGAAATTCTCGATGTTTGGAGGCTAAGTTCGCATACGAAAGTATTGGGGTCCAAAATAGAAAATAAAAAGAGTTGAGGAGCACCAAGGCAGCGAGAGAAAAAGTAGAAGAAGGAAACTCAAAGAACTGTCCACATGAGGAAGCCACTCAAAATTCCACGAGGCCATGTCTCGTCTCTGTTTGACCATTGACTTTTCTAGCTACAGCAGCCAAATCGAGGATTCCAGATTTTTTTAAAATATTTATTTCCTTATGCCAAATATATTATTTTTATTTCCATAATTGCAAAATATTTATTACACAAGAAAAAGGTTTGATCGCAAACCACAAAAAAGGAGGCCCAGTACCATGGAGATGGCAAGATCGTAATTTAACATTACACTGGAGGGTATTGTCGGTGTATAAAGGATGATAAATACGTGGTGATAGGGCACGAGGCTCTGCGCTGTTCATCCAAACAACAATAGAGAGAAAAGCTAAAGGAAGAGAAAAAAAGGATAATATTTTTTTAATTGTGCTCTGTGAAGACGACGACGAAAGAAGAAGACCTAGCTTCGCCGCCTCTCTCTGATCGGCGATTCTTCTCTGTCTTTATCTCCGGCTACTCGATTCTCCTAATTGGTCATCTGTTTGATCGATCTTCTTCTGTGTTTTGACCGAGACTTTGCACTGGTTAATAAATCCCGGGAAGAGTTGAAGGCGGTTGTTTGATAAATCGAATCGTGCGTTGCTGTTTGAGGCGAGATACGGTAGATTTGTGTGAAAGTCATCTGGTGGAGTTGATCTGATCTATCTCACATCGGTAGCGGTTTTGAGTGATGAGAAAGAGTTGGTCGACAGGTATATGAAAACCCTAGCTCTTTGATTTCTGCTCTTTCTATATGATTGGTTGCGTGTTCCTTCAAGAGGAGGAGATCGTTGTTCATCGATCCCGACGCGATTCGATTTTGGATGTATGCTTCTGTTAATGACGGCTAGGCTACGATACCGCTTCGAATCCTCCCTTGGCACGGCAGATCCATAAGGGGTGTTCTTTCGACCTCCAATTTCTTGGAAGATCTTGTCCTTGGTAATTGCTGGGTCAGTGGAAGAGGAACGACGGATCGCTATATTTTGACTCATCCATACTCTGGAAAGTCATAAAGATCATTCCTTTCTTCGTGTTTTATGGGTCTTGCCTAAGCTAGTAGACTCAAATCTGAGCTCTCATGTACCTTACCCTTTGACCCTTTTGCTTGAAAAACCAAAAAAAGATGCGGATGACTATTGATTCGTCTATATTCGACCTTATATGATAGATTTAGGACTGAGATATGTCCAATTGAAAAACCAAAGATGTTTTCGGTGACGGAGATTCATGGGTCTTCCTTTCTTTTTTTTCTGAACACCAGAATCGGTTGTCTTTTTATGGCTTTCTTATGGAGATTGTTTCTTTCAGGTGAGGTTACACATTGAGGATTTCACTAGGCATACACCCTTAACTTTGTGGGTCAAGTGGAAAACGCGTGAGGAAAAAGATATTTTAGCTGTGGTGAACCTACGTGGATGGGACTGCACTGAAAGTATGACAAGCACTGAAAATTTAGAGCTCAAGGCTACCATCAATAACGGTCTTCCTTGGAAAATGGTGGCTAAAGGTAGCAGGAGTTCGACAAGGCGTACTAAAAAACAAGTTGCACGAGCTGCTGCCCCTGATATTGAGGCAGACTACAAGAGTGCAGCAGGTGTAGCAGCTGTAAAAGATTCAGAATCAGAAAAGGTTTTCATCAGCTTCTTTTCCCATTTTGTCCTCCTGTCTTCCCTGCATCTGAAGGGATTTAGTTGGTCTCTTTATCCTAATGCTTGATTCTTTCGATAATGGCAGCTTGGCGTTTCTGTTCTAGGCCAGCATTTCGCAGAAAGGGTAGAGCATGTTCCTATAAAGAAACGGAGATATATGGTTCCCGCTCCATCACCTTTGAATAGGTCCTATGCCCGCGGTGAAGGCTCACAACATCGTGCAGAGATCAATCATTCTCTGCCTGTTTCGAGGTTGAACCCCAATCTAATGGGCGGGAAGACAGCGGAAGTCTCCGATGATAAACCCGATTGCGGCACTCATGACTTCTCTGGTATTAAGATACTTGCAGAGGTTGCTTGCAGTAGTGGTATGAGTAGTGATATTGCATCCGTAGTAGATGGTCAGCCTGTTGAACATGTTCAGCAGCAAAATGCTTTGACCTTATCTGCTCACGTGGAAGGTAATGATTCATCAACGGGGATTGTTGATGTCTCTGGGAAAGATTCTACGGTTGAATCCAGTGACAAGGTCGGGGAAGACAAGAGCGAAATCATAGAGCCTCAAAAAGTTCTGGTTGGTACTTCGGTTAATGCTTCGTCTGCTGACCAGAGTGAAGAGCATGTTATAGTAGCATCTAGTGGTGTGATAGTGGCTCAGAAGATCAGTATTGCTGTTTCGAATGAATCCTCAACAGAAAGGCCAAAGGAAAATGTGGAAGCAGGTGATAGCGGAAATTTAGCACCTCAGATTGAGGCTGTCACTGTCTCAGATAAGCTATCCGGTGATGAGCGAACGGGTAAGGGTAAGAACTCTGAATGCCTTACAGATGATAGGCTACACTGGGATTTAAATCTTCCAACAGATGCGTGGGGTCAGCCTTGTGATGCAATCGATGAAGCATCCCGAAGATACTCCGATGGAGAAGTCACCGAATCTGTTACAGAGAGCAGACGTATTGATGGAAATAAGGAATATGCGGCTGGTCCTCCAGTTGCATCGGATGTGCACATGAATACTCCATCCCTGTCTGGGCCTAAAGCTGAAGCCTCTGGTCGAAATGGGAAGGATTGCCAATCTGGTTATGACTCCCAGTTTGAGGATGGAGAGTTGAGGGAACCATACCCTTGGGAAGAAAACGAGGGTGATAGTGGAGATATTGAACAAGTGGATTATGGGTCTGAGCCAGAGAATGAGCGGTTATACTCTTTGGCTGAAAGTAATGAGAAGCTGGAGGACCTTGAGAAGGGAATCCTGGCAGAGACAATATGTGGAGCTGTGAAGTGTGAATCTGGCAATGTGCATGAAGGAAGTAGTGATATAGAGAAGCATGTCGTGGTTTGCATGAATGATTCACATTCAAAAGGATCTTCTCCATCAAGGAGCTTCGGTTCAAAACCATTCAGGGAGTTCTCTTCACATGAGACTATCTCTAGGAGAAGGCAAGTTGCTTCTGCTGAACCTCTTTTCTCATTTAATTCTTTATTTTGTTTCTTAGCTAATAAAAGTGATCTCTCTGTTTTCAGGCCTGATAGTTACGAGTTGAATGAGAGGGATGCTGGTCCAAATAAGTTTGTCGGGAGAGACAGATCAGGGATGCGTATGCGAAGCAGGAGTCCTGGGAAAGGACAATTTGGTGGCTGGGATTCCAAACGTCGCTTCTCCCCACCTATTTACAAAGGTGGTCCATACGGATTTGGACGTCCCCGGCCTAAAACTGTTGTGGATGACCGAGATATGATGAATGGCTTTGATCAGCCAGGGCCAGGCTCAGGCCCAGGTCCACATGGCTATGTTCGTAGGCAGTTCTCAAATGGAGGATACCGGGGTCGGTTCAGAAGGTTCCCAGATGGTGGCGGAAATCGCGATTTCAGAGGCGTAAATCGCCCCTTCCCTGGTGATGCTGACGAGTATCCAAGTCGCATGCACAACAACCGGATGAACGGACGGAGAGAGAGAAGTAACTCGCCTCCTGTCTTTAGGAGAGTGCACGACCCTCAGTCACGGTCCAGGTCTAGAAGCCGTTCCCCAGTCTCATGGAACGGGCGGAACAGATCTCCTCCCAGGTTCAGGGGTGATGAAAACAGGATGGAGAGAGTGAGGTTACCGTTCCAGAAACGGTTTCCGCTCGACCAAGAGATGGGTTTCATGTCGCCGCCAAGAAGCCAGCGAAACTCGAGGTTTTTCGAAGGCAGAAACAATGATGGTGGTGGAGAGAATCATCATAATAACTTAAGGGGAAGGAAGTCGCCGCCAGGAAGGATGTTCAGACCAGAGCAGAGATTTGATAACATGAGAAGGGTGAATTCGGACAACTTCAGACCATTTATGCGGCATAATAATAGAAGGTTTGGGGACGGTGGCCGAGGAGGAGGGTGTAAATACGAGGGAGCGGAGGAGGAGAAGAATGGGAACAGGTTTGAGATGGTACACCGGCCTCCTCCGCCTCGGCGTTTAGAGGCAATGGAAGAAGACGGTGATAACATCCGACGGTTCGGTTTAAACGCAGAACAACAACAACAGCACTCTGTTGTTTCCAACAATAGCAATAACGAGGCGTCATAACAAATAAGAATATACTATCACTTTTTAGTCTTCTTGGGTTTTGGTAGGTTCTCGTTTTCATCTTTTGGTCTTTGGGGCTTAGACTTCGAACGACACCAGAGTTTTAGGGATGCAAAAATGCCTGGTGATTTCTTCTGTTTTAGGGTTTAGAGTTCGGTTGCCCTTTTACCTCAGGCTTCCACAAGAGGGCTTCTAGATTTTTGTTGCTGTGTTTGGTTGCTGCTCTCTTTTCCTTTCTTGGAAAGTAGTTTTGTAGAGAGAAAAAAGTTCAAAAAATGAAATGTTTCTGCAAAATATTCATCGTTTCAGTAAATTCAATTTATGGCTGAAAGCTTGGTTTCAGAGGTCGTTCGTATCTTCACAAAATAAATGATGATGTGATGTTTTTAGAGAAATATGTACACAAAAGCGTACTCAGATGATGTATATTATTACTTGGGACAAAGATTACGCATACATCAAACTGTGAGTTGGTGTCTAATAAATTCTCCATCATATAAATCCAAAGCAATCGGGTCAGGTTTTTTGGTAAAGGTGGGGATAGTGGAAACATGAACTGGTCCACTTAACTGATCCATTGAAGAAAAGCAAAGCTTTCGTTACGCATCACTTTTGTAATGTTAATAATATGTCATCTATCAGGAGTTACTTTGGATCTGAGAATGAAACAAATATATGTAGATTTAATAACAGAAACTGGTGAACAATGTGTCAGAGAATCTGTTCGGTCAAATAGATTGAGACTCGGAAAATATTCCTGAGTATTTCTTCAATATATGTATCCTGTAGAATGTTAATGATAAGCAACTGATGGATCCGTAAACTAGAAATGGTATAAGTTATGTACACACCAATATTCATTTTCAAACAAGAGCATGGTTGTAGTCATGGTAATGGAATGTCTTGTAGATGAAGTGTGATAGCCACTTCGAAGCCGCAAAACTTAAAACAGCTGCCACAACCACCACGACTCTTGCCACGTTAGGCATTGTGATTTGCTTCGTCACTGCCATTACTCCGATCAAAGCAACCGATGCGATTTGCAGGAACACCTCAAGCGCGTTGAGGTATTTGTGAGCTTTCTTGCAGCTGCTGCAGTTCTCGACATGCGACCAATACCTGAAAACATTACGTAGGAAGAAACACACAACTTTTAAATTTCGTGAACGAGGACGTTTTCGTTACAGACACGATTGGAGCACTTAACCAAAACTCAGAAAAAGACAAAGTAACCTGTCCAAGAGCTGTTCTCGAGGAGGCGTTGGAGGAAGAAGATATGGATCAAACTTTCCTCTCCAATCGACTTGAGAGCCACTGTAGTTGTTGAACCATCTCCTGAACGTAACCACGAGAGCGTCTGATTTAGTAGGGACAAAGCAAACTTTCTGCCAGTTTTCAGGCCCTCTCTCCAGTATCTTCCGCTCCTGCACGAGTTCCGTTACAAAAATACACAAATCAGTCCGGTACATTGATCACTCTCTACTCACAACAGTCTGTGTGGTGAACAATAAATTTTCGACTTGGAATATACCTCGACATGAAGAAGGTGCAAATCTGAGTCTAGAATCTTGTTCTGATTAATGTGGAACACCCATCTAGGAACAATCTTATCAATAATTACACCAAAATTTCTAGGGAACGTCCATATCAACCTACTGTGACCTGGACTGACTGGAATGCATATAAAGACCAAGGAAAGTTTGCGCTTCGACAATGCGGCCTGGATGCAGAACCATACGGTTAGGGAAATTAGAAGATATGAGAACAAACATTACATAAGCAAGAAAAGCGAGATACATGTTAATTTGCAATGACCTTGTCAGATGCAGGTGGTGTGACAGAATCGTTTTCCTGCTCAGGTAAAGGCTCTGTGGAAGAGCGATACACACATGGTGCGATAAAATTAGAATATCCCCATTCTTGTTTTGCAAAGAACCCTTCCTTGTCTAGCCTTTTCACTGTAATCTCGAGTGGTTTCCCTCCTTCTCTGTCAACCTTCTCTGCAAGAAAGTCTTATGGGTCAGTACATGGACCTTAAAAACATATCAGATACAATACAACTGTTTGAAATGAATGTTATTATCTGCCTTTTGGTTTAACATTCCGCATTAGACCGTAATGTGCATAGGGAACATGAGCCGGGTCCATGAGGTTTTCCACCAATACATCGTACCTGAAAGGTTTCAGATTTACAAAAGAGTTCACATAGAAAATGAAGAAGAAATTTTTAGAATAATCAAAGAAGAGAGATAGAGATTGTGGTTGAAACCCGTAAGGAATGTCTCGATTCGCCATCAACTTAGTGAAGGAAGGGTCTTCTAGCTCTGGAATGTAAGGAGGCTTCTTCGTCTCGATGATATTCTTGTACTTTGGATCACTGTTTGGCCAAAACCAAACGATCTCATGCTGCACAGTACTTGGGTAAACAGCTACACACGCTTGCTTGAAAGAGTGGACCTATATTTTGCATAATCCAACCCAAATATACTCACTTTTTGACATTCATCGTCTTCAAATTTATATACTTTTGAAGGAAATGAGAATATATTGTATACCGGAGGTCCATCGGGAGGTGCTTGAGGTATGAGCTTGCAATCGCCGGATCCGTTGAAGCACCATCCATGGTAGACACACTGCAATCTCCCCCATTGATCGATTCTTCCATCGGACAACGGAGCAAGACGATGAGGACACGTGTCATCCATCACTTTCCACTGCTTCTCGTTCCTGTCCCACCAAACCACCAAATCAAGCCCCATAACTTTCTTCCCGTGTGGAACCTTTTTGTCCAGATCGCAAATTGGCATCACTGGGTACCAATTCGCGTACCAGTCGAACTTTTTCGACCCGGACTCGGATCCGGTTTCAGATTCCGGCGGCGAATTCGCTGGGGTTACGGTTGGTGATGACACTGCGGTTGCGATTCGATTGGGTTTTGATTTCGGCGGTGGGGATTTGAAGATAAGGGAGTTTGGAGAAATGGGTCTGTGATTGGGGAAGAAGCTTCTGAGTCGAGATTTAGGTTTATGGATTCGGGGCGATGGAACAGTGCATGCTGCGAGAGCAGCTTCCATGGTTGAATATTTTTTGGTGGTGTGTGCGACAACTGGAGAATGAAATCGAAGGATATTATTCTCTTTACTAGGCATGTTTCCGCGCTACGCACGGATTATTTTTATATAGATATTTGATTATTATCTAAGCTAAATTATTTTCACTTTAAGTTAATATTTTAAATATAATATTTAATTTTTAAAATTGTTTTGATATGATTATACATCAAAAATATTTTAATGTATTCAAAAAATGTATCATGATATAATTTTAAGAATTACCTACTTAATATATGCTAAAATTAACTGTTAATCTAAAATTTAATATTTGTATATAAACTCATTGTTATTCACTACTAACTTTCAAAATATTATTAAAATTATTTTTTGTTTTGACTAAATTTGATTATTATTGTTCCAATTAATTTAGTTTTTTTTATTTTTATTTCAACTGTGTCCGTGTAGTATTTTTATTTAATTAGCAATCTCAAATACAAACAACACTCAATGTTCTAATCTCTTATAAATCTATAAAATAACTATGATTCATATAAATAAAAACAATATTTACATAGTATAAAAAAATCACAATCATATTGATAAAATGAAATTTTGATTTGGTCTATGAAGTATACGTAAACTATAAAAAATATAGATGAATAAGGCAAGTAATACATATAAAAATACAATTTCATACTAACTCATTATGTTAAATAAAGTATGTTGAGTTTCTCAAAACTCAAAAGATGTAAAAAATTTGCTTGTAATTTAACTTAAACATTTTTTCTTAAACTACACATATATATTTTGATGAGCCTTTATAATTAAACTAATAATATATATTGTATTATTTTTAAAGGAGTTTCTTAACCCAGTAAAAAAAAATCATATTAGTTTTTCATTCAAGTTGGGTTTATAAGGAATTTTGTTGATGTGGATAAATAGAGATTTTTTTAGACATTTTTTTCTACATAAAAATGTGTATGTTATTTTTTCAAAAATGCATTATTATTTAATTTAAAAATTTACTAACTTGATATATATAAAAATTAACTGTCATTTAAAACTTAATTTTTTTTTATAAACTGTTTAACTCATGTGCTGACATGTATCGCTTGCAGTAACTTGACTACCTTAACCCAACTAAGACACACATTGAATAAATATCAGTGCATGAAATTCTTCTTTTGTCTATCATTTTCTGCAATGTAAATAGTAACGATGATCGAAATCTTCATATAGATAGTTGAAAAGCTTCCTATAATTTCTGTTGTCTTGTTGGTTGTCATAAATCTAACGTACTATGATGTTTAATCTTTATGTTTCTAAAAGGTGAATGTTTTAGATTTTTATAATTTGTAAATGTTTTAAATTTTATTTTAGAAATTATTATTTTGTAATCTTGTTTCTATTAACTATTATTTAAGTTTTTTAGAGCAATTTCTTGTCCAATATATTCACTATATTACAAAAAGGAGTATATATTAATGCTACAGATTTAAATGATATTTATTTTACTGATTTCGAAAATGATATTTAGTTTTATTTACTTATTCCTAATAACTATATTAACTTAGTGGTTCTATTTATTTATTTTATGTGTATTTCAAAAGATATAAAGTAAATTTTTTATTATTGTTATATTACAAACAAAAGAAGTATATATTGATGCTATAAATTTAAATGATGTTTATTTTACTTATTCAAAAAATGATATTTTAATTTTATTTACTTTTGTTCGTAATTATATTAATTTTAGTGACAAAAATGAGTATATATTAATGCTACAGATTTAAATGATATTTATTTTACTGATTAAAATGATATATAGTTTTATTTAGTTTTTGCTAATAACTATATTAATTTAATGGTTTTATTTATTTATTTTATGTGTATTTCAAAAAAATCTAAAGTGAGAATTTTCATTATTGTTAATTTGTTATATTACAACAAAAGAGTATATATTGATGCTATAGATTTAAATAATATTTATTTTATTGATTCAAAAAATAATATTTTATTTTTATTTACTCTTGTATTTAACTATATTAATTTTGGTTATATTTATTTACTTTATATGTATTTCAGAAAAATCTAAAGTGGGAATTTGTATTATTATTTTTTGCTGATGTGTCATATTTTTAGAATAGTTTGAAAAGCTGAAGTGGATAGCTTAAGGAGCCCTAAATAGTTCCTTTTATTTAGTATAGATTATTCGTTTTGATAATTTTAATCCAACGGTTTGTATTAATAGTTGATGATATACTCTCTCTTTTTAATACTAACGGCTTAGATTTCTTGTGATAAAATCGACGAGGTGGCTTTAATGAAAATTCAAGGAAAAGTTTTTAAGAGCTAATGCGAAGTTACGATAAACTGTCTTTAAACATATTCCATGCTTTTAATTTTTGAGAAGTATCCACCAAAATGTAAAAAGTCTTCCCGTGTATGGACCGTGTGGTACAACCGTACAATGATACAAGAATGCATATGAATTGACTCATCTCTCTGTAATTTTCTGATGTCTTTTTTGTTTTTTTGTTCTAGGAAAAATTAAAATCTCTTTTATCCCAAAAACAAAGAAAAGACATTTTCTGGTTAAATGAAAGCTAAACCGGTTAATTGGTAGAGAGACGTAGAGTATAGAAAACGACGTCGCTTGCTCGAACCACAAGTAAAGCAGCATACCGGTAGAACAGCGAGGGCATGAGAGTCATTTCCTAGGATCCCCACCACCGGCGAATCAGTTTCTTCATCTCCCACGTCTGAAATTGAAAAGAAATCGGTACAAGATATATAACAAACTCATTTTCCCTTTTAGATCAAAAATCTAAGAGCAAGAGTTTGTTTTTGTACAGTCATTTCGGGGAGATCTTAACGAAAACTCGATTCGGTACGAGTCTTTCGGATTCCTTCTTCACCAAAAAAGCTATACAGAGAATCTGCGAGCACTTTGCTCTTTTTCCGGTGGGAATTAGGGTTCGGGGTTATCTGCTAGAGAGGAATCATGGCGGAGGTTGTTCTGCACATATACGATGTGACCAACAGTGGATCGGAGAAGACTAACAACACCATTCTTCAGATCAACAGGTTCTTCAAAGACGGGATCGGTCTAGGCGGCATATTCCACAGCGCCATTCAGGTACTCCACTGCCTTCGATCTTCGTCTCTACTCTATCAATCTACGTGCGCACATGTATCGATAATGTCTCTGCTCGGTTTTGTGTACGTATGAGTGGATTTGGTTTGTGTGTATGTATGAGAACATGAAGAGTTTGACGGCATGATGTGGATTAGATGCGAGTTTTGGATTTTTCCAGAGACGTTTGGTTTTGATATGTGAGGCTCTAGTTTAATGGTTTATGGTCCTACAGGTCTCCACTCAGGATCTCGGTTTCCTAGTAATTTTGGAAACTTTGAATTCATGAACGGCTCTCTCGAGACTTGTCGTGATAATTGATGATGGCTTTGACTTAGGCAAAAGTAATTGCAAAGACCAGTTTCACATTTGAGTTATTGACAATATGGTGGTGAGCTTAGAAATTAGGCCTCTGAAGAAAGCAACAGTTAAATTGTATAAACCTGTGCTGCATCAACGCTTGACTTTAGGTCTCCATGTTACTATTAATGACTATGTCTAGGCCTGTATATATAAAATTTGATTTCCTTTTTTTTTCCATGGATTTGTTACCTTTTGTGGTGCCTTTTTTAATGACTATTGATTCACAGAGAAGAGTAATTTCACTGGCACCTCTAATGAATTGATGTGCAGGTATATGGAAACGATGAATGGTCTTATGGGTATTGCGAACAAGGAACTGGTGTATTCAGCTGTCCTAGTAGCAAGAATCCGATGTACACATATCGTGAGAAAATTGTTCTTGGGAGGACAGACTGCACAATCTCCATGGTAAATCAGATGTTCCGTGAGCTCAGCAGGGAATGGCCAGGACAAACATATGATTTGCTGTCCAAAAACTGCAATCACTTCTGCGATGTACTCTGTGACAGGCTTGGTGTGCCAAAACTCCCAGGTAAAGCCATTATTTGGGAATCCGTACTGAGAACCAGTGTGTGTATGTATGTTGGTCTTTGAATGCTTTAGTGACTGTTCGGTTTCTGTCTCTTTACAGGTTGGGTGAATCGCTTTGCACATGCCGGTGATACAGCCTTGGAAGTGGCAGGAAACACAGCAATGCGGGTGAGTTCTCACTCGTTTCATGCTTCTCTGTAACCTAAATGCAACTTTATGGGTGTTCAAAGTTTTATATATTGGTACTTTTGCAGATAAAGCAAGCCAAAACTGAACTTGTATCAGCTAGTAGAGTGGCTTATCGCTTCCTTTCGAATGTTACCTCAAACGTAACCAACGGCTCCATTGGCTCTCCACAACGGCCTGGAACACTCAACAGTTCAGAGAATGGTAACTTGAGAATGCAAGGGACGTGGCTCAAAGGGATACTTAACACTGCAAAACCTTCCACAAGTACAGAGAGAGAGAACAAAGATGATGACGCAAATCATGCAATCCCCAATCAGACGAAACAAAGCCGTGACTCTGAGGTTCTAATGTTTCAGTAGCAACCTTACCGATCACCATAATAATGCCTTCATTCGGTTAACTGTATATCCACTGGTCCAAAAGTTACTCATCTGTATTCATCACTTTGTATCACCATTGAACCCATCTCTCCTCTCTTTTTTTTTTAATTTTAGCAGAACATGTGATTTTGTTAAGAAGATGGTTTTCAACACGTTGTTAAATGGCAATCACCCAAGCAAGTTTCAGCATATGTTTTCCATACCGTTCAAAGTTTTTGTTAATAAATGTTATAAAAGATTGCAACATGTATGAGGAACACAACTCGCATTAAGAGAAAGAAAAACAGAGTATAAAGGTCTAGCGTCAAGAGAAAAACAACAGAGCATTCTCACACCGAAGCAACCAAAAGGGATTCTGAAATAAACAACAACTCGATACTTATACCATAACACACGTTTATTTTAGCAACCAAATCTGGAATCGTGGCACTTGTCATCCCCCGAACATCCCATTGAACAGAAAGGCGTTCCCGTCAGCGTTCTCAGATATATGTAGCGACGAGACAGCCTGAGCAGCAATCAAATCAGCTGTTATTCCCATGCTGTTATCCCAAGCATCCCTCCTGAATGGCGACCAGCTACTGTCTCCAAGTCCATAACCGTTTGATTCAAACCCAATCCCTTGAACCGCATAGCTGGCGCAACTCTGGCGAGGAACGTAGTTGGTTCTTTCACCTCTAAAGAGATCCATCTTCAAACCCTTTTCACCGCCAAACATGATTCGAGATGAATCATCAGAGTCTTCGCCCAGTAGGACGTGCAGAGCAACAGCTTCTGCGATTGCAGCTCCTTCTTCATCTAACCTTCGTTGTTCTTCCAGTTTCCTCTGCTTCTTCTTTTCCAGCTCAGCCCGGATGGCTGCAGAAGTAGCAAGAGCTTTCTCCAGGCGTCTCCTTTTCTTCTCAGCTTGCTTGATACGATCAAATTCATCTTTACCATGTTTCTTCTTGCCTTTCCTAGCGACCGGCTTGCACACCGCGTGATCCATAATTACTTGCTATAAACTCTATAATTCTAAAACTAAATAACTGCACCTAAACTCGCTGTTGTCGTGGAGGAACTCGAGAACTACACCCACTCAGGTATATAGGAATACCTCATCGTGCGGACAATACAATCCCAAAAAGACACAACTGGAGACAGCTGAAGCGAGACGTTGTAAGAATTTGCAGACTTACCCTTTGGAATCATTCGTCCTACTTTCCCATACCCCTTAGACTCGCCCATTTTCTGCATTCCACAATTTACTTGATTAATTTTGATGTTGACAAGGAGAAACACAGAAGCACATAACATCAATCTTAAAGCAACAACATAGCTTTAGGCCAAACCAATAACATTTAAACTTATTTGACCAACTAAGCAGACCGCATGATCAAGTAACATCACAGTTGTTCTGACGAAGTAAAACAAAACCTCACACAAATTGACCTGATAATCTCGATGATTACTGAAACCCTAATTCCCCAGAGTAAGATCGAATTTGAAGAGCTCATGTAAAAATCTACGCATGCTAAGGTCATCCACAGAAAGAGTAAATTACACGGCAAAATTCAACCCCTTTCTCTCTCCTCAGCTAATAACTCACGAAGCGTCAATTAGACTAATGGATCAAATTACAGGAAAGCAATCGAAAGAAACCAGATCTGCCTCAGAAAATCATGTTACAACAACATTTAACCTCAATTTAACACAAGAGAAATAATCGACTAATTAGGTACGAGCCCATCAATAAGCATTAATTCGGATGAACAAATGAAGCTGATCGAAAACTTTTCTATAGAGAATTCAATTCGATTTAGGAAAAACAAAACCAAAATCTTAGAGAATTGAAGATAAATGGAAAATAAGATGAAGAATTCGATCCAAACCTCTGCAAAATCGCATAGAAGCAGCTGCCTTAAAAAAACTCCCCTAATCAGATGATACAGAAGAAATAAACCAAGTAAAGTTGCTGTTTGGATGCAGAGGAAAGTAGGAGAGAGAGAAATCAGAGTCGAGGGAAATCAGATAGATCGAAGACGAAGAAGGAGAAGATCAGAGGATAGATAGAGCAATGAACAAAACGTAGCCCGTCTCCGTTTGATCCAATTAAAATAAGGCACGTGTTGAATGATCTCTGACTTTTTTTGCAATGCAAGTTTTCAATTGGGACTTTGAGACTTGGCCGGTGCGACCTCGTCAAGTGGGACCAGCAGTCGTCACAGAGCTATCTATTAACAGCCGTTAGATTCAATGTGGGTTTTGTTCGTTTCAACGATCCAGATTATCACGGTTCCAACTTTGCAAGGAAAAAAAAAACCGGTTAACCAACCGATTCGAGTACCGAAAACCAGTTAACCGATACTCACCACCACCGCCGCACCAGTTTCTTCACCTTCAGCTTCTTCGTCTGACATTGAGAAATCGGGAGAAGATAAAAACAAAATCAATTCTGCTTCAGAGTCATCTAGTAGTGGGATTTGTTGAAGGAAAGTGGATTTGGTACGATTCTTTGGGAATCCACATCTTTACCGAAGCTTATAGAGAGAATCTGCGAGCTCTCTCTTTGGTAGGAATTAGGGTTCAGGTTTTCTGCTAGGGAGGAATCATGACGGTGGTTGTTCTGCACATTTACGATGTGACCAACATTGGATCGGAAAAGGCTAACGACACCATTCTTCAGATCAACAGAATCTTCAAGGGCGGTATTGGTCTAGGCGGCGTATTCCACAGCGCCATTCAGGTACTCTATCGATGATGTCGCCGCTTGGTGTTGTGAACATGAGTGGATTTGGTTTGTGTTCTTTGTGAAAAAATGGAGAATTTGGCGGCATGATGTCCAAACGAAGCCTTCTGGAAATTTCCTGATACTTTTTTGATTGATCTGCGAGGATCTTCTTTAATAGATTATGGTCCGTACAAGTCTTTGAAATTCTTAGGCTAAAGGTCTCTCTTGGACCGAGACTACGCTAAGGAACAAGGAAGCTTTACTTGATTGATCTTGACCACTTTCGCATCATAAGTCATGACAATTATGTGAACTTCGAAATTAGGTCTGTGCTAAATCAACGAAGCTACAAAGCGCTTGACTTTTGGACCTGGTTTCCAAGTGGGTGATGTATTCTTGTAGACGTGCAAGGAAGCATAATTGACTTGCGACTCTTATGAATTTGTGCAGGTATATGGGGATGATGAATGGTCTTATGCGTATTGTGAACAAGGAACTGGTGTATTCAGCTGTCCTAGTAGCAAGAATCCAATGTACACATATCGTGAGAAAATCGTCTTTGGGAGGACAGATTGCACAATCTTCGTGGTAAATCAGATATTGGGTGAGCTCAGCAGGGAATGGCCAGGACACACTTATGATTCACTGTCCAAAAATTGCAATCATTTCTGCGATGTACTCTGTGACCGGCTTGGTGTGCCAAAGCTCCCAGGTAAAGTCATTATTTTGTAATCAGGGTGTGTCTCTGTGTGTTGTGGTTTTTCAAGCCTTATGTGACTGTTTGGCTTCTGTCTGTTAACAGGTTGGGTGAATCGCTTTGCCCATGCTGGCGACACAGCCTTGGAAGTTGCAGGAAACACAGCACTGCGGGTGAGTTCTCACTTGTTTTTCATCTATGCAACCCATAAATGCATCCTTATGGGTGTTTAAAATCTTGTAAATTGGTACTCTTGCAGATAAAGCAAGCCAAAACTGAACATGTTCCTATAAAGAAACGGAGATATATGGTTCCCGCTCCATCACCTTTGAATGGATCCTCTGCTCACGGTGAAGGCTCACAACATCGTGCAGAGATCAATCATTCTCTGCCTGTTTCGAGAATAAACCCTAATCTAATGGGCGGTAAAACAGCAGAAGTCTCCGATGATAAACCCGATTGCGGCATTCATGACTTCTCTGGTATTAAGATACTTGCAGAGGTTGCTTGCAGTAGTGGTAGTGATATTGCATCCGTAGTAGATGGTCAGCCTGTTGGACATGTTCAGCAGCAAGATGCTTTGACCTTATTTACTCACGTGGAAGGTAATGATTCATCAACTGGGACTGCTGATGTCTCTGGGAAAGATTCTGCGATTGAATCCAGTGACAAGGTCGGGGAAGACAAGAGCGTAATCATTGAGCCTCAAAACGTTCTGGTTGGTACTTTGGGCAATACTTCGTCTGCTGATAAGAGTGTAGAGCATGTTATAGTAGCATCTAGTGGTATGATAGTGGCTCAGAACATCAGCATTGCTGTTTCGGATGAATCCTCAACAGAAAGGCGAAAGGAGAGTGTGGAAGCAGGTGATAGCGGAAATTTACCACTTTGGAGTGAGACTGTCACTGTCTCAGAGAATGTATTCCGTGATGAACGAACGGCAAAGGGTAAGAACTCTGAGTGCCTTACAGATGATAGGCTACACTGGGATTTAAATCTTCCAACAGATGCGTGGGGTCAGCCTTGTGATGTAATCGACGAAGCATCCCAAAGATACTCTGATGGAGAAGTCACTGAATCTGTTATAGAGAGCGGACATATTGCATCAAATGTGCACATGAATACTCCATCCTTGTCTGGGCCAAAGGCTGAAGCCTCTGGTCGAAATGGGAAGGAGTGCCAATCTGGTCATGATTCCCAGTATGAGGATGGAGAGCTGAGGGAACCATACCCTTGGGAAGAAAACGAGGGTGACAGTGGAGATGTTGAGCAAGTGGACTATGGGTCTGAGCCAGAGAGTGAGCGGTTATGCTCTTTAGCTGAAAGTAATGAGAATAAGCTTGAGGACGCTGAGAAGGGAAGCCTAGCAAAGACAAAATGTAGGGCTGCGAAGTGTGAATCTGGCAATGTGGATGAAGGAAGTAGTGATATAGAGAAGCATGTCGTGGTTTGCATGAATGACCCACATTCAAAAGGATCTTCTCCGTCAAGGAGCTTCGGTTCAAAACCATTCAGGGAGTTCCCTTCGCATGAAACCATCCCAAGGAGAAGGCAAGTTGCTTCTGCTGAACCTCTTTCTTATCTAATTCTTTATTTTGTTCCTTTGCTAAGAAAAGTGATCTCTCGGTTTTCAGGTCTGATAGGTACCAGTTGAATGAGAGGGATGCTGGTCCAAATAAGTTTGTCAGGAGAGACAGATCAGGGATGCGTATGCGAAGCAGGAGTCCTGGGAAAGGACAATTTGATGGCTGGGATTCCAAACGTCGTTTCTCCCCACCTATTTACAAAGGTGGTCCATACGGATTTGAACGTCCCCGGCCTAAAACTGTTGTGGAGGGCCGAGATATGATGAATGGCTTTGATCAACCAGGCTCAGGCCCAGGTCCACGTGGCTATGTTCGTAGGCAGTTCTCAAATGGAGGATACGGGGGTCGGTTCAGAAGGTTCCCAGAAAATGGCGGATATCGTGATTTCAAAGGCGTAAATCGCCCCTTCACTGGTGATGCCAATGACTATCCGAGTCGCATGCACAACAACCGGATGAACGGACGGAGAGAGAGAAGTAACTCGCCTCCTGTCTTCAGGAGAGTGCACGACCCGCAATCACGGTCCAGGTCTAGAAGCCGTTCCCCAGTCTCATGGAACGGGCGGAACAGATCTCCTCCCAGGTTCAGGGGTGATGGAAACAGGATGGAGAGAGTGAGGTTACCGTTCCAGAAACGGTTTCCGCTCGACCAAGAGATGGGTTTCATGTCGCCGCCAAGAAACCAGCGAAACTCGAGGTTTTTCGAAGGCAGAAACAATGATGGTGGTGGAGAGAATCATCATAATAACTTGAGGGGAAGAAAGTCGCCGCCAGGAAGGATGTTTAGACCAGAGCAGAGATTTGATAACATGAGAAGGGTGAATTCGGACAACTTCAGACAATATATGCGGCATAATAATGGAAGGTTTGGTGATGGTGGTGGAAGCCGAGGAGGATATGAGGGAGCGGAGGAGGAGAAGAATGGGAACGGGTTTGAGATGGTGCACCGGTCTCCTCCGCCTCGGCGAGTAGAGGCAATAGACGAAGACGGTGATAGCATCCGACGGTTCAGATTAAACGCAGAAGAAAAACAACTCTCGGTTGTTTCCAACAACAATAGCAACAACGAGGCGTCATAACAAATGAAATATAACACTATTTAGTCTTTCTCGGTTTTGGTTCTATTTTTCATCTTGTGGTGCTGGGGGTTAACTCTAAACGACACCAGAGTTTTCGTGATGCCAAAAATGCCTGGTGATAGTGTTTTCTTCTGGTTAAGGGTTTAGAGTTTGGTTCTGTTTTACCCCAGGCTTCTACAAGAGGGCTTCCAGATTTTTGTTGCTATGTTTGGTTGCCGCTCTCTTTTCCTTTCTTGGAAATAATTTTGTATGAAAAGAAAAAAAATGAAAAAAAGGAAATGTTTCTGGAAAGTGTTCATCGTTTCAATTTATGGCTAACGCTTGGATGCAGAGTTTGTATCTTTCCAAAATAAATGATCATGTGTTGTTTTGATGAGACCAAACTTGGGATAGTGGAAACATGAACTGGTCTACTTAACTTCCTCATTAAAAGACGGATGTTTACGCATCCCTTTTGTGATGGTGTAAGTTTGCAAGTTTCAGGTTATGACCACAATTTAGCATGCCCATCATTTTCATTAATCTAACAGACCAGAGCTCGAGAGATAATTTTATCACACATTTTACAAGTACGATAATATTTCATCGATCAGGATATTAAATTAGGTCTCAGAATGAAACAAACAGATATACTGGTGGACAAATGTGTCAGAGAACTTGTTACTCATGAGATCATTCAAAATTTATCATCAGTTCGGTTAAATATAAGTCGTGAGTCGTGACAGAGCTATTAACTTTGCAAGGAAAAAACCGGCTCACTGATTTGAGTAAGCGGTAAGTAAAGAAGCAAATATGCAGGAAAAGCGAGGGTAAAAGTGTAATTTCGTAGGACCCCCACCACCACCGCCGCACCAGTTTTTTTCATCTTCAGCTTTCTACGTCTGAAATAGAGAATTCGGGAGAAGATAAACAAAATTAATTCTGCTTCAGAGTCATTAAGGAGAGATCTAGTAGTGGGATTTGTTGAAGAAAGTGGATTTGGTACGAGTCTTTGGGAATCCACATCTCCACCGAAGCTATAGAGAGAATCTGCGAGCTCTTTTTGGTAGGATTTAGGGTTCGAGGTTCTCTGCTAGTGAGGAATCATGGCGGAGGTTTTTCTGCACATATACGATGTGACCAACAGTGGATCGGAGAAGACGAACAACACCATTCTCCAGATCAATAGGTTCTTCAAGGACGGGATCGGTCTAGGCGGCATATTCCACAGTGCCATTCAGGTACTCCATCTTCTTCTCTACTCTATAAATTTACATTTATCGATCATATCGCTGCTTGGTTTTGTGAACATGAGTGGATTTGATTTGTGAAAATGGAGAATTTGACTGCATGATGTGCAAACGAAGCGTTCTGGAATTTTTCTGCTGCATTTTTGTTTGATATGTGAGGTTCTTGCTTATAAGATCTGATAAACATTTCTTATGACTTAAATCCAAATTCAATGATGGCTCACGTTTACTTGATTGATCTTTGACCTGGAAAAAGTATAATTGCAAAGGCCACTTTCCCATTATAAGTCATGCCAATTATGTGAACTTCGAAACTAGGTCTGTGCTAAATCAACCAAAGCTTGACTTTGATTTTTTGACTAATGACTTAGGTCTCTGTACGTGTATCATTTGATTATTCTTGTTCATGGTTTTGTTGTTTTCTTATGCCTTTTTAGATGACTATAGATTCTCAGGGAAGAGTTATTTCACTGGCATCTCTTATGAATTTCTGCAGGTATATGGAGACGATGAATGGTCTTATGGGTATTGCGAACAAGGAACCGGTGTATTCAGTTGTCCTAGTAGCAAGAACCCGATGTACACATATCGTGAGAAAATCGTCCTTGGGAAGACAAATTGCACAATCTTTATGGTAAATCAGATTTTGCGTGAGCTCAGCAGGGAATGGCCAGGACACACATATGATCTGCTGTCCAAAAATTGCAATCACTTCTGCGATGTACTCTGTGACAGGCTTGGTGTGCCAAAACTCCCAGGTAAATCCATTATATTTGGGAATCAGGGTGTGTCTCTGTGTGTCTCAAGGCTTATGTGACTGCTTGGTGTTCCGTTTCTTAACAGGTTGGGTGAATCGCTTTGCACATGCCGGTGACACAGCCTTGGAAGTTGCAGGAAACACAGCAATGCGGGTGAGCTCTCACTTGTTTTGCTTCTCTGCAACCTATAAATGCATCATTATGAATGTTGTGGATAAACCAGATAATCGTGTAAATTGGTACTTTTGCAGATAAAGCAAGCCAAAACTGAACTTGTATCAGCTAGTAAAGTGGCGTATCGATTCCTTTCGAATGTTACCTCGAACGTAACCAACGGCTCCAATGGCTCATCCCCACAACGGCCTGGAACCCTCAACAGTTCAGACAATGGTAACTTGAGATTGCAAGGTAGTTGGTTCAAAGGGTTACTTAACACTGCCAAACCCTCCTCAAGTACGGAGATAGAGAACAAAGACGATGATCCAAATCATGCAATCACCAATCAGCCAAAAAATCAAAGCCGTGACTCTGTACCGATCCACCATAGTGCGTTTGGTTAACTGTATATCCATCGGTCCAAAAGTTACACGCACTATTCTCCCTCATCTGTATCCATTACTTGTGTACCACTATTGGAACCCATCTTTTGCTTTTTTTTTTTTATAATTCAGAAACGTGTGATTTTGTTACTGGCAAGTCTCACCATATATTCATACCGCTTTAAGGGTTTATTAGGAAAATGTGATATAATTAGTAGCAAATGAGGTATCAGGAGATTCAAATGGTATGCTGTATACAACTCAGAACACACTTAATTAGCAGTGTAACAAAACACACAAAAAAGCAGAAGGTAACATCTGAATTTCCACATGACACCATGGCTTTTGTCATCCCCGGAACATCCTATTGAAGGCGAAAGCGTTTCTATCAGCGTTTTCAGATATCTGTAGCGACGAGACAGCCTGAGAAGCAATCAAATCAGCAGATATTCCCATCTTGTTATCCCAAGCGCCCCTCATGAATGGCTTATATGGCACTGACCAGCTACTGTCTCCAAGTCCATAACCGTTTGACTCAAACCCAATCCCTTGAACCGCATAGCTAGCGCAACTCTGGCGAGGAACGTAGTTGGTTCTTTCACCTCTAAAGAGATCCATCTTCAAACCCTTTTCACCGCCAAACATGATTCGAGATGAATCATCAGAGTCTTCGCCCAGTAGGACGTGCAGAGCAACAGCTTCTGCGATTGCAGCTCCTTCTTCATCTAACCTTCGTTGTTCTTCCAGTTTCCTCTGCTTCTTCTTTTCCAGCTCAGCCCGGATGGCTGCAGAAGTAGCAAGAGCTTTCTCCAGGCGTCTCCTTTTCTTCTCAGCTTGCTTAATACGATCAAATTCATCTTTTCCATGTTTCTTCACTTTCCTAGCGACCGGCTTGCACACCGCGTGATCCATGATTGCTTGCTATAAATTCTATAACTCTAAAACTAAATAACTGTAAACTAAACTCGCTGCTGTCGTGGAGGAACTCAAGAACTACACCCACTCTGGTATATAGGAATACCTCATCGTGCGGACAATACAATCCCAAAAAGACACAACTGGAGACAACTGAAGCGAGACGACGTAAGAATTTGCAGACTTATCATTTGGAATCTTTGGTCCTACTTTCCCACAACCCTTAGACTCGCCCATTTTCTGCATTCGACAATTTACTTGATTAACTTTGATGTCGCAAAGGAGAAACACAGAAGCCTATGCATGGCATCAATCTTAAAAAGCAAGAGTATAGTTTCAGGCCAAAGCTAACAGTTCTAGATGCAAAATACGTCACTAACCAAGCAGACAATGAGCAAATGATCACATAATTGAGTAAAAACCAATCGTTGTTTCAAGGGACCTTTAAAAACACACCTAGACCAAAAAAATTAATCAACAATAATCCAAGATAGAAGAAGATACATCACACTAAACTAAATCCTGATTATTGAAACCCTAATTGCCAAGCTTCAAAAACATATGCGCATGCAAAGCACATAAATAATGAATTCTACCTCAAAAACTTCACTACCATTCTTAACAGACAGAAAACACACTGCATAACGATTGGAGATCGCTGAGAATTATTGACTCATGGATGAAAACTACAAGCGATTAACAGACAAAAAAACCAGATCTACCACAGAAACACATGTTGGATCACAATTCAGTCACATAATTAAGTTTCCATTCAGCATTAAATCCGAGGAACAAAAGCTAATCGGAATTATGTTTCAAAAAAGAAGTCAATTCGATTGAAAGATGTAGGGAAATTGAAGATAAACGGAGCAACAAGATAATGAAATTCGATCCAGACCTCTACAAGTTGGCATAGAAGTGGCGACCTCAAAGAAATCTCTTATAATTAATCGGATAATACAGAGAGAGATAATTTTGCTGTCTGGATCCAGAAGAAACTAGAGACAAAGAAAGAGGAGAAAACAGAGTCGAAAGATGATGATCAACAAGAAACGTAGACCGTCTTGTAATCCTCCAATAAGATTAAGCCACGTGGTGAATGATGTCTAGAAGCAAATTCCATTGGGACTTGCCCGGTTACAACCTCGTGTGTCAATGTCTCCTCGTAACAGAGCTATTAACAGCCGTTAGATTAATCTATTATATGTGGGTTTCATTCGAACGGCTGAGATTTCGCTTCCGGAATGTTTAATGTTAGCAAGAACAAAAGCTTAGAATTTTTATACATACAGAGATTATCAAATAAGTTACAAAGCAAATTTTCGCTTTTCTTGTGGTATCTTTTGTCATCATGATCATATGTGGATTTTATATATAGTTTCGGTCTTGTAACTAATTGTACCACACTAAATTGGGTTTCTATTCCGGTTTGGTTACACTAGCAACTATCATCAACATAACAAAAAATGTCCCACGTATCTACTACTCTCGTTTGATTTTTGAAGAGGTTGGGAGGTTGTTTTCTCTCTTGTTCGTTCTTGGTGAGGCGTACCCATCATGACTACTAAGTAGGCATGGGCACGGAGCGGATATCTAGAATTTTAGTGATATCCGTGATCCGCTCCATCCCGTACGGATTAACAATTTTTTTTGATCCGTATTTGCTCCGTTACTAATCGGATATCTGGTATTCGGATATCCGTTAAAATCCGAATTTTTGACCGGATATCCGATCCGTTTCAAAAATATTAGATTAATTATAAAATAATTAAAATATTTATAAAATAACTAAAATTATTTATAAAAATAATTAAAAAGTCAAAATTAACTCATATATTAAATTTTAAATTGTTCTTATTAAAATTTATTAAAATTTCGTATTAAAATATAAATTCACAAAAAATTATATATAATTATATTAACTATACATTCTATATGTAATTATTTATATATACACATATATATATGTATATCCGAAGGGATCGGATATCCGACTCTTATAATTTTAATATTTGTGATTTGTTCCGTTTTCGACGGATATCAAAATTTAGTATTTGCTTTGCTCCGTAAAGCTACGGATATTCGGATTTTTCGAATTGAATCGAAGCAAATAGCGGATCGAATCAAATATAACGGATAATTTGTCCAGCCCTACTACTAAGAAAATGAAGAATACAAAACTTGGGAATCAAAATTGAATTTCTTACTTAGTTGTAAAAACTTTTCCTAAGTATTACTAAGAAAGTCAGTCCACTGCCAAAAGTAAGGAGAAAATAAAATACTAGTTTTCACCCGTTTGAACATTTCTTTAATGCGTAAGATTTTCTTGTGTTTTTTTCTTTCTTTTTTAAAACTTTTTAGTGGATTTAAGCTTATAGTGTCACTAAGACACGTAGCAAACTGGGACACGTTAATTATTTGTTGTCGATCGGAAAATGGTCACTGCAAAACGCGTTGTTTTTATTTTTCTTTTTCGTATTGGGATAGTCGCATAATCGGGGTTATGTTTATAAAAAAATAATCATCATTTTGGTACCTGGATTGATTGATTATTCATTAGTGCGTTATTTGGTTATTATTGGAGCTCCTTCGTCAAAACTCAAAAGCTATCATGGACTTTTCTATTGCAGTTTTGTGTCATTGTCTAATTATGCTTCCACGCCACCTCATCCTCTCCAACTTTTCACCATCTCAAATACAAATACAATATTTTCTCCCTTATCATCTCAAATACAAATACAATATTTTCTCCCTTATCTCTTGGGATTTATTTGGATTGTGTCGTGGGACTGTACACAATAACTTCCACTTAAAATTCGGTGAGAGCATGAGGAAGAGGAAGTATTGTGATGTATACATTCACTGAAATGAAAGTGAGTTAGTTATAATGGGACATTCTAGGCACGTAACACGTATCCATAACTTTACCTTTTAAAAAAGTCATTTCCCTTTTTATGATCTCACCCGCCAAGTTAATTTAATATATAACTCGAGCGGTTCATATTGTAATGGCTTAATAATATAATATATTTGATATGGCAAACTATTGTGTATAGCTGAAGAAAGCTTTTGACTGTATAGTAGCCTTGGATTAACCGGTTCACATTCAGACTTGTCTCCTTATTCATGCGTCTTCTATATTTGAATGTTCTATTTCACTTCAAGTGTAAGATTGTAAGAACCTTCATTTATTTCAGTTCTACAGAATTCTAAATTTTCAAAACATATTTTCAACTTGTTATATAAAATGTCTCACAACTGTTGGCATGTTAATTTTCATTTTTTGGAAAACCTGTTTTCTTTAGCGTTTTAAAGGTTGCAACATGTTGGGCAAGTCTTAACCTAATTAAGTTACATGTTGAGCAAATCTTAACCTAGTTCATTTAGTTATATGAAAAATAGCCGTAGATAACATTTTTATTAAAAAGATTGAGATGATGCAGCAATGCTGCAATCTATTTGAACCTGGTCTTTATTTGAATTTTTATACTTCAAAATTATGTCGGTATACGTAGCGATAGTGCAAGAAATCGCGCGAAGAAGCGGCCATACTGTAAACGTAAGCTTATATAATGCAAACGTTAACTTATGTAAGGAAGAAAAATCCATAACTATCAATTTAGGCAGATGTCATTTAGTTTGATTTGTGTTTATCAGATAGGAAATAATAATATTTGCCTATGAATATTTGTTGTTGGTTGCGACTTGCATACATAAGCAAAAGATGTTCTAGTATAAGAAAAAAATACGTTTCATTTTATTTTGGGTATGTATAAGATCTATAATGTTTCACCTTATTCAGTTCTATCGTAAGAGACACGGTTTATCTAAAAAATTATCAGTCTAATTAGTATGTATAGTCGACTCAATTAGTTGTATAAGATCTACTTGTTTTATGTTTAATTTTCGTTTTTTGAGATTAACTAACAACTCATTATGCAAAAGAGATGGCCAAATGGGAGCGAGGAAAAATATATGATTCAGATAAAATTAAACCTAACTCCGCACAACGGTTTTGGTGTCAACTAGTGTAAGACGAGCATAGTGGTCTAACTTTGGAAGGATTTCGATCCTTGCCGACTTATATGTGTAATTTTGAATTTTATAATCTAATATAAATGTTAGATTAAAAAAAAATATAGCTAGCGAACAAAGTGAGGGTAGATAAATTAATAAAATCATATCTCTATTTTTAATATTTAAAATCAAAATCGGCATATTATATGATTCATCAACAATTCAACATAGATCGAATTTCAGATCATGACAAGAGACCAAAACAAAAAATTGGGATTAGAAACTTGTTTTTTCTAGTCAAGAACTCGACTCGGAACCCGAAGCCTTTTTGTATAATTTGATTCTCCGACTTATCTCCTTCTCTAACTCTTCATCTCCTCCAACTTCTTCCAATTCCTGCATATTTTTAAAGAAAAAAGAAAAATCAAATCATTAAAAGCAAAACATGAAAAAGATTAAGAGGAGCTAAGCAAATTGAGAGAACTTGCCTTTGGTCCAAGAAACAGTCCATATGGCACACCATCGAATTTGTCAGTGTGATGTAGCTGAAACACAATCATGCACGAGACTATTAAATCAAATTTTAGGATTAGGAATGAGCACAAAGTTGGAGTATGATAAAATGCTATCACTAGTGTTCCAAAACATTTTGTTTATATTTTTACCGCAAATAAAATAAAAAACATTAAAATCAATAGAATAAGGAAATTATTTCTATTTTGGGAAAGGAACCGTTATATTTATGTCGTAGACCGATGAAGTTGTGTTACTGGGTTAAGAGAAGTTACCTGATGAGCGGCGGCGACCTTTCGGAGATAAGGGACGTCGGCGATGGGACCTACAGGGAACCGCTTGTGCACCAGACCATCGTGGACAAACATGTAGGCGATTCCAAACATCGTTATTCCTAGCCCCTGTTACGAGGAGAGAGACAGCATGTAAAGCAAGACGCAGACGCGAACGCAGCATAACGGCGTTTTGAGCCCAAACAAAAAATACGAGTAAATTAAGCCACCAATCTTATGTATTATATAATGTCGCCAACGAGTCATTTGTCATCACATTAATCAAAGATCTAGTTTTTCTATTAAAAATACAACAAATACACAGAGAGACACAAAATACTGGAAGAGAGATACGTTACTTAAATTTAATTTTCATTTAACTGACGTACGTCAACAGTGGTCTCAGTCCACCAAAAATACTATTTTTTTTTTTTTTCCACTTATATGCACCTTTAGTAGCGATAAAAAGCCACCGAAAATTTCCTAATTCTGGTGATTTGCTGTCTAATTTAATCGAAAAATTGGGACTAACCATAGAGTCAAAGATTCCAAGTCCTTAGACGTTGGTTTGTGAGTTTAGACCAATAAAGAGAGAGGGAGGACTTACGGCGCCAAAGCAGAGACCAGGGACGAGTCCTTTATGGAAGAAACCATAAGAGAGGAGAGCAATCGCAGGAACAGCGTTAATTATTGCGAACACATCGTTCAACTCAAACGGACCTTCTCTCGGTTTGTGATGTGACTGCAGAGATAACAAGAAGAGAGAGGAGAATGTTCAAATAGCAGAAACAGGCGGGCTCGAAATTGCAATTCCAGTATGAGAAAAGTAAAAGGTAACCTCGTGCATGTTCCACAACGAAGCGTGCCACAGAGCTTTATGAGCCCATCTTGCCCAGAACTCCATTCCCACCTGATTCCAAAATTCTCAGTGACTCAGCCAAAACTTGTGTGTTTAAGAAGATGATATCAGAAAATATGGAGATTGAGATTTTAATCAACTTACAGCAGCTCCAACAGAGAGAGCAAATGTTCCGAACATCTCCAACATTGGGATCTCTCCTCCCTGTTTTTTTTTTTTTTTTTTTTTTGTAAACGATGTGAAATTCTCGAAATCGGATTGAAGGCAAAACGGGATTTTTCGCATAATTTTATTACCTCCATTTGCCAAGAGAATCGGTAATAAACGGACATGATAGCCATGGAAGTGATGCCGAAGCTCGACATCACTGCGGCGATTAGATAAGTGAACCTCTCAGATTTCTTCCTCTCCAATTTCTCCGCCAAACGCAGCGCGAGGAACTCGGCGTCCCTAGCGGCGGAGCTCGTGCTTTCTGGTCTCTCATCGTTATCGGTGGGAGAGCTCTGTCTCCGCTCCTCGACGACGTAACAGACCGAAAAGCCTTTGAATCGGAGAGACTCAGGGAATACGGCTGAGGAGGAGGATTTCGGGTGGTGTAGGCGGAAATTGGAGGAGGAGAAGGATGAGGTAAAGAAAGAGCGGTGGAGCGGTTTGAATGTTACGGTGGTTGAGAGTCCTGCCGCCATGGAAGAAGCTCCGAGACCTGCTTTTATCCCCACCTGCTGAGGTTTGCCTTTATTCGAGAGAGAGAGAGAGAGAGCGAGAGAGAAAGAGATGTGGTGTTAAATGCAGTGAGGCCACAATTTTGTTTGGCTAAAGTGCTCTTTTTAAAATTAAAATAAAAATAAACATTTTGGAATTAAATATGCAAAATACAAGTGAAGGACGGTTCAGTTTCGTGTGACGAAAATTGCCCTCAAGTCTTTGCTTTCAAAAATAGTCAAAATAGCCTAATAAGATTTTTAAAATAGCCTAATAAGATTTTTAAAAGTTCTTAAAAGAGTTTTTTGTTATATAACCATATTTAAAAAACAATCAAAAAATATAGTTATGCTGTTCAAATAATATGCAAATTAACCATGATCCACATAAAAATTACTAAAATCTCCTTCTTCGCGTGAGAATATTATGAAAACACATGTTGTCTATATTTTTTCTGGACTATACTATAATATGTGTTTGGTTTTCGACAAAACTAATATAGTATAGTAATTACATATTAGTTTTTATTGTTATACTATACTATTTATACTATTTACAAAAATGAAGGGATGGAAAGGGGCGGGAAAAGGGAGGAAGAGAGAGGAGAAGAGAGCGGATGGAAAGGAGAGGAAGAAAAATAAAAAATCGGGAAAGAAAGGGAAGGAACGGCAGGGGAAGGAGAGAAGATCACAGAAGAAGAGAAAAAACAAAAAATATATCGTTAAAATTAAAAAGGGTAATTTCGTATATATTGTAAAAAATACAATGAATACTATAGCACCTCAATTGTTATGGTTATTTGCTGAATTTCAAAACTTTTTATGGTCTTTAGTGCCAATTTCCCTTCTTAAAAAGCAGATTTTTTTCTATGTTAGGCTTCAACAAATAGATTATTTTCCCACTTTAAGACAAAATACTTCAAGAAAATTTATAACTAAAAAGCTAAAAATCTATGGGTAAATGGTAAAGCTTGTTTCTACTAAAAAAGTTGCAGATTCATTTCCTCACTTTTTTCTTTTTAAAGATTGTGGGTATACGTTTTTCTGTTCAAGCATTAAAAAACTTTAGATTCATTTCCCAAAATAACCAATCCTTGTAATTATACTTTCAAAACTACCCTATTACAAATTAAACCTTAATAACTATCTAAATCATTAACCCTCCCCTCTTATTATAAAAATGTTGAAGAATACCTCAAAATGGCATAAACGTAAAAACACAGCAAAATCGATGGTAAATGATGGGAAGAAAAGACAAAAAACAAAAAAGTTACGCTCCAAACAAAACAAAGGAGAAACGCAACAAGTTCTTTAGAGCATTTCCAATCTACCTTTATTTTAGAAGAAAAAATAGAATTTAGAAGAAAATTTTTTCCAATCCACCTTTATTTTTGCTTCTAAAATAGAGATTACTATTTTTTTCTCTATATTTGGAGGAACTTTATTTGTTCCTCTATAATAAAAATGCACTTTTTTATTTATAAATTGGTTCTTTAACTTTTACATCTTTTTATTTTTATTTATATAACAAATAAAAAGTTAAATTAAATATTTGCATAATCTAATTTGTATATATCCAATAAATAGCCATATATCTAACATATAAATTTAATTAAATTATAAAATGTTAAATAACTTTAATAAAATTTAATAAAATTAACATCATTTCAGACAATAACTATTATAGAAAAACAGAAAACAGTATTTACTTTAATTAACTATATAATTTATAAATGAAAGTGGTTAATCCACAATAAAAAATGAACATGAATAGCAATATAGTATACATATATACAATAATACGTCAATAAAGTTACATTATATAGTTTTGTATATTATTAAATACAAAAACCCAATAGATAAATAAATTTAATAATTTTTGTTATGGTTTGAGAAAATTTTGTGAACATATAATATAACTAAATTAGAAAATTCTCATTTATTTCAAACTAAATTATAAATAAAATGATAATTTATAATAATTTTTAAAAAATATAAAAAATTATAGAAAATGATAAATACTATAGTGATTTAATAAATATTTTGAAAATTATGGAAAATTACAAATACTATAGTCATTTTGAATTTTATTTTATGAAATAAATGTTTAATTTAATATATTTTTATTATTTATAGAAATTTTTGTAAACAATAATGTAAATGAGGTTAATTTATGAATTTTATAAAAAAAATGTATTAATAATAAATTATAAAGAGAATATTCTTAAAATATTCTTTTTTAGAGGAAAAAATAGAAGAATACATTAGAGAGAAATGCACCTCTATTTTAAAGTTTTTCTATTTTAGAGAAAAAAATAAAGGAACACCTTGGAGATGGTCTTACAAGTTACATCCATTAATTAGGCTGTTGCTGTGATAGTGTTAGGCATATGGGTCACTTCCATGTGTCACATTTCAATTCGCTAATACAATTCCTCGTAGTATCTTTGTTTTTTTCGGTTTATTATCTTTTGTTTTATCTCCCTTTTTTGGGACCCAACAAAATGTTATATAGAGAGAATGATAAAAACTAGTTTACTGCAGACTTCTTGGGTCATCAACTTGAAATGTCAAGAATTTATGGTACACTAGCCTTTTAACCTTTCGCTACAACCGTATACTCTTTTTGTTTAGACCAAACATTGTCGCGCGATTTGTTTCTCGCTCATATCTGATGCCGGTTTTAGCTTGATTTGGTACAGTTTCGGCCACAGTTTTCCCGTTACTGCAAAACAAACGATGGAGCGACTCCAAAGGTTATATGGACCATAAGGAGAGGTCGAGTGATTAAGCTCAAAGGGCACCAAACGGAAGTTAAATTTACCAAAGAGGCGTTGCTTCTCGCTGTCCCATGCTATGCCATTCAAGACATCAATACCCTAATAGTACAGATTACAGACAAAATTTATGGAAAGGGAACAAGATTTTTTAAGGATGAATTAATAAGACACAAAAAAAAGTAGTGAACCACATCATTTTTTCAGCTCACCCCGTGTCCAGATTTCAGCAATCCTTGTCTGCAAAAGGATATCAGGATCAATGGTAATAAACACAGTGCTTTAATCCTAAACAAAGACATGTTACAAGAAACATTAACCTTAATTTTGGAAGCAGAATCCATCCAAGCAGCGATCCGTCCTTAGGTGAAATTCTAGCAATACAATCAGACTGCAATACAAAGATGCACATCAGCCTAAATGATAATATACCCTAGGAAGTCTTGCAAATACAACATCCGTGATAAAGATCTGAGTAAAACAGCTATCCAGTGAAACCTTCTCATATCTCAAAGAAAGAGAATGAAAATGTTGTATTAGTTTGTGTAACAATGAGTCTTTCGGATGTCTCACAATGAATAGATGTAAATGCCAGAAACATGTTGAATTACCTGCCACACGTTCGCCCAAACTTCTTTGTTTATGTACTCGAGTTCATTAAGGTAACGTACCTCACGGCCACTATATCTAACCGTATGCTGATCAGTAACTGCAGAGAAAGAGACACCTTAATAATGCTAAATCTACTCTCTTGGAAAAGAAACAAGTAAGTGGCTCAAGGGCGCCAAAAGTGAAGAAGAAAACTTAAATGTAGTATAAATGAGACACCTTTCATTGTTCGAGGATCCATCCGGTATAGTGTAGAAGTGCCATCACTTCCAAACAACACTTCTCCATCGGTCGCTAGTCCCCATCCATCTTTCATGTGATGTTTAAATGGCTTTACCTACATTGAGATCAAATGCTTAACATAACGGAGACTGGCGATACGAGGCTTTCATAAAGTGGTAATGCAATGGACACACTTAGCTACAACACTGCAACAAATAAAGGAACAAATACGAAACTTGGTCACTAGAAATGAATCCATATCTTCAGCCTATGACAAAGATCTTTCCTCTAATTTCAAGAAACAAAATAAGCTGAAATTTTAGTCTACAAAATTTTGTAGGTAGCAGGCAGACTGACTAAGAAACTTGATTAACGTGATGATTAATAGCTGAGAAATCAAACTATGCGAACAAAATGAGTATGAGAAAGGCAAGACCAGTACAAACTTTGCTTAAGTTGCGAAGGTCATATGTGAAACCCGTGTTCGTCAACCATGCAACTTGAAAGAGCCTACAACAGATAGAGAAATCGGCGGATCAGAACACTATTTTAACCGTTAAATGATTGTTAGTTGCGAAATGTATCAATGTAAGACAACAAGATCCAAGAAACCGCAGCAAAACTGAACAAGCAGACGAAACTCATGAGAGTTTCTTTCTGAAGTACAAACTAGATCTATGAAAGATAACCCTTGTGTTTGTGTTAAGTTACAAGAGTAGTAGATCAACAAAATTTTGATCATATAGACTAATAGAGTTGAGAAATCATTATAATACCCACCTTTCTCCAAGGAGTGTTAAACCCTCTCCAAAGTATGAATCGCCCATTTTTTCAAGAACTTCAACCTACACAAAGGGAGAAACAAAACTAACATTATCACCAATGTATGAAAAATTAAAACGCATGATATTATTTGGTCACACAACTGATCAATAAATCAATTAACAAATTCACAGGTTTAAAATCATCAGTGTAGTTCAATCAATTCTGTGCTATAGTTCTCCACTTTCAATTACACAGAACCTCTTGACAATTCACTTGCATGTTTGATATAGTCTACACTAATACAACATGTTTCATCAAACCACAAGACGACACCATACCTTTCCTGTTCGTAGATCCACTTTCCTCACTGAGGACTGTAAAAAAAAAAAAAAGAAGACAGAATAAATCAAACACATGATCTTCGAAGAAGCAAAAGAAGATTTCTGCCTAGAGAAACGATCTCGAAATGTAGTTATAAGACAATTCAAAGGAGAATCAACCACCTTCCCGTATATACCAGTCGATTCGAACAGTGTGTCGTCTCCCGCATAAAGAAGTCCCTACGACACGGATATAACAAGAAGGCGAACTTTCAGTCAAACCAAAAATGAGATGACTAACACTCAACAATCAAGAGCGGACCAAAAAACCTGAGTAAACGCGTCTGGGTCATGAGGAAACTCAGCAACTACTTCAATCTCATGGATCCTGAGGGAGAGATCCAAGGGACCAGATGACTCGCCCCAACTGTTGAATGGCATAAAGAATAGGAAAACGGCGCCGGAGAAGAGAGCAAGAGGAATCATCATCGAGATCCTCCTCCGAGAAACGAATCGGCGATACGCAGAAGGAGAAGTAACGGATAATTGAGCAGAATGAGGCATCGATCGCTTCGTTTGTCTCTTATAGGACGATCTAGTCGTCATCAAACTTCCTTAGCCGTCGTCGTTGACGGCTTAGATTGAAATGGCCCAGCTCGTTTACATTAAGCGTGATGGTTGTGTTTGTCTGTCGCTCTGATCTTCGGACCAATCTTCGTCAAAGTAGAATTTAAGACATTCATTAAAATTCATTGTCCAGTAATAAATACATTCAATTTTTTTTTGTCTTCATATTTGATGATTTTTTTTTATCCTAACAATAGTTGTATGGGTTAATTTGTTATATAACCACATTACACCATAAAATATAGAATATAACCATATTAATTTTATAATTCATTTAATAACCAAAAATCTTAATATTTATCTTTTTTATCCTTCAAATCAAATTTATAAACACATTATTATACTATGCTATATTAATTTATACTATTATACTATATTATTTATAAAATGTTTATTTCATATATATTTTATAGGAAAAAGGAGAAGATGAAAGAGGACTAGGAGGGAGGTAGGGGAGGGGAAGGGGAGGGGAAAAGATGGGAGATGAAGGAGAGGGGAAAGAGAGGAAGAGAAAAGAAGAAAACGGTAAGGGAAAATGAAAAGAAAAAGGAGAGAAAATAAGAGGGAAAGAAAAAAAACTAAAAAAATAAATTTGTATATATTGTAGAATATATACAAAATATCATAGCCATTGTTTTTTATAGTTAATTTATATATTTTTGAAATTTATACGGTTACTTGACCCAATTTTTCTAGTTGTATATGCTAGGCAGAAAATACAGAAGACATTTTTGGAACAAACTTCTCTTATGGTCCTGGTGAATCAACATCAATGGAACAAAACAAAAACGTTGAAACGTGGGCGGCGTTAACAAGGTACATATTGAAGCATTTTGAAATTACGGCACAACTTGATAAACAAGATATAGAGTGTTTTCATTAAGTTTAGACTTAGGATACCAAAAAAACACAAAGTATTGATTCTGAAGAACAAAAACCAGTAGTATTTAGAGTTGCAACAAATAAGACTTAAAACAACACCGGAACAAAACTTGTTTTTTTGGCCTCATTCCGACCATTGAGGACTTAACCGCCGCCCATGGGTCTCTTACCCCTTGGTTTATTACCTTTCTGTCCTGGTTTACCACCGGCGCTCTTCTTCCCTTTCCTACCGGGCTTGCCTCCTCCGCGTTGCCTAGCATCACTCTTCATCCTCCTATCCACTCTCTTCTGACCTTTCCCAACCTTAACCCCAACTCCTTTCTTCGACACAACCAGCTCTTTCTTTGGCTTCCTTGGCTCTGCCGCTTTCTTGTATAGCTTGTCTATCATCTTGTCCTTCGAACGGTCTGATATATCCGTTGTGTCAGATATTGTGTTTGCCTTCTTCCTCACTTTCTCCAATCTTTTAGCCGCCGCTCGCTTCTTCCTTGCCTTGGCCTCTGCCACCTTCTTGGCTGGACGAGCGTTGATTTCTTTGAACTGAGCTTTCATTGCATTGATCTCTTCTTTCGTGACGGGTTTCATCGGCTGTCTGTGCTGCTTCTCGTCGTCCACAAACCATTTGGGTAAACCTTCGTCATGAAACATGTTTTTGTTGTAAGCATCGTCAAGCATCTCTTCTCTCTGCTTCTTCCTTAGCATTTTCTTCGCGCATGCCAATATCTCCGCCTTTGTATGAACGTCATCATCAGAGGATGAATCCGAGTCTGAATCCGTCGCTGGTGCAGGGACTACCTCGAAATCGTCTTCCTTCTTAGAGCTATTGGGCAAGCTCTGATCAGGCAGCACGCTTGCCTTTGACGCCTTCTGCTTAGACTTCTCGAGTTTTGCCAGACTTTTTCTCTGCTTCATAGTTGGAATGTCGTCTTCACTGTCATCTTTTCCCAAGTCTCCTTCTTCCACGGCTTCTGCAAATAAATCCTGGCTGAACCACTGGTTGGCTATTTCCTCCTTTGTTTGGGTCTCTCCGTCATCAAGTGGTACCACAAGAGGGTTTGCCTCATCCATCTCTACGTTCAGATCTGAATCGTAATCGACTTTCATTTCTTCATCTCCGTCACCCTCCTGCAAAAGCCAAAAAAAATGTCTAGTTCCGAAATTCTGCAGTATCTATGAAAATGGGTTCAAGCGATGATAGTACCTCCAGCTTCTCAGCGTGTGCCTGCCTAGCCCGCTTCCTTTGCTTTGCGCTTCCTTCTTTCTTCACCATATACCGGTCATATGCCTCATCAAACATCACTTCCATTTGTTCAGTGTATCTGTAATGATAAAAAAGACTATAAGATGAAATCACCACAACACAAACTTGACCAATGTATGACATTCTTGAGATAGCATTATGTAATCTGCAGAAAATGTATGCGGTTATCGGCCTGACCTCTGACGTTCTTCATCAGAATCCAAGTCACTGTCTTTCGAGTCATCTGAAGCTTCATCACCACGGTCTTCGTTCTCACTCTCATCGGCGTTGCCATTATCATCTTCATCAACTGCCATTAGATCTTTCTTTCCCTGGAAATAAACAAAAAAATATGAATGATCATTACGTCTTTACAAGCTAATCCGGAGCATAATCATATGTTCAACCAATTGATTTGTAAGAACTAATTGTGGGATTAAAGGAGTATGCTATTCACCCCGTGAAACAGTAATACAAGCTTCCTTCTGACGCCAGTTATAAAAACAAATTTAATGCAGAGTTTGGATAGAAAAAAAGGCATACCTTGATAGCAGAAAGAGAGAACAAATCATGGTCTACATAACCATCTTCAAGTACATCTATCTGTGGATTAGTGGCCTTCCGAGTCTTGTCCTGGCAAATCATATCAAATTAAGAAAAGAAAGAATTAATATCTAAAGATCCTTCGCTAAGACCATGCGACATAAAGAAGTGCTCTCAGTTAAGTGAATCATGACATTTGGAACACTCGTCATATCTGTTTGGCATCAGCTCAAATGACTCAGTAAGCAAAGTGCATCAGTTTTGTTAAGGCATACATACAAATCTGGATATCGTATTTGCAGGTGAACTTAATTGGGCAAAGACATACTACATTTGATACTGTCATGACCCAAGAATGTGTCATTTCTGCGTGACTTTCCACATATCAGTTGCTTAGAGAGTCTACCATTGGCAACAACACTATCTGGAACGTGTCTTTTGGGAAGTTGGCTTGATGGGTTTATTAGCATAAGGTTAAAACTAACCTTAGCCCGTCGCTTTGCAAGAAGCTTCTTTGCCTGTTTCTTCTTGCGGTCAGCTGCGTTTGTCAGCTCTTCCAATTCATTGAGTAGTCTATCATCCTCATTTTCCTCATCTTCCTTCTCTACTTCGGGCTCCTTTTTAGCCACTTCTTTTTTCTCAGGAGTCAGAGCTTTCCTAATTTGCATTCGCCATCTACAAGACAAAAGGAGTTCAATGTGCATTAGCAAACTAATATAATTTCCAGACACCACTTTACACATTTTACACACAATTCTTTATCTGAGTACTAAATGTTCAGACCAGCATTGGTAAGAACTTAAATTGCTAGGACCATTCTTGACTCAACCCATACAGAGCTAAGCAATTCTACAATTTGCTAAGCTCAAGCACGTTCCTGGAATAGCTTAGAAATAGGCAAGTGTGCATTGAAAAATAAAAAAAAAGGTCTTATGATGGAGAAATTACTTTAAGATATGCTTGAAGTCATTCTTCCCCAAAACAGGAAGATCGTCGCACAGAATTTTAATCTGCCTCCAGAAAAATAGCAGACGTTACCAACATATCATAAATCCTCGGTTACTAAAGATATGGGAAAACTACAAACAGTACCTCCTCTGTAGTCAACTCATGCTCCTTTAAAGGTAGAGAGGCTTCACCATCAAAGGATATAGAAGTAACTGTGCCAAGAATCTCAAGAGGGTTTTCAGACCAGATGAAATCAGAAGCAGATGCGACTTTTCTCAAAATAGACTCTCCGTCTTCATACCCATCACGGTTTCTCTTCTGTTTTGATGTACCCAGAACATCCACAACCTACAAACAAACACAGCAAGTATTACACAAACACAGAAACTTTAGAGAAACAGGATAACTGCAGAAAACACTTATATCAGTTAAAAAGTAATCACCTTTTTCGTGGGCTCTGGTGCCTCCTTAAATAGATGATTGTAGTCAAGAAGACGGGGATCAATCTTGCTAGGAGCTTTGTATTTCAAACCCAAAAGATAGGTTTCTGCAGACGCCGAACGACTCGCCGGCGGCTTAAACACTTCAACCTTCTCGAAAAGCTGCACTCCAAAAACTACCAGTAAGAAGAGAAACCACGAAAACCAATCCGCATGAAAAAATAAGTTTCATAAGCAAACAGTACCTTCCCAAGACAGAAGAGCACAGAGTTGTAGTCACGAGACCTGAAAACCTGAGAGCAGAGGACAACAGAGAACATATTACTGGATTGCAAGAAGAATCAATCGCAAAGAACAGAATCAAAGCTGAAAAACTCGAGAGCAAGCAGACCTTGGTGATGAAATTCCCTTTAGGAGCTAAGAACTCTGTAGCCAGCTTCACGGAATCAATAACCAAAGCGTTCTGGCTCATAGCTTCCTGTGCCCAAGCACCACCGACATTTGGAGACCCGTCGTGCAGAACCAGATCGAAAGCTGCAACATTATGCTTCTCCATCACTTGCTTGATTTTGGACCTGCACTCGGGCCGAGTGATGTCCTGCTGGATAGCGACGCAGCCACGCACGGCGGCGATCGGAACGAGATCGATTCCGAGAACGAGGCTGCCGACGGGGACTTTCTCGACGGCGACCTGCATCCAACCACCGGGGGCGGCGCATAGATCGAGAACGGCTTTCGATTTGTGGAGGAAAGAGTGCTTGGCGTCAAGCTGGATAAGCTTGTAAGAAGCTCGAGAACGGAACCCACGCTCCTTGGCGAGACGATAGTACTTATCCAAACGATGCTTTCCCTTGACCTTACCCATTGTCAGATTTTTTTTCTAGGTTTCTTCCTTCTCGCGGAGAGAGATAAAAACAGCAAAAATGAAGAATATAAGCTAGGGTTTAGGGTTTACTACGCGCGCCGTTATTAAATAGTTGAAACCACTAAATCTTAATCCAAATTAGCCCATTAAATAGTTTAAACACAGAGTCTTTTTTCCAATCTCAATCTAAATTGGCCCATTCATCTCTCTTCTCTGATGGGCCTCTCATTCGGCCCGTTAGGCTTCCCAAAAGGAGCTGCGGCTTAAATTGAATCAATATTTCCAATTTAACTTTCTGATCCATTTAAAGGGTTTACTAAAAACCCCTAAGAAGAATCGAAACCAAACTTTGGATTGAACACCCCTAACCCTAAATGATGTAACTCTTTAAATCGGTTTTACATAAGTTGAATTACCGACTGAACAAAGCATAGTCCATTAACATTTCATTTCCATTACTAAGCTTCTACTAGGAGAAGTAGGTTGCAAAAATTTTAAGAAACGAAAACTTTAACATAAATCCTGTAACCAGACGTGTTTACACCAAAGTCAGAGAAATAGATAGAGATTATAAATTCCGCAATCGCATTACACAATCAAAAAAAAAACAAAACAAAACTATCCTTCCATCATCTTATATGATAACAAAAAATCTCAAGGTAAACCGGAGCCAGATGGTGCTGCTGCGTTGTAACCGCCAGCACCACGGCCAAATCCAGGTCTACCACCACCACCTGCCTGCCAACACAAGCACCAACCAAAAAAATACACTGTTAGAAAAACCTCCCAACGGAAAAAAATAAAAAATAACAAAAACTTTGAAAGAAGCTAAGATGATCATCTCAAAATGGAGAAGAGGGTTGAGTGAGAGATTTACTTGGAAAGACGGCTGGAAATCAGCAGGAGCGCCACCCTTTTCACCTCCAAAATCACCACCACGTGGGCCTCCACGGTAGCCATCACGGTCACCAAATTTGGGACGGTCTCCATCAAAGCGAGGTCCTCCTCTGTTACAAACACCAAAAAAGCCATGTCATTGAAATCAGAGAATCAGCCAATGTATTGAACCAGGCAGGTGTTAATGGAGACACAGAGAGTAAGATAAAACATACCTAGGGCGATCACCAGGGCCACCAAAGGGACGGCCTCCGGGCTTAGCAGACTTCTTCAAGGTAGCAGGAACGACATCGGAGGGAAGGTTCAGGTAAGTTCTCAAGAACTCGATGCCTTCGTTCGTCAGAAACCAATAGTAATGCATCCACGCGAATGTCTCCCTAACATACTCCTTGGATTTGAAGCTCTGCATGAGCTTGATCACTTGCAGGTTCGGTACTGATTCGATCAAAGGATGCTTTGGCAGATTGAAATCCTTCTTCGCGAACAATACTCCTTCTGTGAAACCCAGTGACAATAGATCATCATTTCAGTATGCACACAAATTCCAACAGTTTCCACATAATCTTCAAGATTTAAACTTGTGAATAAAAAAAAACCTCAAAAGTTCATTAGATTTAGCATACACATTACTCAATATTCCAGTACGTCTCTGAACCTTTAATGCGAGATTAAAAGCAAGTACTAATTTTAATTAGATTCACATCTACACTCCTACGTAGAGCTCATGGGAGCTGAAGGCAAGCATAAACCTATTCAATCTAATTGTAGAACACTACGAAATGGTACTAGCTCTAAGTCTAACCTGTTTCAACTAGCGAAAATTTAGAAATCCGAAAAAAATTGTAATGAAAAGAAAAATACATGGAAAAATTACAAACCTTTGAAAAGGTATTTGCAGATCTCTCTGCGATTGGTCTCTGTGATAATCTGACAACAGGACGAACAAGAACACAATTAATAATCTATTAAGTGCATCCATTACAATAAAGGAAAAATGTATTGATATCATAAAAGTAGAGAAACAGAGCAAACGCAGATTCTATTACCATTGTCTTGTTGGTCGAGCTTTCGCTGCAAAGAGGCACAGAGAGGTTCAGCGAAGAGGAAAATAGGGTTTCCTGTGGACTTTGTTTTCTTTTTGGCTGCTAGGGTTTTCTCCATATTAAAGACGATTTTTATATACATAATGGACTTGGGCTTTAATTGGGCTGATAGTTGTGATAATTGTTTGCTACAATTGGGCTTTAGAATATGGTTAACCGGTTCCAAATCAGATTTCTGACTCTCACATGAACAGTAGAAACCCTTCAGGATGATATATGTGGAATACATAACGCAACAACTTGTTGTCACTATAATAGTATGAGGTAAATTAAGTGGAAACCCTAAAAATTGCATAACGTAGCTATAGCTTGCTTGTTTGTCAAGCTTCATCACAAAACCCGATACCAGCGACAGAGGTAGTCCCAACACATACTATATCCTGCTCTTGATTTGAATTCAAATTCAGTACTAACTTCAATGTCAATACATGATATACATTTGAGTTTAGTTTTTTTTTTGTGTAGTAAGCTTTTAAAGCTAGTAATAAAATAAAGGGTTTGAGTTATGATTGAGTCAGAAAGCCAGCTTGGTCCGGACAAAAAAATTGTTTGTTAAACAAATGAGGATTCAGAGAAAGCAGTTCACGGGTGACCAATGAAACATGCATGTCCGTGAACTCATGATCAATACAAACGAGAAAGCAGTATTTTGTATGTCAACTTGTCGACAAACATATTTTTAATTCCTACTTTATTTTTGTCAACACCTACTTGTTAATCAAACAATTAACTTTTTCTAACATTGTTTTACTGATCAAAAACAAAATAGCTCAGTGTTTTTTTTTTTTTTTTTGGGATAAATGAACGCACAATGGTCCCATAGTAATGAAGTCTAGGATCTGCAATATTATTAATAGATGAAGCTTAACATTGCGTAAACTAACACACAATATATATATCTTTATGGAGCTCAAGATCTTGAATCTAAATCACAACTGAGAATTGTTGATAAAATTTATTTATTTTGTTGTATATACACTCTTAAAACAATAAACTAATCAATGTGGTTAATTGAGAGGAGATGAAGATCATGTGGACCGGTGACAATCGCTTTTTTGTCCCAGCTACAAAATACGCGAATATGGCTCTCCTTAACCCCTTAATCCAATTGAGTCTCTATATTATATATTCCTTGCCCACGTTAACACTTAACAGTCTCATTCCCAAACAGCAACATAACGCAAAACTCGAATGCGATTGATATCATCATTTTTAAATTGATCGAGTCAATCACACTTGCTTAAATAATACATCAAATAGTCATCTTGCCTTTCTAGTGACATTGTGCATGTGTATATCTAGTATATTATCCAAAGAAGGAGTTTATTTTCTTTAAAATCACATAACAGGACAATGAACAAAACGAGAGCTAAAGGGAAAATTGTAAATTAAGCAAAAAGAAAAAGAAAGTATACCAGGAATAAATTGTAAATTAAGCAAAATTATTTCACTAATCCATAAAAATAAATTGCTTCTTTGTGTATGTATACCAGGAAGTTTGAATAAACAAGAAAAACCCTTATACAAATTAAGCAAAAAGAAAAAGAAAAAGAAAAACAATTATCTCTTGGAACCCGAAACCCTTTTGAGTAAAACAAGAAAACACAAAACACGATATAGTACGAAGAACCCTAACAACACATAAACATTAGTCCACCTCTGTCTCTCATGAAGCCCTTTCTTGTCTAACACGTCACCTCCAGTAACCAAGCAGCCTTTCACAGCACCTTCCTCAAACCAGACCAGGCACTTGTTGAGCAGACACGAGTACTCATTTATCAGAAGTGCGTCCAACGCATACTTGTACATCGAGAAGAAGTACATGAAGAGCCAGTACTTAGGAAGACTCTCTTTAGAGATGAAGTAACCAGAAAACAAGAAGAAAGCCGCGAGAAGAATAGTCACTAGAGATGTCCCAGCGATGTAGTTAGGCGCGAGAGAGCTCACGAAAAGCACAAAAGAGTTTGCCATTAGGATAATTATCCAGATCACGAGAACAAAGTAGACGAAAGCTTGCCATGAAAGGCAGAGACCTACGAGAAAATAGAGTGAGACAGAGTAGATGATTGCGATAAGGAGCAGGTAGGGCAAAAAAACCAATGTGTTTGCAAGAATGTGAGAGGAGAGTCTGTAGAGTCCGCTCGATGTTTCTCGGAGAAGAATTGGTCGCTCATCGATAAATATTGGAAGGGTTTGGGTAGTGGAGGAGAGGAGGAACGTGAGGGTGAATGCGAAAAGGCCGAATCGCTTCTCGATTCCTGCTTTTCCGATTCCGATATTGAGGTAGATAGTGCCTAAGACAAGGCCGACTATAAGAGCTTCTAAGATGTTGGTTAGAAGCAACTGCCTTGTCCGGTATATGATTTTCCAGAATCTTCTAGAAAGAAGGTTTATTTCGGTGATTCTCGAGCTTCTATATCGAACAATGCTCTGTTTCTTGTTCTGCTTTTGACTTTCACGCGGGCAGTGGTCAGGAAGAGCAATGTCAGCGTTTTCGTAGGGATCATGGAGGTCTTGAATTATCTCCATAGCGTACTCGAGAGAATTCAGCTGAGGAGGAACCGTGAATCCCTTGGAGAGCAAGAACGCTTCGAGTGAATCAAGCCTTCCATGGTATACAACGGTTCCTTTGGAAAGAAGCAACAAACGATCGATGAGAGACAGAATCTTGAAGCTAGGTTGGTGTATGGACAATATCACGGTCCTTCGTCTAGACGTAGCAATAGACTTGAGGATCTGAACGACGTCGAAAGCGGATTTACTGTCTAAACCCGATGTGGGTTCGTCAAGGAGTAGAAATCCCGGGTCGTGAAGAAGACTTAGACCAATAGAAACCCTCCTGCGTTCACCACCGGACAAGCCTTGGCCGAGTCTTGTATGTGCAAGATGCGTTAGGTTAAGTTCTTTGAGGAGAGAAGCGACGGTGCTGGAGACTTTTGATGGGCTTTTTGGGAGCAAGAGGGAGGCAGAGAAAGTGAAGGTCTCGGAGACGGTGAGGAGAGGGAAGAAGGCGTCGTGTTGAGGAACATAAGAGGAGATTTTTCGGTAAGAAGAAGGGTTAATAGGTACGGAGTTGAGGAGGATTGAGCCTGAGGTTGAGGAAGTTCTTGCGGCGAGAATGTCAAGAAGAGTTGACTTTCCGGCGCCGCTAGGGCCAACGATGGCGAGGATTTCGGAAGGATGGGAGGTGAGAGTGATGTTGCGGAGGATGTAAGAAGGTTGCTCTGTCGCCAAGAAGAGCCGTGGAAGAGGTTTGGCGTAGGAGATGGAAGATGTGGTTAGAGTATATGAGTCCATTGAAGTAGAGATGTTTAAAAGTTGGAGAAGGGGAGAGAGTGTTGTAAGGAGAATTTATGGATGCTTGAGTTTGGAATGTTTTGAATTTTCCTTATAAAAACAATTTTCTGAAGTCTTTTTGTTTGTTAGTTGAATTATTTTGTCTTTTTCTTACCATTTTGGATTTTGCATTACATTGAACTCATCGACTTTTCTTGGTATGAGACTTGGTCTATAGTTGTGGTCATGCGGCAATGTAACAACGATGACAGACGATAGATATAAAATCCAAACTGAAATGGAGCTACATTAGTTAATGAGGTTTGATCCAGAAACGAAAACCTATACTCTCATAAATAAAGCATAGCTACAGTTACATATATACACACTTAATAACATGTAAAGATAAAGCAAATGTGTGTGTGATAGTGAGTCTTGTTGAGAAATTGAGAAGACAAATCCAAAGCGTAATGCTGGTAAAGGTCACGGGGCTGCTGTTTTCTATGACTATCACTCTCTCATGCTTTTGTATTATTATTACTCAGAAAATTGCACATCACCTAGTCTATTTCCCCATTTCTGAAATTTCCTTTGTTTGGTACACATTTTGCTAAACCATTTTTAATATTATAAAAAAAAAAAAAAATTGACTAAAAATGTTCTTTTGATATAGTGTGACTTTGTTTGTTTGTTTATTAGAATATTGTGTTAAGATTCATAGTGGAAAACTTCAATGTCTATTGTGCTATTGGGCGGCCTTTTTTCAATCTCCTCATGAATTTGAAAAATTGATCTTTTGTCATGAAATTGGACTTGTGACAGTTGCAATTGAAATAGTGGAAGGAAACGGTTTTCTTCTTGATTCAGCATAGTTGATCTTTGAGGAGGAAGACTTTAGTTTTCAGCAAAGCAATGTGAAGTCTGTTTTACCGAATTCAGATTTTGAATGAAAAGCTTCCAAAGCTCTTCTAAGCTCAGTGCCAAATATACCATCACCCAAACTTTCCATTGCTCTCTCATAATATACCATCAAGCAGTTCTTGGTAAACGCCAGGCTTACAACAACAAGAAATCCAAACACATACATTCGAACACAAGAAATGAAATATCAAATAACAACAAATAGCAATGAATTCAAATAACAATCAACTCAAATAACAATGAAAAACAGATGCTGGTGATGCATTCGAACAGAAAAAATTACCTCAAATAACAAATAACAATACATTTGATATAGTGGAGAGTTTCAACGACAATCCTGATAAAATTCAAGAGCACAAATAAAAATAGTGGAAGGAAACAGTCACCTAAATTTTGATAATATCTTATACTTTTACCACGCAAATAAGCTTAAATTTCTAATAGCCAGTTTTGGAATGCCTTAACATGTGTTTTAAAAAAATGTGTTTAGCTTAGATTTCTAATAAGAAGTTTTGGATCGAAAACTGAATTTATTTGAAAGCCCCTTAACATGTATAATCAACAACAACAAAGCGCATGCCTAACTGATTTATTTAGAGGGGGAGGAAATTGAACTGACACTGATGGGCCTTAAGAATATAGAAAGAAATAAGCTCAATTGGAACTTTGAATATGCAGTATATATGGGCTAAATCGAGCAAAAAACGAGATGAAATTATGTGTCTCATTTGAAACAAACTTATGTAAATGAAAATTCCATATGATACACA